ATATTCTATAGAAATATAATTATTTTAAGAAAATATTATTTATAGAAGAACTTAAAATAGAATTATTAGAATATAGTTAGTAGGATTATAAAATCTCTATTATTAAAGAAGAAAAATCTAATTTCTATAAATTATATAATTTTATAAAATCTTAATTATAAATACTTTATAAATATATTAATAATATATTAATAAAAAGCTATATATAACTATTAACTTTATCTATAGAATACTTTATAATATTTATACTTAAAAAGAATAGTAAACTCTATTTAGTTATTAATTATTAATAGTTAAATAAGATTATATATAAGAATAAAATACTCTTACTACTAATTATTAAACTTAGAAATTAATTATAGAGTAAATAGTAATTTACTATCTTAGATCTAAAGGAAACTTATAATTTAATATAAATTAAGAAAGAAAATAAATAGAAAATAGTATTTAGAATAAAGTTTAATCTCTATAAGTATTTTATTATATCTTTTAAATTAATAAATATATCTATAATATTCTAATAAATAATTAATTAGATACTCTAAAAGTATTTTAATATCTTTATAATTATTTATCTTAATAATATTTTAATTTTCTCTAATAATCTAGAAATATATAAGAAATATATATACTAAATCTTAGAAAAACTAAAAAAAGTAAAATTTTTTATAAAAATAGAAAAGAGTTTCTTCTATATATAAGAAATTAACTTCTTAGGATATATTATTTAACTAAATAAAATATAGATAGAATAAAATAAAATTACTATAATTAAGAAATAGAAAGTATTAAAAATTATTAAGAAAGTATAAATCTTTCTTAGATTTATTAATTATTATTAATAATTTATTAGGAATTATAGAAAAATTATTATACTCTTATATAATATTATTAAAAAGAGAATAGAATTCTAATAGAATAATAAATAATAATAAGTATTTAATAAAATAAAAAACTAAATACTTTTAAAATCTATACTATAGATATTTAACTCTATATAAGAAGTAGAACTTAAAATAGATATCTTAAACTTTATAATTAGTATATAAATTAGCTAAAGGAATAATAATAGAGTATTATACCCTATAGTATTCTTTTTAAAAAAACTATATAATATAGAACTTAATTACCCTATCTATAATAAGAAATTTATAGCTATTATATATATATTTAAAGAATTTAAATACTATTACTTAGGAATAATATATAAGATTAAAGTATATATAGATTATAAGAATATTTAGTACTTTATAATAATTTAGTAACTAAATAGAAAATAAATATACTATACTAAATATCTATTTTAATTTAACTATAAAATAATATACTAAAAAGAATTAGAAAATAGAAAAGCTAATACTTTTAATTAGAAATCTAAATATAAGAAAGTAGTACTAAGAATAAATAAATAGCTATTCTTAACTAATAATAAAGAATATTTAGTATAGAAAACCCTAGGAGCTATACTTAAGGAAATAATATATATTAAAGTCTAAATAGAAGCTATCTCTAGCTTAGAAAAATTATAGTAAAATATTAAGATAATATTTATTAAGAAAATCTATAAGTACTTACTTTTAGAATACTAAGAAGTTAAGAAGATATTTAATAAGATTAGATAATATTATAATTATCTAGATCTAAGAAAGAATATATAAACTATAGTTTTAGAATATAATACTTATATAAAAATTAAATCTATATAATATAAACCCTATAGAGAACTTAAACTAGTTTTAATATTAGAATAACTATAGTAATTAGTATTCTTTAATTATATTATTAAACTACTACTATCTAAAGAACTAATAACTAGAGTAGAATATAATAATATATTAATAGTTATTAATAGACTTATAAAGTATAGATATTTTATTCTATATAAAGAAATAAGCTCTATAGAAGATCTTATATATTAGTTCCTATAATATATAGTTAGTTACTATAGATTACTTAATAAAATAATATTAAATAGAGGAATAATATTTACTTTTAAGTTTTAATAATTATTAATAATATAAATAGATATTAAATATAAGCTTTTAATAGCTTATTATTCTTAAAATAATAATTAAATAAAATAACTAAATTAAACTCTAGAATAATATCTATAAATATATATTAATTATAAATAAAATAATTAAGTATAATTACTATCTATAGTATAAATTATATATAATAGCTTAATATAAGAATTAATCTAACTTATATCTATATATATAAACTATAGCTATAAATTATAATTCTAAAACTAATTAGAACTTATAGGATTTAATATACTAGCTACTATACTTATAAAAGAAATATTATATTTATTATATATAGAAATAAAAATAAAACTTAAATTTATCTAATAAAGAATAAAAAAATACTATAATAAAACTAGATTAGAAGAACTAATCTTAAAGGAGAAAAATAAAATCTATTTACTTTATAAAAATATTATAATAATAAAACTAAATAATAAATTAAATTATAAAAAACTTAAACTATTTAAAATTCTTAAGAAAAAATTAGATACTAATTATAAACTTTTACTACTAGATATAATATATATCTATTTAGTTTTCTATATCTTATTACTTAAAAAAGTATTAAAAAATATACTAGATTAGAATTATCTAATTAAGATCTATAAAAAAGAATTTAAACTAGAAAAAATTCTAAAAAAAGAAGTTAGAAATAGATAAATCTTTTACTTAGTAAAATAGAAAAGATATATTAATAAAGATAATATTTAGAAATCTATTAAATATTTAAAGAATTATTAATAGTTTATTTAATAATACTATTAGGATTAGAAATATCTATCCTAATAAACTAAAAAGAAGATAGCTCTATATCCTTCTAAAGAAATACTAGATTAATCTTAATCTCTAAGAATATAAGCTCAGATAAAAATATAGCTAGAGATAAGATCTACTTTTAAACTACCTTCTCTATCTCTTTTTACTTAATATACTCTAGTTCCTCTATATTATTAATACTATAAGATACTATCTATATTATCTTATCTAACTATAATTTCTTTTATTAATAAAAATATTAGATTTTTATATCTATATAATAATATTCCTTCTCTATTATCTTTAGTTTAGACTCTAGTTTACTATACTAATTAGTAATATATCTTAGTTACTCTAGTATAAGGTTTTAAATATTATAATATAGTTAATTATTTTTAATATAATAAAAATAATAAAATAAAGAACTCTTTAATCTAAAGTATTTATAATTATAAGATTTATAATAGTTATATTCTAATTATATTACTAAAGGATTTAATAAAATAGTATTAATAAGAATATTATACTAAAAAGTCTTTTTATAAAAAGCTTTCTAAATATAGTTAAATATTATTATAAACTATAAAAGGAATAAAGAATTAAATTAGAAAAGACTTACTAATAAACTATAGAATATAGTTTTAAGAATATAACTAATAAAAAGAGGATTTTATATTATAAATTATATTATTATATATTAAAATTATATAAATTACCCTACTTTTTCTAACTAATTACTAGTAGATTATTAGGATTTTATAATAATTCTAATAATTTAGAATAATAGATTATTACTAAGTATTAATAATTCTCTAGTATATATATATATTTATTTTATTAGATAGAATACTCTTTTAGATAATTATTAATATAATTATCTATATATCTATTACTATTAGCTCTATAATACTTATATATTAATAGTAACTTATATTATATAGCCTAAGATAATCTGATTATACTACTTAGAATAATACTCTGATTAGTTTAACTCTAATCTACCCTAGACCCTATTCAGTATAAGTTATCTAACTATTATAACTAGCTTAGTCTTTATATAACTCTCTAAGATTATAATTACTATTCTAGAAAAAATAATATCTATTATAAAACTAGTTTTATTAAAGTTATATAGATTCTTATCTAGAATACTATATTTTATCTTTAGATTATATATAAAATTAAATTAAAATATAATAATCTTTAGATCTTTATATTTAGCTCTCTAATAGTTATATTTCTAAACCTAGTATATATAGAGCTCTAATTATTACTTAATAAAGTTAGAAATCTAATTAATACTAATAGGGGGTATATTATATATATATAATAAGATATTAGCTATTTTCTTAATACTATATATTCTAAAAGAAAATATATATATAAATAGCTTAAGTATATATAAGATAATAGCTTTCTCTTTAGATTTTAATAGATTTATTAATTTTAATTAAGTATTATATTTTACTATATAACTAATATATTAATTATAAAGGGTTATATATAGAATTTAATAGATTTTTATTATTACTCTAATACTTAATTTTAGATTTTAATTAAGAGCTTAGATTATAAGAATAATATTTACTTTATATAAAGTTATATTTATTTTATAGTAGAAAGTTATTTAATTATAAAGAGGAAGTTCTAATTTCTAGATAGAAGTAATTAGCTTACTTATATAATCAGCTTACTTATAGATTATATTAAGTCGTATTACTAAAAGGGTACCAAGAGTATTTCTAGGTATACATATATCTATTTGGCTATACCCCTAGATATTAGCCTAGATAAGTAGATATATCCGGCAATCTTCAGTATAGAACCCAAATTCTTCCAGCAGATCCTATTAGCATTTCACTCATACACTTGTTGACAGACCACGTTGCCACCCTTCTGGTGAATGGGTGAATGGGTGCCAGATCTACTCTCACCTGAATCTGGCATGGCGCCGATTGACAGGGTTTCAAATTACGGTCCAGCCAATAAAATCCCATACTCCATACCAGGATGGGGTGGACCTCCCGGCTGATACCGAGAAGAACATGCTGCTTACCTGGGGGAGAAACTTGGGTTGAACAGGTATAAATATGGTATGCCATTCAGTATATTTCTCAGTTCTCACGCACCTCTTTCAAGTCAGTTTAGTTTCAAATTAAAAAAATTCTTGTTCTCTCTTCCAAACCAGCAGCCTCAGTTACTTCGCCGTCAACAATGCCGCCAACGACAACATTCACCATTAACGTCCCAGAAGCAAGACTTCAACGGCTGAAACAAAAGCTTGAACTGACAGATTTCCCGGATGAGGTCACTGATTTGACCCCAGATGACGCCTGGTCTCGGGGAGTTCCTTTATCGGAGATGAAGAGACTCGTCCGTTACTGGCACGATGAATTTAACTGGAGAGCAGTCGAGACAAGCCTAAACAAACTTCCTCACTTCTCCACTGAGGTTGAAATAGAGGGTTTTGGCAACTATCAAATCCATTTCATTCATCAGCATAGCCATGTCACCAACGCCATCCCCTTGCTCTTTCTTCATGGCTGGCCCGGTAGCTTCATCGAAGTCACCAAGATTCTCCCACTGCTGATCAAGGGAAGTGGCGCATCCCCCGTGTTCCACGTTGTGGCTCCAAGTTTGATAGATTTTGGCTTTTCATCAGGGTCGAAAAAGGTGGGTTTCCCCTGAGTGGATATGGAATAAGTAACTGACCGCAAATCAGAAAGCCTTTTATATGGAGCAACACGCAGAGTCATGCCATAAACTCATGCTTTCCCTGGGATATGATGAATACGGTACGTTAGATCCCAGCTTATTTGTCACCAACAGATCTAATAGCTTCCAGTTATCCAAGCGGGAGACATGGGGTGTCTTGTAGCACGTCTTCTAGCTTCCAAGTACGGTCGCGCACATTGCAAAGCTCTCCATACCAACTCGGCATTCCCCGCTGAGCCGACTGCCTCGTCCCATCCTGAGCTTTACGAAAAGGTCAAGGCCACCCCTCTATCAGAGGATGAGATCGCTGGGCTCGGCCGTACAGCTGTGTTCGGTACAGAGGGGAACGGATATTACAAGCAACTATCCACCAGGGACCAAACCATTGGGTACAGCCTGGCTGACAGCCCGGTCGGTCTCTTGGCATGGCTCTACGAGAAGTTGCATGACTGGAGCGATAACTACCCGTGGACGGACGACGAGATTCTTACATGGGTTAGCATCTACTATTTCTCGTCCGCGGGCGCTGGGGCTTCCGGGCGCGCGTATTATGCTTTGGAGCACAGTGACCCGCCGGCATTTGCGGCATCGCAGCGTTATGTGGATGTGCCACTGGGGATCGCAAGGTTCGTCGGGGATACTGTTCTGTTGCCAAAGCTCTGGAGTCAGACATTAGGGCCTGTGGTATATGAGAGTGAATACTCAAAGGGGGGACATTTCGCGGCCTGGGAGCGGCCAGAGGATATTGTGAAAGATTTGAGAGCGATGTTTGGGAAGGGAGGGGGGGCAAGTGGTTGCGTGACTGGAAAGTCTGGGTTTGACGATTGAATGCCTGCAATGTAGATCGCAAAGCAATACATTCTAAGAAAGTATTTTGTCCATATAGGAATCAAATTACTTCTTCGCCATGCCCTAAGAAGCGTAAAATAAAAGCCAGTTAGTATAGATATAGTAGCAGGTCTAAAATTCCCGTCATGAACTTCGTGGCACAACAGATGCCTCATGTACGTACACATTTACTTTAATTGCATTGTATACTTCGCAATTAGTCTAAGCGAAGCGGCACGGGCTGATGGGGAAAGGCCTCCCCGTCAAATTTAAAGAACGACGTACCAATACCAACATCCACCTCACGCACGTCCACTTCACCCTCCACCAACAAGGATCATCAAATCCTTCATTATGCCTCGCTTCCGGGAGGATGTAACGTAAAAGGCGGTGTCATAAACCACGCGGACTCGGGGCTGAGCGTGTGGGGTTTATACACCATCTCACTCTACTATGTGGCACCATATAAGCCAAGATCTTGGCAACAGTGCTGCCTGCCTTCCTTTGGGCCATGCAAATAAAGTATGGATCCAGCTGAACTGTTCAAAATATCACAATAAATCATTCCATTGCTTAGGAAATCACATCCTACGCTGGCAGTCACTTGGAAATTCGCCAGCTTTGCTTCTCGAAGTTACTTTTTCGAAAGAGCTGAGATGAGGCAGGAATTTTCGTAGACTGGTATATTTATATACTATCTACATCGACTGCATTATTTATATAAGAGAGAGTATTGCCATTGGAATTGCGCCCTCAACATAAACTTGGCCATTGACACACGGCCAGAACAGTTGACACGAATGAAAGAGCATAAGAAGAAGCAGCACCAGCACCCTTTAGTCAGAACCAAAGCGGTTTAGCTACAAACTGGTAGGAACTGCAATTGACTCATATCATGAGTATCTGCTTTGTTTGGGGGTGATTTTGACGGGAACATTGCGTGAGGCCGAGTACCAGTACCTAAAGCAGGCACTGTACTGAGGTTTATATTCGCTCTGGTTTCCATGGAAGACGGCACCGGCGGTCATCATCACCATGAAGTGGCTCCTCTCCTTCTAAGCACAGCCCGGGCGAGCTGTTGTGCAAGTTGGGGGCAGCGTTGTTGGGATAGGGAAGCCAAACGGGCAAGCCCATTGGCAGCCCACCCCGTAGCATTCGTCCCAGATGATGCTAGAGTCTGTGGTGGTAACACTTGAGCGGGTGCAAGGGGGTGCTGATGTGGGAGTAGGCACGCTCGGGGGGGCAAGCCCATTTGCAATCAATCTCAACGCACTGATCGTCCCTGATGAGGCTGGTAGTGTCTCCAGCAGCAGTGCTTGAACTGGCACAAACGGGTAGTGCTGTTGGACTAGGCACGCTCGGAGGACAAGCCCACTCGCAATCATACGCAATGCACTGGTCGTCTCTGATGAGGCTGGGCACTGGGGCGAAACTGGTGGTGCAACTAGGTACGGATGTTGGGCCAGTCATGTAAGGAGGGCAACGCCACTTGCAATCAATAACCCAACACTCGTCATCCCTGATGAGACTTGAACCGCTAGCTGAACTGATGTGACTTATGGTCGTTAGGCGTGTTGTAAATTGACCATATACAGCCCTGATATCAGTCAGGGCCAATGCGGCCAAACCGAGTCTTAGCACTTGCATCTTTGATATTTTCAAGAAAATGGGTCAGGTTGATAATGATGGGGAGAAAAATGTCTTTGTGGTACAGAAAGAAGCCCAGTCTCGTCGAGGCACTCGGGCTTTTATGTTTATTTCTATCACGGTTCTTTGGCTATGAACTGTTCCCGACGATATCAAATTAACGAACAATGTACTTTTGGTTCTTGGCTTTTCTCTCGATGCGACCCAAGAACACAGGATTCAATCCTTGCTCAGGAATCATGCCTCGGTTTCTTTCAGAATTCGAATCAGCCCAGCCATCACCAACTCCCTGAAATGTGGTGATCAGTAATTGAAGCTGAAAAATTCCTCTATCACCTTCCGGGAGATGTAGCCAGAATGAGTCTAACGTGGAGGCCAAAGTGGAGTTTAACGTGTGATTACTGGACATGGGAGAATCGCAGCGACTCCCGTATTCGGTCAGTGTTGCATTTTCATGATTGATCGTTGATCATTATTCCAATGTACAGCCACAATGGGTTCCACCAGCGCATAAGGCTGGACCAGGGTGGTGTCAGATATTGATTTCTGAAACAACGAGTTGCAGCTTACTTGACATGCATTGCGTGTCATGAGGCTAGCCCCATCTCGTCCCAGCTCCCAACCCTCTTTGGCTGTTCCCAATTTGAGTTTGAAATACAGGTACTTCGAACATCGTTGTTTGTGTTAGCAGGTGTTCTTGTTGGACCTCAAGGAATACTTGAACCTAGGTCCAGCGTAGATCTTCACCCTTTTCAATGGCCATCATTGTTGTCCAATGACCGTAAACAGTATACCCTTCCTGGCCTTTTTTTAGAGTCTTCGTTCGTTGTGGGTAAGTATTTGCCTTGCTTGAGGTACGCGGAGTGGGTTTGCTTCCATGTTCACCATGTCCCCTGTTGCATAAAGGATTGAGTATGAAGAACTTTTTATCGTACACAGCCATCTAAAACGGCAAAATATTCCTACAATAGCCTAATCAGTATCATTAAGAATCAGTAAAATGCTACTTCGTATTTGTACACTAGAATAACGGCACAGCTCATGGGAAGGCAACACACTTCGCTGGGTGCCTAACTTGAATCTGCTCATGCCACCAATAGCTGGAGCATTTTGGTGAAAAGAAACCCAGCCGTCCTGCCCGATGTTTAATTTCAGTGGCATAGTTACCTAATCTACCCAGAGAATTTTATGGCCGGGGAATCACACCCGGCAGCTATCTCAAGCCATTAGACCCCCAAGATAGAGACTTGAGCCACCCTTCATTTGTTGTGGATGTGGTCTAGTTTGATTGGTCGATGTACGCCTTTTGATGTTGATGATACCTCGTATCCGTTGTCTTACTGCATGGGGCTTGCCTTTTTGGGGGCTGAAACTTAAGCGATTCTTGTCTAGGCTTGGATGGCAATTCAGCCTCGAAACCATATCCGTTTTTGCTACAACCTAGCCCACCTTCGGCTGTATAGGTTCCTCAAAGAGTAGAATTTGCAGTTAGGCAAATGGTTCGCACCCAGACCAGACGAGAGCCAGCCACCTTGGTGCAGGAATCTCTCGTGGTTGCTGGTCTTGGCAGCATGATGAGTGCTCATCTTGGCAGAGCTGTAATCGTTATCACACTTTCTGTGAAGTAATTTTCTAGTGGGTGCTTCGGGCCTTCTCCTGGGCCGCGTACAGAAGGGCTGGAACACGAACAATTATCCCATTGTGAAGGCGAATGCATTGGCTAGTGTGACGTCCCATCGATTTAAGCAATGGGACGGTCAATATCTTGTCTTAGCCGACGGCGGGCAATTTCTAAATTCCATTTTGCACAAAGTGTACAGTTCATACCGATGGTGCAGATATTGGTGAAAATACACATGATAGCCATAAGTTTCCATAAATAATAATATTTCATCTAAAGAAAAGTAACGGGCTTTTATTCCCTTCCTCGCTACTTCGTAGATATTTCTTTCTTTACAATATGAGGTTTTCCATGCCAATCTCGCCATAGTGGCTACCAATCTAACTGCATGAGACTGAGTCCATGAGATAAGAAACCGTTATGACACTCGGCAATTACTTACGAAAACTTATTTTTCAATCTCTAGCTGAATTCCTTTCACTCCTATGCAGGTAGCAACTCAGCCATGTGTCATAGTTTGGCATCAGCAGTTGATAGTGTTTCTTCCCAACGCAAGCTCAGAGCCATTGTGACAGTTAGATTGCAAGAGGTCGGCCTAGCTCCCTTCCACTGAAATTATTAACAGTTCTTTAGCCAAAATCTCGCTCAATTGATCTAAAAGATCATTCAAAGAACGGCTTCGTTGTTCTATCCTCATAACAAGCAACATTCGTGAGCCAGACCAAGCAATCATCTGTTAAATCAGCAATAAAAAACTTGGGTTGCTATCTACCCGGAGGACAAAGGATCGCCATCGGCGTAACATACTTATGATAACTTGCGACAGCTATTTCGTAGACACACGCCCTCTTTGTCTGCCACCCAAATGAGTGACTAGGTACGGCCGGGTATGGCTGTTTTTATTGTGCATAGGCAATGTCAAGGGATGCAAGCGGTACTTTTTACTGAGTGTATATGGCTTGAGATCTGGAATACAAGTTTGATTTCTCAAATTAGTTTCGCGTGATCAACTTTTGGGACAGTTGCTTCTGATACGGATCATTTTCGAGATCTATTCGCGACAGTCGGATTTATACGTGCACAATACGCACATCCTGTGCAAGTGATGAGGAGCGAACTAACATCACACTGGCAAATACTAAGAGTTCAAGGTATTTCTCCAACCTATTTTTCATTGTTGGGTAAGACGGGTTTTTCATGTTATCACACTTGGCATCAGTGGATTAAGTATCCATTCGTAGGAGCGAGGCCCACCCGATTCGTTCAAGTAATGCAGCTGTCAGGCCATGGAACCGTTTTTATTCTCTCAATTACAAGGGAGAATGCATTCGCTCAAAACAGCTTTTCGTAACTGTACCTATCCTCCATAAAACTTGGCCTGGCCGATGTAATGAAAGGGGGATGGAATACTTAAATAATGCGGTGTGGAAGTGACCCTCACGTTCTTCGACGCAACTCTGCCTTCCATTCATCATGCCATAGACCCAGGCCTGGCCCAATATGAAGATATTCACAATTGCGACAGTTGTAGTGGCAGCTACCAGACTGAGAGCCGCCATTACACCTGGCTCTCTTGTCACCATCTCACAGGCCGCTGACTCCTCCAACGCGGCAGCATGGTGGAGTCCGCTCGATGAAGCCGGCGGATACTCCTGGCTTGCATATCTCGTAAACCCATCAGGCGGATCAGTCTCGAACAACAACGTGATGGTCGCCAGACGGGATATCTCATCTGGGGGGATTCTACGTGGCTGTGTGAAAACGGCATCGGGAGCCTGCGATGCCTTCGCTGACAACATCGGGCACAACCAACCAAGCATTGCTATCGACGGCGACGGCTACGTTCACGTATTTACCTCAATGCACCACGCGACATGGAATTACTATCGGTCTCAAGATCCTTATAGCGTGGCAGAGATCATTGACGCAAGCAGCCAGCTTCCCGACCAGAGTCTCTTATTCACCTATCCAATTGTCAAAAGAGACGCAGCCGGTGATCTCTGGCTTATCATCCGGGGATACAATGGTGATGGCTTGTGCCGTGCTGGATACTTGTATCATTACAAGACGGCGCAAAAGGCGTGGGCTCGGGTAGCGATATTCGCATACAATCGGCAATACTCCATCTACCCAGACGACCTGCAGTTCTCATCGGACGGCGATGTCCATATGCAGTGGGAATGGGCCAAGTATCCCGCATCAGCGGGACGGCACGAGGGCAGTTATCTGCGGTACAGACCCTCCACGGGAGTATTCAAGACCATAGATGGTGTGGCCGTTTCTGTCCCGGTCACGCAGTCCACAGCAAACTTGGTCTTCCAGCCATTGGCGACGGGGGAAAGCTACGGAGACGATTCTGCGCCACCGCCAATGATGCAAAGTGCAAAGCTAGCGCTATACGAAAATTCAGCAGGGACTGTCCTTGTTCAACACGCTTTTCGCTTCCAGGCTGAAGTAGGGGGGACGTGGCAGATCCGTCGATCTGTCAGCCATCGAGGCAACGCTGTGTGGACACAAGAGACCATATACTCTGCAGACGATACCACAGCCGCCTTGGGGTTCACCCACGATGGTACGACTGCGAGAATATATTTTTGCAAAAAGCAAGGCAGTGCGTGGGCACTGGAGAGATCGGCGTCTGCAACGGGCTGGAGCAGTACCGAGCTGGCTGCCGTCAAGGGGCAGCAGGTGCAGAGGCTTCAAGCGATATTGAGATCCGATGGCGACGATGTTTTGTATCTAGCAGCTCCGGCAAATGTGAATACCACAACAGGCAGCGTCTACTTTCTTACAGTAGGAGGACGCGAATAATTACAATGTTCATTTTCCTATAACTATAGCTATATCTAATAACAACTCAAAGAACTTAGGTCCTTGGACTCTATATCTTATTAAATATTGGTGTTTATCAGCATTATTTGACATAATATTATACCTCCCGAGCCTAGGAAAGCATTTCACTTTTATAAATTGATCGTTGCTCCGGTAAAAGCCTTTGACCTTCGAAATCAAGGTAATCAGCTATGCTTCTACACAGTTCGTTTAACTATTATTCTTTGTTATTAGCTTTATATTAATAAGAATAAAGTCAAGGTATATAGTATGTTTTGGCGTATCTGAAGTTTGGTCGAACTCGATCGGCAAGGAATAAGAATAATTAGCGAGTGAACCAATCTGTTAAGCACTCAGACAACCGTGATACCGACAGTAATCCCAAAGTGATCGCTAACCCAAACATCATCCAACCCGACTTTGGTTTTCAGCCCTATTCCAAAGCGACCCAATTTTCCAGTGGTGTCCTGAGCTTCACTCAGCGCAAACGTCTCGATAGACCCTGTGTAGAGAAACTTGTCTAATCGTCTTCGTGATCTGGCTCTGTTAGATTGGTAGCCCCACGTATTTCCTCTGGCTTTACCATATGTGATATCTTTCTGGAAGGGCTTCAAGACCGGTGGTATCGGCGCCGGCTCATCCTCCCAAACGTCCTTAAGGTCAACCTCAGGTGCTCGGTGAGTGTCGTGCTCAGACCGATCAGCCGGATTCATATCGCCGCCGACCAGCCCACCATAGACTATCTGCCCCTGGGATGAGCCGCCTTTCAGAAGCGCTGATACTTGGACTAGTTGACGAGAACGGAACTCTTTTCCTGTGTAGAGTGATTCAAGGTGGGTTGTGCACAGGCGGAGTGACCATTTTGATCCTTCGTGGCCATTGTACCCATATAAGGGAATATCAACCACAAGGGCATCTCTGTTCATTTGGGAGATGAAGGGAACACGAAAGCAGTTCGATATTGGCAAATTTCTCGAAACCATCATGAGAGTAAAATATCGACTTGGTTGAAAGTATGCTGGCTCCGTATTGGAGAGGACGAAGTTTTCTTGAGCCCACTTGTCCTTCAAGATAACATTGAACGATTCTTGACATATTTCTTGTAACATCACCACGAGGTTGTGAGGCTGTTGTCCAAACATGGTGCGCAGATAGGCGATGGCGGCAGAGGTACGAGCTGCGGCGGCGGGGGCAGAGAAAAGTAAGTTCCAGGATGCGATTTTAAGGCTATCTCCTCGCCTAAGTGTCCTATTTTTGTTGACAAAAGGTGCCCAGGATGAAGACTGGGAGCTATATATCTGCGGCTGGAGGAAGCTGGGATTGGTCTGCTGGTCGGAGAGAGACTGTAGTGTGGACATCTCAGGATCTGTGTCCTCCATGAACTCTAACGACCCCTCCACGGCGTCGAGATATACATAGTTGAATTCAAAGTCAGAGAGGTCGTCGACGTCGCGCAAATCGCCTCGGCGCTTGAGTTCGCGATCGATTAGGCGATATATCTGCGATGGATTCTGCAGTGTGCGGTAGGGTCTTATCAAGTCTAGGCTTTGGAGTTTTCTATAGGGCCATGGCTCCCAGAGCTGATTTATACCCCGATTTTTGCTGAACGAACTCCCATATCTAGGGCATCTTCGACCTGAATATAGTGCCAAAGCACTTCTATTCACAGAACGGGAAAAGCCCCGGGGTATAGACAGGCTATACATCCTTATGAATGCAGGTTAAGCGCTGGTCTTGGCGTGGTGATATTGAGATTGCTAGTGCTCCGCTGCCAATATGATGCTGCTAAATGGAAGTGCTGACCCTGACAAGATGATCGCAATTTGATTTCATGTACCCTAAGGTAGCTGCTAATTGTGGCCATGGAAACATCGCCTGATGGGCGTAATTGTGACGTTGACTTTAAGTGCAAGTTTTCTAGCGTCAAGAGCCATCGCCGATCGCCAGGACGTGTAGCAGAGTTGCCAGTGCGGCCGAGAAGGCCACTCTATTTATTAGACCGGAGTTTATTCCATCAGCTCCAATGTGTCTCCAGGAACGAAAGGTTTCTTCTTCTACGCGCCTCTCTTTACCAAAGGTCTAATCACTAAAAAGTCCGTGCGAGATGCCTTGTACCACAACTTCGTCACCATAATTTCTGGCACTTCACTGCGTATACATCAACTAAAAAGACAGAGATATGCCTTCTGTCAGCGCGCGCTTAAATAACAAGAGTTTCTATATTAAGGCTCATCAGTTACAGTTTAGAGGCTGTTATAGCACGCAAGCTATTCCTAAAGGCATATTCGAGCGGTAGACCAGTCTCAAATTCATATACGTATGTAGCACCCAGGCACAGGGCATTGGGCTTTCGCAATCGCGTAAAGATCCTCCACAAGAAAGTCTAGTATTGGCACAAAAGACGGGAGCTTCTTAAGCACGGCGGAGCTACTGATTTAAGCGCGGGGGGCGCTAGACTAAGGGCTATACTCCGAAACTAAAGCCTCTTCTTACAAATCACGGATGAAAGGCATCGAGGCTGGAGAGCCTCGAATGTCATCATAATCCAGCACTAAATTATGCAGAGTATGGAGCACCGCTGCAAAGCTTTGGTAATGCTCAGCCGTTGTTGCACACACGTTATTACCGTCACGCTCAGCAAGAGTGAGCTCTATCTACATCGACTGTCTCCCCTTCCGATCGGTCGCTCCAGAAATTTACGTCTCTTCGTACATCCTCCACTGACTTATTGAGGCGGATGTCGCTGACAAGAAAGCATCGCCGTTGACTAATAACAGTTTCCTATCCGAGCCATCAGTCAGTAACATCGCTGTACATGTTGGAAAAGGGCGTTTCTAAGGTATAAATGGGGCTATAAAAGAATACAATTACTAGACGGAACATGAAAATAAGTTCGCCGTTCGGGGTTAAGTAGCTAACAAGGCAGGCTTAGAGCATACCATCTGAAATATACTGGGTAGATGCTCGTCATAGATCATCCTTATGAATAACTAGATATTCAGCACGGCGTACTCATGAGGTCAGCAGAGCTTCTAAATCTAGCCAAGGCACGCTGGAGAGAGTCCTTCGAGATGCTCAAGAGATATGTGCTTAAGAGTCAAGTCACCAAAATCCTGGTGGGCCCTGGGAGCTGTTGTCTGGCTGCTTTCTCCTTGATATTTAATGTCTACCCGGCCATTACAATGTCTAAATCCATGCAAGTGACTTGAATCGATGTATGGTTACTATCATATCGTGATGCATGACTATGCGTACCCGTTGGTTCAGGGTGAATAAACCTGTAATATGGGGTTTACCCACGATAGCTACTAGCTACCCAATATACATGCACCCAGGTCACAGGCATATCGCAATGATACTACCAGAAGAGCAAGCTGGAAGTTAGGGAAATGGAGTAACCCATCCGCGGGTAAGGCATCCCCGTTTCTCGTCGCATTTAAACAACACCCGACCGTGCCACAGACTTGGCCGATGTCACTTGGCCTCGCGTGGCACAATGGAACAAAGAATACACATCCACTCCGAGAATCTCCTCTTAGGCTGAAAATCCTGATAATTGGCTGTCTTCTATTCTAGAAAGGTACACTCATCGAAGTGCTGGCTATGCAGGAAGGTGCTTAGACCCACGGCTGAAGCCATGTCAATCAATGCCTAATGCATTGATTGAATTCGCCCCTGACCACTAACTGACCAACCATCCAGACCTGCAATGACCGGCGCATTACGTACGGGTATGCACGTAACGCAAGGGCCGCTTACACCCTTCCGCCGCTTCACACCGATGAGACTTTTTCCCGGACTCGCAGATTGAGGGTGGGATTGCTCGGCAGTTACAAAGAGAAATCACTGCACTTGAGTGTCACGACTCTGTAGAACACTTTTTAACTGGATAGTTATCTTCTCTAGTCTAGATCAATTAAAGCTCTCATGGTAAACGTGACATTCAACAAATTCCAAAGTTTTCAGCTCATTGATGGGGTCAAAAAGTACCGTGGCTTGGGTAAGACAAGGAGCCTACATGTCCAAATAAGGTTATTCGTCAGAGCATCTACCCATTCTATCCAATCAAATCACTAACTCACTACTATGAGCCAAGATGAAACGGTTGAGTAAAGCGCAATTACTTGGCTATCGGCACTTGTGTTCCGTAAGTGTGGAGTAAAATCCTTCAGCTGAACTGGAGTAACGGGGCAATGACATAGATATTCGAAAGAAGCTCGCATAGATCGCGTTCCGAGTTTAGTATAGCAGTGCGAGAGCGTAGAGAGACTCATATTGGATGAATCGAGGCTTGGACCCAAGACCTGCCGATCGCCGTCGCCTCAGCCCGTTGATCCATTCCGGCTAGGTCCATCTCATGCAGCCTGTGTCATGCTAAATCGCGTGGTTTGCAGGTACCAGTCGCCCTGGATGTTTCGATGGGTGGAACACCTATCCCAATTCGGTATGCTCTCTGCTAGACGCTCAAGTGGCTATCCCAACGACTTTTGTGCCATGCATACCTTACCAAGATAGTATCGCAGAGTGACTTCAATATGCCTATCGAGCGGAGGATTGATGGAGACTTGGTGAAGCTTTACGATCAATACGGGGCGGGTACGATTTCTCTTGTCTCGGTGATCCTCAGTGTCGATGACTGATGATGAGAAGTCTTATGAGAGTCATGTATACAGTCTCCAAGGTCCTGAATAGCTATAAAAGCATCCCCTTCTTCTCTTCATCCAGACTTTTCTTCTCACTCTCATCACACTTGACAATAAGATACAATTCCCTCATCTCCTCTCTACACTCTGCATCTCGCTATCAAGCAAGTCATCGAGGTTTCACGTGCCCAGCAACACTTCCAAAATGAAGTTCACCAGCTCCGTCCTCGTCTCCATGCTCTCCATGGCCCTCATGGTGGCTGGTTCCCCCACTCCTGACAATAACAACGCCATCGACGATGGTGCTGCCGATATCATCGATGTTCCGGAGTCTCGTGATATCACCGAGGCTGTCCGAGTTGACCTCGAGGCCCGTGGTCAGGGCTGCCCCTTCGGTAACCAATGCAATCTCCACGTGAGTCCTTCAACTATTCGAAAGATCCACGAGTACAATTCGCTAACCTTGTTTTTACTTCTAGTGCATCAACGTATGTCACCAAATGCTCATTCATCTTAGCATCTCTAACATTTACCTATATAGAACGTTCACCGTACCTGCAATGGCAAGCTTCAGTACCCCTACAAGGGCAAGTGCGGAGGCTTTGCCAACCTGTAAGTAGCATGATATCATATTTCGAATATTTCCCTCAACTAATCCATAAATAAACAACAGCACCTGCCAGTGCTACTACCACAAGTGCACCACCACATAAGCCTAGGACGGCGTTTAGCTACTCTAGTGGGATTTTGGCAACGACTCCAACACTGCCAAGTACAACGCAGGCTCGAGCGATGTACAGAGCCTCTATGGAAACACGAAACGAGTTGAAGTGGCATGGCCACTTACCGGAAGAGTCCCTCATTTTTCTTTATGTTTTGCTCTGGGTACCTTAGCATGATGATTCTTTTGTCCACAAGTGGCTGGCTTGTGGACACGTTCAGCCGACACAAGTAAAGAATCTGACCTAAATTTACATTCTTTATTTTGGTTTTTTTCCAAGTCAGAGACGAAAGCTGTACTCGTTTTTCTATCCCACGAACTGTGAAGTGAACCAATGACTTTCCTCAAATTCCACAAAAAAAAATAAGGAAAATTAAATAAGCCGCTTAGATCAGCTGCTCCATAGTAATAATTAGTGGTGGGTGGTGCTCGAAACCCCATGGGGAACTTCATCTAGTTGAAGCAAGCAATTATCATCACTATGACTATTTGCTTTAGGTAGTCTTCAGTTTCTAAGAACATTTTCTTCTCCATTTTATCCCTTCTATTCCTACCAGTAGTTATCGTCATTGTAAGTTATGTGCTGATTGAAATCCATGGGTATCGGCTCCTGACCAATCACCATTTTACCGATATCAGAAGGATGACAAGCGTCCCCCGCAGACCAAATGCCAACCGCGCCCTGTTGTCAAGGGACTGTCTCCACATGGCCTTCCTTCACCGGACTCGGGCTCTACGGAAACATTTATATACCTGCGTTGAACAAACGTTGGCATATATTCTTGGTAGATTCAGTTGGTCCAGCGATTCTTCGCCATGTCGACAACCACCACTCTCCAAGCTGCCCCCGTGGCATTGCAATCTTCAATCTCACCCCTCTCTACCAAACAGCCAGTCCTCAGGGAGCAGCAACAGGAAACCCCCCTCACCTCTTCCCACGAGAGCAGCGATGAGACCGACGGTTCTGTCAGCCCTCGAAAGCAGTACTCCCGTCTGCAGCAGGCGGCCGTCACTTTCCAGCTCTCCACTGTCAACCTGGCCTCCAGCTGCACAAACGGCCTCATCGTTATCTCGCTCCCTCAGCTGACGGCCGACCTCTCCCTCCCTTCCTCCCTCGCCTTCTGGCCATCCTCTGTCGCCGGTCTCACCACCGCCTCCACGCTGCTCATCGCTGGCTCGCTCGCTGATGTTCTCGGCCACCGCGCTATCGCCCTCGCCGGCATGCTCACGTGCGGTCTCTTCATGATCAGCTGTGGCCTTGTCCACCGTGGCGAGGATTTCGTCATTCTCCGCGCCCTCTACGGCATCGGTCTTTCCATGCACCTTGCCAGCTCCATTGGATTGGTGACCAAGCTACTGCCTCGGGGTCGAGGCAGGAATGTCGCTTTCGCCTGCTTGGGGTTCAGCCAGCCCCTTGGGTTCTGTCTTGGGCTGATTGCTGGTGGTGTGCTGGTTGATACCATTGGCTGGCGCGCGGGGTGGTACATCTATGGAGGATTTACCCTCTCCATGTTTGTCATGTCTATCTTCTCCCTGCCCAAGAGCGAGCCGTTAGGGTCGGTCAAGGAGGTCATCCGCAACATGAAAGCCAAGGTGGATTGGCTGGGCACCTTGCTTGCTTCCGCGTTCATGGCTCTTCTTTGCTACTTTCTCGCGTAAGTCTACACTATTCTGCCTTGGTTTGATGAAGGAATGAATGCTAACATTTGTTCCTCTCTTAGTATGATCAGCACCGATATCAATCGTGTCAAGGAGCCTCTCAGCATTGCATTCCTCATTATCGGGGTTCTCTGCCTGCCACTCTTCCTCGGCTGGATGCACCGTCAGGTCAGCACCGGCAAACCAGCTCTGATCCCCAATTCCTTCTGGCGCATCGCATCCTTCTCCAGCATCTGCGCGACCATCGCCCTCTCCTACGCCGTGATCAATTCCCTCGAGCTTTTTGTCAGCCTGTTGTAAGTTTTCTCGATACTGAAGTGGAATGTTTCTCAGATATGCTAACTGGCCATCTTTTTGCTAGCTTTCAAGAGGTCCAGCACCTGTCAGCTCTATCCTCCGCCATCCGAATGATCCCCAGCTTTGTCGTCGGTGTCATACTAAACCTCATCACTGGCATCTTCGTCCATCGCGTCCCCGCCATCTGGATCGTCACCGTCAGCTGCGTCCTCACCGCCGGCTCCCCGCTCCTCATGGCCGTCATCCAACCCCACTGGTCGTACTGGGCCAACGCCTTCGTGGCTCAGCTCCTCATGCCCGTCTGCGCCGATGTCATATTCGTCATCGGCATGCTCGTGGTCAGTGAGACTTTCCCGGAGGACAAGCAAGCGCTTGCCGGAGCGGTGTTCAACACGGCGGCGCAGTTTGGTAATGCGTGCGGTCTGGCGATCATGCAGGTAATATCAATGGTCGTGGCGAAGGGGCATGAGGGGATGTCGCCGGTCGATGCTCTCATGCAGGGTTATCGGGCTAGTTTCTGGACGATGTTTGGGTTTATGGTTTTCTGTGCTTTCCTTAGCGGGTTTGGACTGAGGAAGGCTGGCAAACTCGGTGTCAAGACAGATTAGCCGCTCCAAAGGCTGAATAGATTTGAGAGAAAACAAAAGGGGTTAGTTATAGAAGCAGTATGGTCTTTTAGATTGGAAAGACCAGGAAAATAGATTTGGTAAATAGAATATCACTCTATAACTTGGCTTTAGTCCCTACGATCAAGGGCAACAAATCCTTCACAACCTCTGACACCTCGTTGGCTACTCCCCAACTGATCTCAAATCCACGACCACCCGCGCCATACGAATGAAGAACATGGCCTGTTCTCAGTTGGCCATTGGCATCCGTCAGTTGCTTCTCTTCCAGCTCGATCCTCACTCCTCCTTCCCGCGTCGGCCGTCTGCCTACCACATCCGTAATGACACGCAAGTCCTTCTCATTCAACGGCGATGAGTCAATTGTGGCGTACGGGGCCAACGCCTTACCTCCAGCAAGAAGAACCTCCCGCGTCGAGGGCCGGGGCTCGACCTGCCAGTTCCCAGGCTCCTTGGTCCCACCGATGATGGTCCCGCCATTGAAGAAACGAGGGATGATGAAGCTCCATGTCCCATCCTTGTTCTGCCTCGTCACCGTCTTCGTCGCTGATAGGACATTCGTGATGACGGTCTGTCCCCGCGTAGGGAAACTTCTCCAGTCTCCGAACCCTGTGCCGCTCGCATTGACGACCAACTTTACGTTGGATCCGCCTGCGGCGAACGCTTCCCACTCGCTTTTCAGATCTCTGTGGAGCGTCTTGCCACCCTGGACGATGAACTTGCGCAGCAGGTTACCGCAGTACAGAGGCGAGTTGACGCAGTATGTCTCGTACTCATATCCAAGCTGCACGCCTTGGGGAAGCTCCGAGGCAGCGTACTTGCGGTACCCCGCCAGCCCAGTTTCCTCGACGAAGCTGGCCTCGGTCTGCCTGACGTAGTCAGGCGGCGGCGCGTCGAGGAACTCAATGCCAGGCGTGCGGGTGATGCCGACCGACGGCTCCGTCCGCAGCAGCTCCTCGAACTCAGCGACCGTCTGCTTGAGCCAGCGGGCCTCGCGCTGAAGCTGAGGACTGTCGCCGGCCGGGATCGGGCGCACGTGAGCACCCGCCCACATGGAGGCGTAGTCGGGAGAGTGGGAGATGGGTGCTCCCGGGATCGAGGTTGGCCATTCGCGCGCGATGAGCACGACTCGGGCCTGGGCGGAGGCGCCGGAGAGGAGGGCTTGGATCTTGAGGGCGGCCGAGAGACCGATGACTCCGGCGCTGGAGCATGGTGAGTACGTGTATTGGCTTTTTGGCTGGAATGATGACGGTGTGTGCTTACCCGATGACCGCTATGGTAGGCGGTTCTGTGGATGCGACCATCCTATCGACTGTCTTAGTATCAAGCTTGGACGATTCTGGTACACGTGCGTGGATGCGCTTGTCGAAATGAGCGATGGGAATTTTTAGATTTTTGAAGCGAGAATGAAGAGCATCGATCAGGCGGTTTCTGTTGCGATAAATGATGCAGCGATTAAAGGATCCAATTAGGTGCTGCGGGTAAGCCGAGATCGGAGGCTTTTACCGAGCTTGTCACATCAAGATTGAAGCCGTCCAGTAATTCTTGAATCGAGAATAAGGCAATATTGAATGATCGCATATCCTGATTAATTCACGCCACTCAGTTTTTGAAATAGAAGTACATCTATTCATCAAAGTTCTCAGCATACCTTCTATCATTTGATCAAAAGGGAAACGCGTGTTTGGCGAGTCTAACAAGCCTTTGGCGCAATACAAGATCTTTCGACTAGTTCGTCAGAGCCTAATCAACCGATCCTAAGTCTAGAAAACCATATGTGACCTTTATTTACGATGGTACCTCTATCTATCCAGTTTAGCATACAAAAGTTTGACAGATATAGTAAAACGGAGGTAACTTCACACACCCAGGTACACATACCAAGTAGACCAAGATATTATTAGAAATGATAATTTCGGAAGTTAATTCAAAATTCAATATATCACTATAAAACTAGAAGGTCTGAGTCAACTCACAGTCGCATTATCCCATACGGGACTTGAAAATATATCCGCTTACCTTGAGCACAAGGACAGCTCGCCCCCAGTCAAACACCAGATACCACACTTCCATTGTCTGTCATACGACTTTCATCTTACACGAGAGGATTTTTATTAATGCTATATTTATGCGCCTAAAGGCCTAGTTTCCTTCCGAAACAAGAGAGGCAATGTTTATTGAGGCCTTTTTGTTATGGTTGTGTTTCTTCGTGTAGTGAGGCTCGAAAGCACGGGATCATTTAATCTTCATCACCCGAAACCATACCGCAATGACTTAAACAATCTTTAAGATACCATCGTGATTAGTTCCATAAATCAGAGAATAGATGCTTAAATTATCTTAAAACATTCACTTTACAGCCACTCTACCGCCTCTTATTGTCCCTTCTTCGTTGATTCCAATTTTACACGGACAGGTATAGGGTAACTCGCATGGTTGAATGCATCAGGTTTATGCAGTTCAATTTACGCGCACGGCTTTCCCAGCCCCCCCTGCAGGGATGCCACGTCATTTTTGATCCGACTCGTTGAACAGTTCTCAGTAAATGCAATGAATGGTCAATCAGCGCTGACTGCGCTGCAGAGCTTCTAATGCGACAATGGATGACGTCGACCCAATCAAGAGGCGCGAGATAGAGGCTCGCGAGCTCCGGAGGGCCATCCTCGACCGCCTGGAGCAGTATCGCCAGCTCCAGTCGCTCGTCCCGTCTCACGCGATCGATCAACAAGGTCAGCTCACCCGCCTCTGCGCGACCCCAAGACACATATTCTGACCGCGCGGTACATGTAGTCAACCCAGATAATGCCTTTCGGCTGGAGACAACCCGGACGGCGCTGCTGAGAGACCTCCACCAGTTGTCGTCGATGCTGCTGAGTCTGGAGAAGAAGATTGACGACAAGAGGTGGATGAAATGGATTCTCCCTCCCTTCCTGTGAGCTCGGTGACCTGTCTGCCGATTAAGTGCGCACCAGCTAACGATTTTCTTGCCCTCCGCGCCAGAGGAATGATTGGCTATTTCCTCCTCATGGGGCTGTACAAGCTGCCCTACTTCCGCCAGTGGACACCCGATCGCAAGGTCAATGAACAGGGCAAACGCCGTCCTCTGTTCTTGAACTTGCTGGCGCTGCTCCCCTGGATCACGCGTCCGTTGGCTGCGTTCAAGATATTCATGTATGAGAGGCGGCGGATGCAGACAACGCGCTTGCAGGAGAGTGTGGACGAGCTGGAGTCTCAGGTGGAGAGCGGCTCTCCGTTCCAAGATGATAGATGCTTGGCGGCGAAGAAGTGGGATCGCATCCCTTGGGACGAGTGCAAGGATGTTTATGATCGGGCCTTCCTTTACATGTCTACGGGCTTGTAGGGCTGGAGCAGGCACCGTCGGGAAGCATGGCGGGCTTGATATGAAACTGGAAGAGACGTCGAATCGGATTCTAACGCGTTGACAATGTGTCAAGAAGACTACAATCAGCGCGTCAACCACATGAAGAGGTCATGGGCATATATTATTAAGGAGTTGATGTAAGATTAGGCCCGCCGAATATTACTGTAGAGCAAAAAGCCTAAAAGCTATACATACCTAGATACACCTTGGTCACTAAGCAAGATAGATACCTGATACATTGACCTTAAAGACAGTCGAAGTGCTGGTTTACATTCCTTCTTCCTTAGAAATGCCGCGTTTTTAGTTTCACAAGTCCACTGGCTTGAGTGATCACTAACGTGGGCTAATGATGCCTACCTACATGTTGATGAGGCAGGACCAGTTTAGAGATACTAAGCCCATTGATAAGGCCTGATTGGACTTATGCAGGCGTCGTAAAAGCGAGTCATGGCATAAGCAACAGGCATCGCACTAACCTAACCCATTTGCTCATATAATCTCGCTCTTTGCCGCTTGGTAAGCATTAACCCTCTGCCATTTTAATCGAACTCCCTCGCTCATTTCGGGGCTCTACGGCAGAGCTCGTAAAACTGACGCTGCAGATATGGAGTCTTGGGAAACCCACCCAATGTTGTTGGAGTTCAATGCTGTGGCTAGCCCAGGCGAAGCCCCCCGTGCAGCAAAGCATTCGCGGATTGGGAATCCCAAAGTTAGGACTGGCTGTGTAACATGTGAGTCTCCATCTCCTTGCTTTAGTATCTTCCTTAAACTTATCCGGAACAGGCAAGTAAGTGAGCTCACCAGCCTTTGTGGCAGGCCTGACTGACCGACAACAAGGGGGCGCCATGTCAAATGTGATGAGACAAAACCCGCATGTATGAAGTGCCTCACTACCCGTGGCATTTGTGGTGGATATTACATCCAACCCCGGAAGAATCAGTCGTGGAGGCACAGGCGCCGTCTCGCCCTTGAGCCCAAAGCACTGCAGGCATGCATAACCATCACCGAGCCAGCGGTAGGGCTCAGGTTCGAAGACGACTACCAAATCATGTACTTTGACGAATGGAGATACCTCGCCGAGGCGCCACTCAGCGGTTTTACCTCAAGCAAGTTGTGGTCCACCTTCATGCCGCAACTCACGAGTCAAAGCATCGTGCTCCGCCATGCCGCCTTGAGTATTGGGGCGATGAGCCATGCGCTATCTGCCCAGTCGACGGGTCATGATACTGACAAGCAGCGCCACTATCAGAGCGCCATTGAGTATTACTGCAAAGCCATACGGTCGCTAGCTAAGTCCAGCCATTCTGCGGTTAATACCCTGGATGCGGTGTTGCTCTCTATCCTGTTCGCAACCTTTGAAAGTCTTTGTCGTAATACAAAGTGCGCACTCGAGCATGTCTTCCATGGCTTGTCTATGATACGCGGCCTATGCAGTGGACCGAATGCGATGGCGCTTCTCAATCAGCTTGCGCCTGAGCCGGGAGAACTGATGAGTGAGGTTGTCAGCCTGTACTCGCGACTGGGTGTCCAGACTCAGATAATTGCAGGCGGCCGTATCGACGCAAGAAACTCGGATTTGGGAACTTCGCGTGAGAGATTAAAAGCTAGTCCAGAGGAAATGCACAGCATTAACTCGCGACTGGATCGATATTTCAACCCACGACAAGGTTTGGGCTTCCACAAAGAAACATTCTCCCGCTCGGAAGAGGCCTTGGAATATTGGGTTGCCATGACACGCCGAATTGAAACCATGGGCCCTGACATTGTGAGGGTGGTGAGGAATCTACTCAGCGAAGATGCTACAGATCACTCAGCAGTTGAGAAAGCCATTGATCGTTTCCAGAGCTCCACTGAGCTCAGGTCATATACGAGTAATGCGTGTGCTCAGTTAGAGCAATGGAGGAGAGCCTTTTGGCCTCTTTATCAACGCCATGGTGCATCTCATGCAGGCGAGATATCCGATTGGTCCATTGTCAGCCTTTACGTTGAATACCTGGCCCTGTCTATTCACAGCAATGTTGCACAGTATGGAGACTACGAGTATGTTGAATCGATTACACCCAAATGCCGTGATATCGTCAAATTATGCGAGGTTCTACTATGCCAACAAAATATAAAATCAAGGAGACCAGCATCCATGTTCACTATGCACACTGGTCTGACATGGCATCTGACATTTGTAGCGATAAACTGTCGTGATCCCGATGTACGTCTGAGCGCGATGCGGGTGCTGGAGACGTATCCTAGACATGATGGTCTCTGGAGCAGTCACTTGCTTCTCGAGATAACAAAGAAGAGCCAGGATATCGAGACTGAAAACATCACTGAAGAGTTTTCAGAGGTGCAGTGGCGGCGGCTTTGTCGTCGAGTGTACCTCTTCGAGGAGGCGGAGAGCAAGCTGATCTTTCGGTTTATGCGCAAGGACAATGAAACCAAACAGTGGGAGTATATTGAGGAGTTTGCAGATGCCTCTCAATTGAGTACTGGAGTAGACGGTTTGGAATGGAGGCGGAGGCCACTCAGCAGCCAAATGTTCACTTTGCAATGGGGACGAACGGCCGATGCGGCTTCCGGAAGTTTATGGCCGGGGATGGGCTGTGTCAAGCCGGTTCCATCATCATAGCTTTGATACGCAAAAGAAATCAAGAGTTGGTTTCCCATGATGAATGTGTATGTTTACATGTCTGAGCTATATATTCAAAGGAAACGTTGACGTTACTCATAACAGTTTATACGATGTCTGAGCCGGCGTTATCACCGAGTAACTTGGACGTGCAGCAACTTACCAATGCTTTCTCAACGAAGATTGCTGTTGGCATAGAGCTATGGTTCGAGGGCAGGGTATTCATCTGCGGAACGCCCACAAACTTGAAAGATTAATTCCCAAGCCCACCACTTGAATCCACAGGTCAATGAATGTGTACTACCGATAGCAAAGTTGATTATTATGGGCTATGAAGTAGTTTCAAAAGACCGGGTAGCCAGAAAACACGCATCAGGGGTAGAGGTTGGGCTCCACACAGACGTTGTCTGAGCAACCCGTCGGTGAAAGTATTATTCCTGCTAGCCAAGCAATAAATAGCTCTGGAAAATTTCCTCTGCGACAATAACTCTTCCTCCTGAAAACATTTTCCCACCCTCCATGCGATGATGGGACCGAGAGTCCACAAATTCTCTGGCAGCATGTGTAAGATCACATCGAAGCAGGCCGCCATACTTCCTGCTTGTTAGGTGTCATGAGCCTTGTCTTGGTTCAATTAACTGATCGAGACCATGTCATTCGGCACGCGAAGGTAAGTATTTTGTAAAACCTGGTAGTAAACATCCGAGCCACGGAACCCTTGACATCACTCTGAGACGTGCCATACTTCACGGTGGTTCGTTTCAATTTTTGTTCAAGGAAGATCACGTAACAGTCCACATACTCACCGCTGCATTCTGGGGTTTCCCCTAAATGGATGTCGTGGTCCATTAGTCTGGTCTACATTATTATTGTCTAATTAATGTTGTGTTTTATGTGCAATGACCAAAATTCATTGTCATGAGAGATATACTTTGTGTTTGATTTATTGCTTCTAATCTATGTATAATTCTGACTTCATTATTTATTTATGCCTTCCATCTAAGAAGTGTGAAGCTCAGACGCTCAAAGCGGTATGTGTCGGTTACATTCCACACAGACTCTCTGATGTTGACTTTTTCTTCTTGTTCCGAATTGGCATCGGCTGATTTGAAAGTCTCGCCGCCAACGGTGAATACCTGGACTTCGCTTCCAGGGGCGATACCATTGAGCTTAGTAGCGTAGCTCTTCTCTTCGTCCGAGTTCAAGATAGCCACATTCATCCACCCATCATTGTCAATGGTGGCGCTAACATCAAGTTTGGGGACCGGAACAGTCGTTTCAACCCGTTGTGGGAATGTCTCTCCTTGATACGTGCCCGTACGAGTATGCACAGAAACCGCCTTTCCGTGCATGTACTTTGAGAAGAGCAACAACGGGAAGTATGTGGTCTGCTTCCAGACACCGTGGGGCGTTTAACGTTGACACTTTGAGCAATGGTGGCCATCCCAATATCCTTGCAGTTGCGCACAAAGATGTTCAGCCAGATGGCAACTGCCAGCCCATTGCTAAGCGTATACTGTTCCTCGCCACCCTTGTTGCCGGGAGCTCGTTTCGGATCCCACACATTCCACTCGTCGAAGCATATTGTGGGACGCTTTGCGCTGTTTGGCTTGGTGATGATTCGCTCGATATCTGGGAAGGGCGAAAGGTCGAATTCGCACCGAGCAAGATCGATTAGGGATGAGCAGACTTGGATAGCTCGTTCAGCGGCGTAGACGGAAGATATATTTTTGTAGTGGCCACTGCCCATGGAGTAGTAGTGGATCGAGTGCATGTCGACCCAGCGGAGGCATTGCTGGAGAGTGTAGCGATCCCAGTCCGAATAACCATCTTTTCCGCACAAGATCAACGTAATGGAAGGGTCGAGAAGTTTTAATGCTGTGAAGACGTCAATACTTGCTGAGCGGAGATCCACGAGCCTGGGAGTAGCATACCTCGAGCCCATTGGATTGCCTTTTTGGCGTAATCCTCCTTTGTATGTTGTTCTACCTGCCTTCAAGACTACGTTAGCTGGTGTTGTTTAATCTAATAGATTTTGAGTACTTACCATGGCCCCCACATCTCGTTCCCAAGAGCCCAATACTTGACATTGTATGGCTTTTCGTGGCCGTTCTGTCGTCTGAGGTTTGCATAGTATGTGTCCTTGTCACCATTGCAATACTCCACCCAGGCAAGAGCATCCTCCAGCGTCCCTGTGCCCATGTTCAGACACAGATAAGGTTCAGTACCAACTACTTTGCACCATTCCATGAACTCGTCTGTGCCAAATGTATTGGGCTCCACTCCCTCCCAGGCCAGCTCTGGTCGCTTCGGGCGTTTCTCTTTGGGTCCAATGCCATCTTGCCATTGGTACGAGGCGCAAAAGTTACCACCTGGGTATCGAACGACCGGGACTCGAAGTTCTTTGAAGTATGAGGTTATGTCCCGGCGAAATCCGTTCTCGTCAGATAGTTCTTTGTTTTCTGGCTCGTAAAGACCACCGTAAATACAACGGCCCATATGCCTACCTAATATTAGCTCACTGCCACAAGTTGACCCATGTTCTTTGGGAACCTACTCAGTAAAGCCTCCATAGATGAGAGGATTGATGTCCGCGATGGTATTGGCAGGGTCGAAGGAGATTGAGGTCGACTCGTCCTCGACGGAAAGAAGAGTCAGGGTAGTCATTTCGGCGCCGTCGCGATTCTGTTTGCTGGGTTGGGCCTATGATGTCTTGAGGGGAGATAGAGCGGCGTGGTGTTGAAGGGGAAGGAGGAAGAGTAGAAATAGCCTTTGCCTCATGATGACTGATGATGAAGCCTCCAAGTGAGATGCTAAATTATTCCGTCGTTTCCAATGGTGCCACGCGAGATCAGCTACTTGAATCACCTACGAGACGGGTCACCTGGGCATACTCATCCAGCATTCACAGCAGGCATTATCAGATCTCCACCTATTTAGCTGACTCCTTGACTCGGAATTACCGGAGGAGTTATTCAACAAAGGTGTTGGGTCGTTTCCTGCCTTGTCCAGCCCCGTTCAACTCGCACGGAGTCGCACCACTCCAGGAGCAGTTGTCCAATGTCGCGCCAGGAGACTTCGTATAACCGGCGCCGAGCTGGCGGCGCCTGCGTTGCTACTGGGGGGTCCTGTGTCTATCCCGGGGATCTGGTATCGGATCATTCCAGATTGGACAAAGCCAGTCTGGCCATCCTGCAACGACTGGGTGAAGTTGAGCAGAACCTTGCGGCGCTGATTAGTGGGAACCAACCAACGGTTCAGGAATGGTCTTGAGTGTTCCTGAGTTCCGAAAAGACTTTGTTTGCGGGTGATTATGTCCTTGATGCCGACTGGCAATCAGCTTTCTACGGCGGCCCTGTTGCAAGTTCTGTTATCGGCAAGTTCTGTGCGGGCTACCTCGCTGATCATTTTGGTCGCAAACCGCTCCTGATTACCGCTCTGCTTGTCTCCTTTGCCGCTATCACCCTCGAGTTTCTGGCCACCTACAGCGCGATGTTCTTTGGCGGTAAATTTCTCAACGGCTTCGCAATCGGAACAATTCTTTCCGTCTCTGTAACGTACATCGGCGAGGTAGGCTGACCCAAAGTCATACAAGTCTTACACAAGCTAATCATATCTTAACAGGTTACTCCCCTTGCACTTCGTGGTATCCTTACGTGCCTGACGGCCCTCATGATGACTCTCGGCCCACTTACGTCTGCTATCATCATTGACAACGCTGGCGATTTCGATACTCGATGGGCGTATCGTGCTGTATTTTGCGCTCAATACGGATTTGCCGGTATCTCAGCACTATTTGTGGGATTCATGCCAGAGTCTCCGGTATGGCTCTTGAGCGTGGGACAAGAAGACAAGGCGGCGAAGTCACTGACGCGACTGGGTTGCGACGGACTCGATCTCGGTATACATTTGGCTCAGATGAAGAAAATGCTCCGCGAGGCCAAGGAGGAAGTTGCCAATGCTACATATAATGACTGCTTCCGCCACTCCAACCTGCGCCGCACAATTATCTCCATCATGCCTCTTTCGATCCAGGCTCTCAGGGGCGTCTTTTTCATCGCCTCATACGGCACATACTACATCCAGCTTGCCGGATACAGCACGGCGACCAGCTTCAAGCTTCAAATTGCTCAGCACGGTCTAGCAATGGCAGGCAACATATGCTCTTGGTTCCTCATCGACCGAATTGGCCGTCGACCTCTAATGCTGTGGGGAACTGTATCCGTGACACTCATCCTCCTTGTTGCTGCAGGCTTGGCGACCGCGGGGAGCCCAGCTCCATCAAAGACTCCGTGGGCCTTATCGTTGCGTACAACTTCGTCTACAATATTTCCATTGGAGCTTCGGCTTACACACTTCTTTGCGAGGTTGCGACGTCACAGTTGCGAATCAAGACCATCTCGATTGGCGTTGCGTTGCAGAATGTCATTTATTGCATCTGGGCTTTCGTCATTCCATATGTCTTCAACCCGGACCAGGCCAAACCTTCAAGGCAAGACGGGGTTCATCTTCGGAGCCCTCGGGGTCATCTGTGCGGTGTATCTGTGGTTCTACCAGCCCGAGACGGCCAATCGTAGCTATGAGGAGCTGGATGAACTCTTCAGGAAGGGGATTAGTGTACGCGACTTTGGCAAGTACCAAACCGAGGCAGAGGGGCGGGATAAAGTTGGTGAGAAGCAGACTTGAAACTTCCGTATAGAAGCAATAAATCAAACACAAACTGAATCTGTCATTGATGATAAAAACAGTTCGCTATGCATAAAATATAGCATTAACCACATAATGATTTCTGACAAAACCCGCAATGCTTTCAAGAAAATTTAAGCAAATAAACGGTTTCCTGCTAACGAATGTCTGATGAAGTCTGATAGTGATGTATCATGTAAGCGACACGCTACTACTTGATTCAAAAGGAGAGATTAACTGTCATTTTCCTCGATGAGAGAATTCGATCTTTCCACTAGGCTCTCCTGGATCGCTTTGTTGATATCGCTCACGTAGAAAATAGGTCCATTCCCATTACACCTAGCATATTTTCGCACATGCGTCCCAAGACTTGACATATCGATGGCGCCGCGCTTGTACAGCTCATGTTGGACCACGTAGTCCCAAGCAGCGCTAGGAGAAAGCCGCCTCTGACCATCGGATGGCATTGATTGAAGGGCTCTAATTTGTTCTCCATGGCCTCCAAGCACGCTGGGGATGAATATGGCCGAACTGAGCCGTGGTGGAGAGCCAATCACAAAATGCTCGGTCCCGACGTCACCACTCGAGGAAGTGGTGGCCTTGAGGACTTTATTCTCAACTGTCTTTACCTGAAGATCATTCTTCAGGCGTTCATTCTCCCTTTCAGTGTGTACCTGTGACTGTTCAAGCCGCTTCAGAGCTTCCTCTAGGCTTTTCAAGCGCCGTTCTTTTCGTTCTCGGTGCGCACGCTGACTAAATCCACGTCAGTGAGATGGTTGTTTAACATGCCGTGGTAGTAGAAAGAGCTGGCGTACGCATCACGGTTTCGGATTTTCCTCTTTAATTGAGCATCCGTTATTCCGTTATCATTACTCTTATCCGTCTCGTATAAGGCTTTGTTCGCTCTAGTATCCTCCCCAAACGGAATCTCGGCTCTTCTTTGGTCCTTCTGGTCGTCGTCGCAGTCCTTGGATAATGACAGGTACTTTTTGTTTGGAGTAGTCATATTTGGCAAGGCTAGAGATAATTCAGGCGGCCCTACCATGCCCGGAAAACTAGAGCGTGGTTGAAATTGAAAGTCGCGAGTGTATTGATAGGCTAGGTGCCCTCCAGTTGGGGATGTAATCTCGTATGAATCCTCAACAAAAGATGGAAGTTAGCCGTGATTCATCGAAGTTTCTGGCAAGTGAGTCTTGTATTGGGCATACTGCGCATATGAGCCAAGATGGTTGGGTGTATAGCGAAGAGTAGAACATTCAAGAAGAATCTAAGGATTACTAACTGGCGAGGACTCATCATATCCGTCGGATGATGCGGAGAGGGCATTCGATGGCGTGGGGTGCTCCTGGCCGGCCACTGGAGCCTCATCAAATTGGCCAGGGTGATACATGGCAAGCAAATGAAAGAGAAAGATAGTTGAATTACGTCGTGGGTATGCTCTCGGGTCGAAATGGACCGAACGATAGGGCTGACTGGATTTTGCCACTGAGGATCTCTACCATTTCAAGGTATGATTCCGGGGATTTTTTGGAGGCTCCGCAAAGGCCGTAGTTCCGATCGAAGAGGTTAATTCGGGCCGTGGGCGATGGATTGTTGCCAGGAGGTGGCAAAGTCGATCTGCCGCGGTGGCGATGTGGGAAGTACGGGGAATTTATTAAGACGATTAGAGCACAATCATCGTCTTTCCCTGTCCAGCCCCTGCTATTAAGGAGCACCACGGATACTCAAATGGATCAAACATGGGTGTGAAGACTCAGTGACCAGATTGGTGTTAAAAATTGCGCATGCCTAGTTGCCTAGTGTGGTCGGCACTCGGTCAACTGCTTATTGATGGGCTTGTAACCACCAATCCACCCCCGAAGGACTGAATGGTCTCGAGACTCGTTATTCTCGCTTCTATTGGTCGGCCACTTATGCGGACTTTCGGCCCTGTTATACCATTTGACTTCCTGCATCGACCATATCAGGCCAAGCGGTCATGGGTGACGCCCCGAGCATAACTTTGAGAAACAAGTCGACCATTGCGGTTAAAGGAAGCTAGCTTTGCAAAGGACTTCTCCAGGTATTAGCCATTAAAATCATCATGACTTCATGTTTCCATGGTGTATAAGTATGACATAGTATCGCCTCTTGATGATGATTGGCGAGGTTTGTCATGTCGGTCGTATCGATTCCCTACTGTAATTGACACCACCAGTTCACCTCGACCCCCCTGACTCCCCAGGAGATAAATCCTACAATCTTCTGCAAAGCTACCCAAATTGAAGTATGGGGTCCACCGTTTTTGAGTCTGTCAGCGCGAGGGTTTGTCTGACTCGGTTATCGTCACCCTTAGTCATTGATTGCCAAGGTTTGGTAATCCATTGCGCATTTCCATTTTAAGTATCGTGTCCTAGACTATCTCCGAGAACTTTTCCGCAAGTAGAAACGTTGAAGGGTGATTGTTAACATGCTTCTCTTGGTATAGCACCGGCAGAGGCGATTGAGCGGCGCGGTGAGGCCCCCATCTCACCAATAGAAAGAGCCATCAGATGAATCATGTATGGATGTCCTAGCACTGTATTTGGGAAAGGGTCAAAGGCGCCGTTGGAGCTCATAACAACTTTGTCTTCAGCATCGGGGATCATGACGAAGAAGGTCTGTATGATTATGTTTCACTCTGTTAACCCACAGCCGCAGCCGTAGTTTGAAATTTGGGACGGGTTCGTATCTGTAAGAAAATCTGGTGGAACTCAATCTGAATCATGTTTCGCTCATAATACTAGGGCAAAGACATTGAGATCTCTTTAGCAGTTGGAGGGAATAGTGACAATGGATATGCTGCGATAATTTGTTAACAGATTCTCATCGCGAAAAGTAAAGCTCTCCTAGTCGGTTTACACATAGCTCCTTAATTCCCTCAAGCCAATGTCTTCTCCAGTAGCAGCAATCTCACTACTTCTCAGGTGCCTTCTATAGTGTAGTGTATTAATGTCTTCTCTCACACCAAAATAATAGAATCTAAACTACCCACCGCGTTGTTCACGATCATGAGGACTTCACCATAGTCTCCTAAGAATAATGTGTTAGCCACATTGTTGGACTTTGAGATTGATATATCCGATGCGAGTACGCATAATGTACGAGTAACCAGCGTTAGTTCTAGATTTTTACGTGGCGGTAGAAGCAGGTGGTGAGCCCCAGGGAGTGACATGTTTGTTTGTTGAGGAGGGGTCGATCATCTTCAGTCAGTCACTTCCCTGTGCTCCAGTCATTGCACAGGTGGATAGAGCCAAGTTCTTCCATACTAATAACGCGATACATTAGGTCTTGTCGACACAACATATCGAAGGGAAGATGGCAAGAAAACGAATCGCAGGATGGGACGACATGATGGTTGACCACCAGGAAACCCCAATGCCGAGCAAGTAAAGACCTATCAGCTTGCTGTCGTCAGGCTAACTTTAGTCAAGGACATGTTTTCTAGTATCACGGTTAGGGAGCTTCAAAGAGATTCTGATGCTAATGCTCTACTTTCTATCATGCGAGGCTTTGCTTCCGAGATTTTTATTCGGACAATATACCTGAGGGGAAATTTAAGGTCGTGGAGGGGTAGATGGAAGAATTATATAATGCCAGTCGTGATCCGGCGATCAATACTCTCTGGATCCTAGACAGTTAATATCAAGGATAACCATGCTATTCCATACCTGGCTGCGGTGTGAGCCGGTGGGCGCAGGTAGCGGTTTGTCACTATGTAACCCTCCATGAGCAAACACGATCGATAGGACTAAACCTCATGAGTTGGGAAGTTTCATGTACTACAACCACAGAGACAACCGGCGGGATAGCGGCCGCCGCGGAGCCCGCTGCTTATAAACTTGCCAGATATCTCGGGCCCGAGCATGTGTCCGGGACACGATTATGATCCCGGTTCCGAACTGGGAGGTAAACCGTCAATAATAAAGAGGCAACAACCTAACCCTCGCGTCTTCAGCTCCAGACAACGAGCTTGAGGACTTTCACCAGGGTGTCCACTCACATCATGCTATCTATCGCCATTTTTGTACTGCACTTCCTTTTGGCTGGCGTACGTTATGCTTACGCTCACTACGAGGATGGCGGTCCATTCAGCTTTGATCCAAAGGCTGCTGATTACAACAATCAGTTCATATCTCATCAAGCGCCCATCCTTGTCTTAGAGAATGTCCGCGTTATTGATGGTACGGGAAACGCACCAGAAGAGGCTCAGACAATCGTAATTGAAGACGGGAAGATTACTGCATTGGGAGCCACAGGATCAATTCCGGTGCCAGAGGACGCCAAAGTTATCTCTGCCGCTGGCAAGACAGTCCTCCCAGGCTACGTTATGCATCACGAACATCTCTACTATCATTCCTTATCACAAGTGCCTGGCATGCCATATCTGGCTACCCCATCAATGGTAACCGTCCCGCGCTTGTACCTCTCCGTCGGCGTGACCACGGCGCGGTCCATTGGGACTTACCACCCATTCGACGACCTCAAACTGAAGGAGGGCATCGACAAAGATATTCTACTCGGGCCGGACCTTTTTCTCACGGCACCTTTCATACAAGGCGACCCTGAGTACTACCAACTCATGCCTGAAATCAACTCTGCTGAAGCTGCGAAACGCGAGGTCCGATATTGGGCTGAGCGTGGATTTCACAACTTCAAGACGTATGTCGACATATCGCGTTCTGAAATAAGAGCAGCGGCGGAGGAAGCCCATCTTCATGGTAAGAATATCAGCTCTCACCTTTGCTCGGTATCGATTCTCGAGGCATTGGATGCTGGCATCGACGAAATCGAGCATGGGTTTCAGTCCATTGCTGTTGACATTCTACGATTGCACGAGGGAGAGGAAGTAGGATTTCAGGCAAACTCCACCATAGGCCGAGATACGAGCCTAGGGGAGCAATTCGTCATGACTGCAGGTATGGATTTTAAACAGGATCGTCGCCAATGCCGTTTTGACATACTATTTGGGCCATTGATGATGGATCTTGATGTTGACTCCGCCGAAGTCCATTACATCTTCCAGCGAGTGATTGAAAAAGGCGCGGTTGTTGACTCAACATTGGGGGGCCTGGCTCGACTTATGCCAAACTCCATATTGCCGCCCATCAACGACGAAGCTAAGTCATTTTACACGCCACAAAGGCTAGCACAATGGGAGCACGAGATCGAAAAGACCCACAGTAAAGCCGGTGACCTGACCATTTTCCTCCAGAAACTGATGGAGCTGGATTACAAGTTCTGGAAGGCCGGGGGCAACCTGGTCTTGGGCTCGGATGCCGTCGCACTGGCTGGAGCAGTGCCTGGCTCGACTAATTTGGAGAGCCTTGAGCTATTGTTCATGGCTGGCATCCCGCCGCTGGAGGTCATCAAGATTGCCACACTGAATGGAGCGCGAGCTTTGGACTTGTTTGATCGAGGGACCGTCGCTGAGGGTCAACGCGCTGACCTGATCCTGTTGAATGGTAATGCAGTGGAGGACTTCAAGGCAATCTATGAAATCGACACAGTATTTAAGAAAGGAATAGGATATTCTTCGGCTAGATTACAGGAGAGTGTACGTGGCACGATTGGTATCATAAATTAGCTAACCAGTCAAACATTCTCTGGGGTTATAATTTGGACATTGGCCCAAACCCATCAAGTTAGGAAGTTGATGACGAAGACAATAGGAATAAGACATCGCGCATGTCCTCTGCGCGTTTTTCTTGTTCAGAACATTAAAACACTACACATAGTTCATATGGGCGACCTGTTGATGTACTTGCCCGCCACCAATCTCAGCCGTTCCCGGAGAAGAACATCTTTCCTTTCAACGCTGAGATACCAAATACCGGCGCCTTTACCCATGAGTATGGTCCTGTTCCTTTACTTCTGTCAATAACTATAAATATCTGGAGGCTAATTACGGAACCAAGCTCTCTCACACCATATTGCGTCTTGGTTAACACAGTGTTGAGGTTGCATGTTACTTGGTGTGTTTGCCGTCCAGAGTCGATGCGCTGCTTCGCCTCCAAATCTCTAATATCGCTAACACCCCAGACATTGCCTAGCCCTACGAGCCGTAGTGTTTGTTCAAGCTTGATGTTCCCTCGATTATCTAGATGCTCATTTGGGATAAAGGATATATTTAGTTACATACTATATAAAGGTAGGTAGAGGTCCGCCTTCACGATAAGCGTGATGTTTCTGCGTGTGCCGAAGCAGCTGGCTGTTTCTCTGGGGCTTTCGACGTCCTTGGTCCACTGCCTGCGGTTACTATGGATCTTACTTCCTAAATCTCGTCTTGAAGACTGTGCCAAGCTGTCATCATTTCTTGCGGCTCCCACTTGTAGTGAAAGGTAATTTTCCCGGATACTGGAATCCCGCAGCTATGAAGAGCTGCGTGTACTCGACTGTCTCTGATCCAGATTGTGTCTCGGCCTGGTCGCTGCGCCCAGGATAAACTCGAAGCTGTCTCCATATTGTGAGAAGCCAGGGCGGATGTCGTTGAGTACTTGCTCGTCCTCGAATTCTCCTTTGACAACGCCGCGGATAGTCGCGAGGTTCCAGATATGATGGGTTGAAGGAGACATAAGATGACTCTGAGGCCTTCAGCTTTCGGTTTGGGGTATTTGAGAAGTTTGTGGGCGATGTCGATGCCAGAGTAGCTTTTATTTAATTTGATATTCACGATGAAATCGTTTTCTTACGGACAATTTGGGACGGCAAGATGATCGATAAGCTAGTTGACCACAAGGAAACGTTACTCTCCAGCAAAAAAAGATCGATCAGCTTGACATCGTTAGGATTCCGGATACATGTGCCTCAAGAGAGCCTCAAAGGGGATATACGTCAATATAACGATTAATTCCAGAAACGCCATCCAAATTAGTCTTATTGGGTCCCCGCCTGGCCTCCATCTCCCTCTAGAGTACATACACATACAGCCGCGGAACTCTTATGCACACTAAGTCTCCTAACAGAGAACAACGGCAGGGGTAACTTTATAGCCCGTGACATGTCCTGTCGATCTACGTGATAGCATCTTGTCGGCCATATATGAAATGCCACCCTTGTGCCTGCGGTAAAGCCCTCATGCACACCCAATGCGACTGTTACTTTGTGGACACCTCCCTCGAATAGACCCATCTGTGTTTTATTACAACAAGACATGCATCTTGCCTACAAAACTACCACGGCCGGCTGCTCCAATCAGGAAAATGTGCAGGCTGCCTGAGACCTCCAAGGGCCAGTAAGCGCCGCCCTCTGCAGCTCGGTTGCATTTCAGCTGCGACCTCTTCTGTCTAGGGGCTGGAGAAAAAGAAAATAATCCAAAAACCTTGCAGCCAGCGTCTCGAACGCGGAGCAAGGAAATGAGAAATGCAACCCCGATTACGTATCTATCTGACCAGATATCTCCCTATAAAGCTGCGCTCGCTGCCCAAATGGAACGCTGACCGGCCTCCAGCCAACTTTATCAACTGGCAAGAGCACCTCAACACGGGCTGTCGGAGTCTGCCGATCGCTAAAACTATGTTCCGGCTTTCTGCACATTCGATGCTGCCTGGAGAGACGCATCTGTGACGTAACGTAAACAAATCAAAAGGTGACGTTGGATTTCTCCCGCTTCTCCATTCCAGTGCTAACATTGGAACAACAACGTTCAGCGGCGATACTTTGCCATTATCTTTCTCTTGCCGTCGCACCGTTCCGCTGCCGGCAAACCGTGCTACCCGTCTTTTTGTGTCCGTGACACGCGCGCGAGTGTTTCGATTGACCCTACCACCAGCCTACGCTGGAGGAAATCCGACACACCCGCCCTTCGAGCGTCAGACGTCTTCAGCAAGAGGCCCCGATTGGCTTTTACTTCCGTCAGCGATGTCTGCAAGGAAGAACCCGCGATTTTCGGTAACTCGGCAAAAAGCATGTGACCACTGTGCAGCCACAAAAACCAAATGTAGGGCCCAACCTTGCGAAAGATGTGCCGCGCGGAAGGCAGTTTGTTCCTATATGGAGACGGCCCCAGGAGATATACCAATGGGAGTAGATTCAGACGATGCTGCAGAAGATGTTGCTGATCACCAAGAGAATCTCGGCCCTGATCCAGCTCTCGTGGCCTTACTCGAGGGCTTTAAGGGGCCCAACACTTCGGTCCAGGTCCTGACCACTGACGGTAGCAGCCTACCAGTTATGGATGTCGAGGGCGCCAAAGCCAGTCTCATATTTATCCCTGACCCTATAGAGAAGGAGAAGGTCATGGACTTCACCAATATCCGGCTTGCGTGCCCAATACCAGCCGAACAAATCCAAAATCGCTGGCTCAATAGCATGGTCCCAATCCCCGGCCATGTGATGCAGACTCGCCCCAATAACATCACGTTTTTACTCCATCAGATGCTCAAATCGTATGCTGGTACCGCCATTCGGGGCCGTGGAATCCTGCCATTCGTCCATCCGTTACAGACCGCCGATCCGTCACAGACTGCCGATGATGGTTGGTGTGAGCCATTGTCGACCTGTCTATCAACTGTTCGGGTCCTCGATAACCCGATCCTTGGTCCCGACCAACGCACGGCAGACCTCATCAGGGAGAAGATGTGTACAATCCAAAACGAGTACCTCAGTTGCAAGGACGAGATGAAGGTCTTGGCTGCCTTCCAGGCCTACCTGACTTACACGCTCACACTATTCTTTTACGTGAATCAGGATCGCGACGACTATCTTGCCAAAGCGATGGCTATCCTCCAAGCACTAGCACGCCGCGTCACAATGCAAGGCCTCGTGACCCCAACGAGGGCGCCAAATTGTCGTCATATTTGGGAAGAGTGGGTGGCTGGAGAAGCGAAGCGTCGGACCATATTGGTCATGTATCTGTTCGACGCTCTGCTGGCCGTGAGAGACAGACTCCCAATCTACTCAATGGTAGAGCTGCAGAACCTGCCCGCTCCAGGCCCAAAGTCTCTCTGGCAGGAGACGGTCCGAAGTGACTGGAAAACTGCGTATACTGCATACGAGACTCATTGGGACAATGGTTCATATCTTCGCATAATCGAGCTGTGGCCTTCGTCGCCAACCTTTAGCAGAGATGATGCCGAAACGCGCCGGAACCGCGTTGATCTCTGGCTCGAGGACATCGATGAGTTTGGGACTTTTTTTTATGCCTATATGGCTTCTGCCCAGACTGTTTGTATCTAGCCGTGCGCGACATTGAGGTCCGTTTCAAATCAGGTTGCCTGTGTCAACTCAACACGCTTCCATACAAGCCTTGAGGAATGGCTACGTGTATTGGAACTGTTTACTATTTCTTATGTTGGCTCAAAAATCTCTCCTTTCTTTCTATTCACTTGCATCTTATGAGGCAGAGGAGGGGCATATTTTTCTGATGAAATTTTTACCGAGAACACTCGCTTGCAGTGGCCAATATACTCCAGCTTTGTAGCGCTGCCTAGCATGGGCGACAGCCATTGAACTGCTATCGATTACAATTCGAGAATTTGTCTTTCACGATTATTTTTGCTACTTGGGAGGATGGTGATTAGCCCATGGGCAGGACACTCGACTCGAGTCAAGCTGCGACAGGACAACTCTCGCACCCCTTAATTTTCAAGCCCCGTGGAAGAAACAGTGTAGAATAACATTACAAAATTCCTTTTTTTTTAATTTTGGTATTTTACCGGCCAACCATTAGCATTACTCTGAAAGGCGGATGGGTCGAGCGAGAATCAGCCATTCCAGCACAGTCCCCAGACAATCCCTTTCATTGTGCGATAAGTCCACGATTTAGTGTAGCTAAGACCTTTCTTTCTGCGACTTAAACCCTTGAAAACGAGATATTTGCAGGCAGAACAGGGCTGACGTTTATGATATTGGAGCTGCGACAGACCAGCTCAAGTGCATACTGTGACCAGATGTATTATCTCAGCCCAAGTGGCTGATCAACTTATATAAGACATGCACGAACAGTAAGCTTATGAGTCAAAACTATTATTCCCAAACCTAAATTGTGATCGATCAGGATCACACGACGTCTCCATCCTTCCTGAAATAAGGCCACTTCCATGCACCAGGCGTGTCCAGTTGTGCCTCCTAACATCGAACGCCAACACGACTCAAGTCTCAGCATGTCGCAGAGAAGCGAATCTAAATAATAAAAAAAGGTCAGCTTCATTGGATGCTAAGTAATGAAAGTTTCGAAGGAGCCACTTGGCATTTCAAATCAACGCCATTGGACCAGACCGAACTTCGTGCCGCAGGAATAAAACGACAATGTAACAAGTTGGCAGGGGTCAGCGTATCGGCTACTGGATGATCAGCAGCAACCCGGTTGAGCATCAACTTGCAAATAAGGCTGATTGGGGGGGTAGTCAGAAAGTTTTTAGCCCTGGAAGGCCTGGGCAGCTGACCTAAACCACCAGAGCATCCTTCGTCTTACCCCCAAGTCTCATGTTCGACAGGGGCTTCTCTCTGGTCACTTCCTATTCGCTCCTCCGCGCAGCCCAATGGCACAGTGCATCCAAAATTATTATCCAATACGACGAGGCGTCGAAATATAGTTATGTTTCCAAAAGGGTATTGCTCTGCGCTCTAATTTTAGCTACGGGTTGGCTCGACTCTCAGCCGCTTGCTTCGCTTTGCGCTGCCAAGTGATTCTGGCTGATAAGTCTACAATGTGATGCTGCAAGACATAAATGCTGAGGGTGCGCCCTTACTGACATCGATGAGAACACCACATAGCATTGGCTGTCGCTCATAGCCGGTTCTCTTATTCGAGTCCTTTAGCATCCTCGCTTCACTGCTCGTGTGACACTGGCTCTTCACTTCACTTCTTATTTTGAGCATATCTGGTTCAATCCTTGTACAAATAACCCACCTACTCCTCTTTCACCGAATAATCTGTCAAGATGCCTTCAGTAGGAGGTGGAACCGTAATGCTGGTCGTCAGTGCCATCCCAGTCACTGTCCTCACCGTCATTGCTGGCATAGCCATCATTATTCTCACTCTCCTCATCCTGTTTATGAGCCACCGCCAGGGCGACGAGGCGCGAACTGGCATTCCTTGGATCAAAGCAAGCTGCTGCCTGTTTGTCCTGTAAGTATTATTCTCATGTCCAATTAGCAGCATGGAAGTTCTATACTAACATGTTACTCTGTAGTGGCCAAATCTTCAAATTCATCGCTTCCGTCTTGCAGGTGACTTCTGAATCGTCTGACGACGCCCCGGGTAAATACAAGGAGGCTATGAGCTCGGCACAACTTGAAATATTGAGTAATCTTTTCTGTATCTTGGGCTATGCTGCATTTGTCAGTGCTCAGATCGAGTTTGCCAGAGGTATGCAGATGATCGATGCCTTCGTTAGCCAGGGAGGAAGCCCTCGGCTCGATGCATCGACTGGTAACAACGGCCGCATGCTCAACTACACTACTTTCATCGTCGTCTTGCTGCCCGCGATCGGCTTTTTTATTGATCAGCAACTCGTCATCAACACTGACTTGCTGCTCACTGGTGCCAATGATGAGGGAATGTCCCCTCTACTGAAGTCATTCATTGCCCTCTATTTTGCACCCAGGCTTCTGCTCGGAATTACTGCCCTTGCGTCTTTGTTCTATACTATCAGGCAGCCTCGAAGCCCACCTCATAATAAGGTCAGTGGATTACACCGTTATTGACACGCCACTCTTTGAATTTCTTTACCGGCTTGGGCTAACTATTGGTTCCCCTCAGCTCGGCGCTCACCTACTTGCCATCTCCACCCTGACTGCCATTCGCCATGTCTCCATGGCAGTGATCGCTGGTATCGACAGCTTTAGTTACAGGCTCTCCATGTCCGCGAAATCATTCATGAACATGGGGCTGGCCCTCCAATACGCCGAGATTATCCTTGGGTCGTGGCTATATGTCATCTGTCTCGGAATGGCCTTCGGTATCACAAGGATGAGCCAGGGGGGGCTCCGTCTGAACAACCTAAACCCAGATTCCAAGCCCACTTCAGCCTAGAGAGAGATAAATCTTAGGGATGAGTAGTTATGGGTGAATGATATTGTCCATTGGGTTGGCAAGTAGTGACAGAATGCTGTGGATTATGCAGAGATAACTTCAAGGAAGTGTTTTCAGAAGGTTTCTTCTACAAAATGACCAATCAAACCCCAAGTCATTGTGTCTAAGAATAATTATCATGTAAAATATCCTTTCGTAGTGGATGATTATTTCGTCTCTTTCAAACAATAATGGCATTATTTCACCGTATGCGCAGAAAATCACCCTACTTAATACGTCTCCAGGCTAAAAGAATGGAAGAGGATGCTGGGCACTCGCAACTAATGTAGGCGGATATCTAACGTTGAATTGTTGGATATTGTCGTCGGGTCCCATTGTAAACAGTCTTGCCTCGGGGCCGTATACTGCCATGCCTTGGATACCTTCAGGCAGCGGGATGTTGTACTGCGTAACATACTTGGTGCGCACATCCCAGGCCAGTGTTTCCCTACTACCTGTTAGTATCAAGATCCGGCGAGAGACTCAAGGCACAATGGCATACGAATCTGAGTATTGAACAATAGTTCCGTTCTTTGACCACGCCATCCAATGGGCGTTTGCATTCTCGTCAGTTCCCTTTTTATCCAAGACCCGTACGGTTTTTATTGGGTTTTCGGGGGAGTAGACCTTCCCCATGCTCCATACTCGCAGATCCCCGTTGCTGTACTGCACGGCTAACATGGTTTTCTGCTGTAGGGACGGGGTCCTGTGCCATCTAAGTGTTGCGACTGGGAAAGAAAACTGTGGGCGGCGAGCTGCATGGTACAGAATCGAGAAGTTGGGAAGAGGGGTAATTATGAAAACCGCCCCGGTTTGACAGCTAGGTATATTCAGGTTAGCCCAGCTACAGAAACATTAAGTAGCGTTTCATAGGACGAACCCAATAGCTATGTATTCACATTCTTCGGCCTGTGCAATTGTAGATATCGCTATGCCGGAGAATGTAGTGACCGGGAAGTGTTGTGTTGTTATGGGGTCAAAGAAAATCAGACAACCATTGGTATTACCTTCGGAGGGTTAGAGGGGTTGTCGGATTCAGAATTGGATTTGTAAGGAGGGGGATCATGAAATGGGATTAGGGTCTTACCGAGCACCAAGTGTCCATTTCTCATCCAGGCAGCGCATGTCAGTTGTGGCGAGACGAACCGAGACACTTCCTTGCCTGTTGCAAGATTCCACACAACTGCCACGCCTCCCATGTCATAGGTAAACACGTATTTACCCGACTCTCTGCGACTAGAGTTGTTTATTTCGATTAATATGATGTCATTGTTGTGGTGTTGAAGCTGAGTATCCATCGCAAGAGTGTTGTGGTGAACACGCATGATGGCGCTGCCTTGGGTGTAGAAAAACATAGACTCAGACGAAGCACAAGGCCTCAAGAGTGGAGTAATGGTTCCAATTATTGTCTTGGATCTCTCGATATCCAGATCTTCCTCGGTTATTGTCCCAGAGCAACTTCCGAGGTGATGGCCAGTCGTGTCTGGATTCCATGGCGAGTTGCTGAACTCGTATCTGTGGGCGTTTGAGAGATCTTTCGGCTTTATCGGCAGGGCGATGGCAGCCACGGCTGATATGTCGCTTATGCTGAGGCCTGAGAATATAGACCAGGCGATGCTGCCAGCAAGCGAGCTTCGGAATGAGAAATCCATTGTGTCTCGCTTTGCCATGCGGTATACACGCGACGCTTCGAGATCCAGTTCAAAGGGATGAGGAGGACCTCTTGGAGCAGCGCATGACGGAATCACCTCGAAGTCGACGGTAGCGTCACCGATTTTTTCCTCGGCCTGAGCGTTTTCATTATCCTGAGTAGTTGAGGTTTTATTCTCCTCGGACGTAAGTCCCACCCCTCCCACACGCCGCCAAAGATCTTCGTCATTCTCTAAGAGAGTGTTAATGTTTCTTGAGAGTCTGTCGTGATGTTCTTCAGCTTGAATATGGGAATCGCTAAGCTTTGATTAGTCTTGTCTACAAACTCGATATTGCGAGCAACGGGATCGTCGTACGTCTGGAGGATAGCAAGAACGAGTGTGATGGACCCTTTGAACCCCTGCAGCCTCATCAAAATGGCCTCCAACAGAGACTCCTTCCTTGTCCACTGCAGCCGCGCGATAAGTGCAGGGCGTGAGTCGGGCGCATCAGATGCAACAAGAGGCCCGACAGCGCTCTCTAGCTCTGAATATATTAGCACGCCATCGGTCAATATGACGACCAACTCTTCAAGCTCTATCAGAGCAGCGCTCTTGGGGGATATGTCAGACAGCTTAGTGAAAAGCTTTTGAAGCCCCGAAAGTATCACGTTGGTAGCCCGTATCTCGGAGAGGACATGGGTAGCAATCCTGGGCGTTTCCTTCAATGCTAAGATGTATGGGGCCAAGACTTTGGCAAGCTCAAGTCCTGTAGTGAGGAGACCTGCGACAGAACAGGCAACACTCAATGCGCTCATGGCCTCCCCGTTTGGTTTCCGAGAGTACGAACTGGTGGCTTGAAGTTGGCTCGGGATATCAGCCAGCTGAGAAGAACAACAAGCGGATGGATGATTAGATTCAATAACTCGGGTGGAGGTCTGGGCACATCAACACTTGGTAAATTTGGCTGTGCACTGCCTGGCATTATCAGCAGGAATAAGCGCCGGTGGCTGAGGCTGAGTCGGGATGCCTTGCCCCTCATCCAAAGGAGGGGAATGCCACAAATGTGCAGAAACATGTCGCCTTAATAAGCCACCAGGTCACGGCACCACAGGCACGGGTTTTATATCACAAGTTGAATGGGATGTGCGAAAGATATAGTGTCGAGGCAAAAGTTGAAGGAGAGCGTTCAAGATTGCATCGTAAAGACGATTCGCCTCTGCTAGCGCTCGTTTCGGAGCTGTCATGCGACTGATGGAAAACACGGCACGTCTGGCCACTTTAGCGATGAATTTCAATACAATATCAAAACTATAAACCTATTAATAAATAAATATCAAGCTAGATATCGTACAATGTCTTATTATTCTTAAATTATTGTATTTAATAAAAAATGAGGTCCCTGCCTCATGTGAAAAGAGACTCGATGTGCCAGGTTTTATCCAAGCCCCTTGGCTGACTGTATACCGCGACTAGTGATGATCCCAATTGAGTGATTGTAGCCAGCTGCAAGACAAATACAGCCTCCTTCGCCTTGTCTACTGAGCTACCAGTACGTGTTCAAAAATGAGAAACGGCCCTATTTGGGCCAACTCTAGAACACGACTTCTGAATGCTCTAGCCACTGGGTAAGGGGAGAGTTGCCAGGAATTTAATGTGTCTTCGCCATCATTAAAAAGGGGCGTAGATCAACCGGCTGAAAATAATGCAATGTGTAGAAACGAGATCATAAACTGGATGCCGGAGACGTGCTAAGTATAGCCAGTTTCTCCTACGTTATAAAAAAAAGGGAAATGCAACTCCACAACTGAGCATCTCGCGATGCCATTAGCTTCCTGTTCAGACGAGGATTATCCTTTAACCATGAATAGCAAGCATGTAACGGTTTTGCACTGTCACTACACGGTAAAACAAATCCATCTTGGCTGTTAAGTCTGGCCATGTCTTTGTTACTTTCTACTGCATCCCATCTCCGTGGGGCTTCCATCGCAGCGCGTGTCGATGGCGAGCCCTGAATACTGATCCTTATTTCTTTCCTCCTCCTTTATGAACCCGAAGCTGCTCTTTGTAAATATCTATTATGGTTTGCCATCAAAGAAATTTATAAGTTGTCTGATATTCTTTGACCCCATAACAACACAACACTTCCCGGTCACTACATTCTCCGGCTCCCCCTTCTGTCTCTTCTTCTGGCTCTTACAGACGCTGCTGCTGCATCATATATCAATTCAGAAGGCCCTGGCCTCGTTGCCTAGCCTAATTCTCATAAACTGCGGCGGTTACCGACAAGGATTTGAAGTGTTTAAAGATCAGGCCTATCTCGCTGTGTTCCAATTACCCTGGGTAAGAATATCAGTTACGAAAGGCAACAAATCATGAGCATAAGGTCCTTATACGAGGGGGCTAATGTTTTCAATAACCTACAACTAAAGAGTTTTGTGTTATATTCTATGTTTGCGATAATAATTTAGGAGCTATTGATCAGCCCGAGAAGTATACACTTGATACTCTACGTAGGGTCTTGGGGTTTCTGGGCATTTAGGCAATATTTGATTGAAATATAGATTTGGCGAACTTTATGAATGACTCCTCGTTCATCTAATTTTCAAGCTCGAAGACATTGTCGGAAGGCCTTTGGCCCTCGTATAACTTTATCACACTCCAAAAGGCACTCCCCTTCGTCTACGAGTGTAATCATATAATTATGGGTACCTGGTAAATAAGAGCGGGACAATGATCAACTATCAGCTTCGACTTTATTCAATGCCTGACGTACAATGACCATAGACAATTCACATACCTTGGTTTCCTGTCTTTAGCGATAGTGTATATAGTCAACAATATACTGATTACTCATCGAATACAGTTCAATGATTGGCCGCGTGGCCTAATGGCTAAGGCGCTAGATTTCGGCTTATAATAGCTTCTCTAGAGATTCCAGGTTCGACTCCTGGCGTGGTCGACTCATTCGCTCGGATGTGCTTTTTGGCATACCGTGGGGTCCAATTTTGCCTTTTTGCCATGGAATGAAAATAAAGAAAGAACGCTTTACACCATTTATTTAGAATTACAATCGCGTAGATGTATGAACTACTCGAGTGTGAGCATCTGCCCCGAAAGGCCAAGGGCATCTGATAGCTAAGATTTGTTGGAACCAAAGGAGCATGAACTTGCCTCCCCAAGCCCAATGGGATTGATAAGTGATACTTGGTCGGGCACGCCGGTACAGAAATTCTCAAAAAATCAGAAGTGTTATGGCTCAAAGTCAAGCAGTATTGTAAGGCCCCGCGGATAGGAGTTATGCTTCTGGATTACTTCGAGACCAATCGGAAATTATCATGGGATAATCAGGGAAACCTTCCATCTCGTCTGGAACTTCATCTCGCTTCGTTGGTTAGCTTATAGCACAATATTTAAAGCCAAAATCAGGCAGTTATCGCCAAGACCCATCTATTGGTTTTTGACAGTAAAGGAATAATGCTATGCCAGTGTGTCTCTCTCCGTCTATAAATAAAATAAACACCCCATGAAGGGAAATTCTACTATAAAGCTGAACCAGATAAATATGAAAAGTAATTAGCAAAGAAAAGTCCGGTTCTCGCGAACTCCAGGAGTTCCCGCCTACTTGCGCAGCGCCATCCACCACGACGAATGCCACCTTAGACCTCTTCAATCCCACAAACAACCTATTTCTCTTTAGGAACCTCCCTCTCGGCATCCGAGACGAATAGCTGTGACGCGGTAGGTTCGTCCACGATCGTCATATCGTCGTCACGGTTCTCACTGTCTGAGGCACCACCAACCTCTCCTACTCGGCCAGTTTGCTGCCCTTGCATTTTCTCCACGAATGCGGCGGACTGGGCTGAGTACTTGCATCTCGCCCTAATGGGAGCGCCATACTTGTAAAATAGGAAAGGGAAGGGCACGCATGCAAGTGCGAGAAAGGCAGGAATAGACGACGCCCAGTGAATGCCCAGCCCATCGTACATTTCCTTCGCAAAGAGGGGGAACGCGGCTCCAAAGAGAGATCGAATGATCGAATTGGCCGCCAGTACCGACGCCGCATAGATCGTGTACGCGTCGACGAGATAATTCATGTTGCTCAGAAACACCAGGACCATGCCGAAGCCGAACGGGACACCGGCAGCTATACTGACCATAAAGTGGATAGATGGCGAGTTCGTCCAGGAAAACCAGAATAGACCGATGGGCAGGGCCACCGCTCCGATACAAGATGGAGGGAGACGAGCCTCTGGGGGCGCAAATCCGCCATTTTCAGCTTGAACCCGGATGAACCGCTTGTTGTCAGGAATCACATAGCAAATCGCCAGCATCATTCCAACCATGATACCAAGGAATGCCAGGCCACCGATGCCTTGGTTCCACCCTCTTGCTTGCTGGTAAACTATCGGGAAGGCGGCAAAGAGCATGTACAAGACGCCATAAATGATGGCCATATAGATCGAGAGAATGAGAACTATGGGCTCGGTGAAAAGCATCACCCATGGCCGCGACAGCGCCGTCTTGAGCAAAGCGCCGAGATCTGCCTTGCCTTGCTGCTTGTCGATCAAGCTGATGTAATGCTGTTTCCTCAGAGCCGACAGCTTCTCAGCCCGTCTGCGGAGGATCACGGGAGCGTATGTTTCTGGCAGAAGCAATGATCCTGCAATCCAGAGAACACCAGACAGGATAGCCAGGAAGCCCAACACCCAACGCCAACCGGCGTTCATTCCAAGAAAGCCCCCAGTGATGGGCCCAATGGCCGGTCCTAAGAACGGCGCTGCTGCAAAAAGAGCCATGGCCAATCCACGCTGCGAAGCAGGAAACATGTCAGCTATGGCGCCTCCGGCATTTGTCAATGGCGAAGACCCAAAGGCGCCAGCGAAGAAGCGCAGAATCAGCAAGGTCTCTATGTTCTGTGCACCGGCGGCACCTGCATTGAACGCAGTCAGAGCCCCATAAGTCCCAATAAAGAGGACTTGCCGACCAAAAACCTCACTCAGAGGAGCCCAGAGGAGAGGGCCAATGGCGAAACCGAGGACGAAGAGTGACACTCCGAGCGTAGCTACGGTGGAGCTGACCTCAAATTCTTTCATAATCTCGACGGTTCCTCCTGTGTAGGCGGACGATAAGAGAGCAATGGCCAAGGTGGCGATTGCGACTGCCATCGTCACAAACCACTTGGTGAACTGGCTCCAATTCATAGGGTTCCGGGGGTCATTGGGGATCCATTGCACGATGTACGGGTCTTCGATTGTCCCTGAACCCTCGTATTCATGGCTCAAGACTTCTTCCGTGATCCCAGATTGATCAATAATCAACCGCCAATATGGAATCGAAGTATTTCGTGGCCCTTCGTATTCGGGAAGACTGTCGCCTTCGATTATCGACATGGTCGAATCGGCTTGCTGCTGGGCATCCAACTTCAGAGGGGCCGGTTACAAAGTATTCTTTTAAGGTAAAAAGACTCAAGGAAAAGAGAAAGTAACGAACGACCAAGGGTGCTGAGCAGATGGGAGTCTACAGAGACAGGCGCTCTTCTCTTAACACATGTGTACAAGAGCACAAAAGGGGTCTGTTGAGCGAACCTGGCCTTCCGTTCAGCCCGAGAGTAGATCTAATGACATGGATTTTATTTTCTGCTTAGTTCATCAATCTGGGGGGTTCTGTTTTCAACATCCAGTGATGTTCAAGAGTGGCCATGGAACTCCGCGGGCTACGGACACGCTACGGACAAAGACGCCGCCCGGCCGTCAAGCGGCATCTCATAGTTCCCGATTCACCGATCGCCGTTCATTTACGTGAACTAATACTTATCCGAGCGTCCCGTTCATTCTCGACTTGGGATGGCGTTGTCCTATTCGTCCTTTTTCTGAGCATTGATGGGTAATTGAAGTAATATTCAAAGAGTAAAGCAGAAGTTACGGTTTTTTCAAATTCAATTTCTGGTGTTTCTCACTCCACTGTGGCCTTGTCACCAGCTTTAAGTAATGATAAGAGTTTGTTATGCGAGGCTATGGGAGGATCAGTCGTTGCTAATTTTCGCGATGCAGTCGTGGAAACTTCCGATCGAGTCTTATGGTGATTGAGATCTGTATTCAACTAATCCCGTAATTTCTCTAGTAAGTCCTTTTTTTTTCTGTCCTTTAAATCTCTATACAAATCGTGAGTCCTCAAATGAATGGCTTTTCAAGCATCCAAAGCATATTGAAGTAGGTATCCACGGCGTCCGCATCTCTCTCCATCGTGTTCTCATTTATGTGTTGTTCCGTACTTTGGAATGCATGTCCTTCCCAATTAGCATGCGGCGTACTCTGACCTGTGGCCACCTGTCCAGGCACTGTAATGGCTTGAGGTGGCAAAATCGCCATCGTGTCAAAGCCAACATTATGCTTCTGCATGATGAAGGTCAGGAGCTCGACCGCGGGACCGACAATACTAGATTCAGACTGTGCCTCTAGCAAAATCATCCAAGCCGGCTGCGTCTGCTGTTTCTTGGCCTCTCGCACAGCCTCGTCAGTGGCCAGGCACATGTCAAGGACAAGTACAGCCACGGAAAGGAAAAATCCGTACATGACTACCCCTAGCTTGAAACGTGGTGAGGTGAAAGCGGAATTCTCCCGTCGCAGTTTGTACTCGCTATTGATTACCTTCCATGCGGTCTCGATAGAGATCCTGTGGGATTGTGCATACTCTGGCTCTGCTGCCCCGCGAGCGAGATATGGAAGATGAAGCTTGATCCGTTGTCCATTGATGGAGAGGTTCAGCAGGTGTTTGTGCCACATCATAGTTCCTTGGGTTTCGCGATCTATACCCGGGTCTACCACATTTACATCACCAGGCTGCTCGCGGAAGAAAGGGGGAAGACTGGACAGTAGTCGATCAAACGCCGCATCAGCCTCCATAACATGACTGTAAGCCACAGCGTAGGGGTCAAAAGCAATCAGAGGGTGCTTGTCAGTCAAAATGCGAATCTCTTCGGCCAGCCTGATACGGTAAATCGAATACGACATGGCCGTAAATACCTCGATGGGCTTCGCCGTCATTCCATCTTCAGTCATGTCCCCATCGTGGATGTTCATTGGTTTTTGGACGGCCATGTGGAGCGGGTTAATAGAATATGTTCCTCTTTGCGCATTAGAACTGCTTGAGAGAAGCCTATGGTCTTTATTAGAACAAATGATCTCACGGTTGCCTGTGCTGGTATCACGCACCAATCTGCCGAGGCGAGATACCACCAAACTCGGCGTCCAACCTCAGCCCGTATACCTGTAATAGCAGGAAACTGCATTGATGGGAAACCTTGTCTTTGATGGTCAAGCCGGTGTAGACCAAGCTCACGTGCTACTGAAGTAGCCTGGAATAATAAAGACAGGCCTCGAGGTGTAATTCCGTCCATGTTGAGAATGGTGAAGGACAGGATGGTGAGTCCCTGGGCATATTCAAGAGATGGGGCACTGTGCGCTTGTGTGCTATAGAGTACTTCCAAAGCCACTTTGATCCACGAGGTCGCCTGCGCACTAGCCTCTCCGGCATGGGGGAACAGTGCTTCCTCTTCCTCACTACACGCCGTCCACAGAAGAATGACATGTCCAAAGATTGCAAGGAGGAGGAGGAGATATCCAGTTGGGACATGGGAACCTCCTGCTTCGAGGGCATCATATACTTCAGCTGCCAGTTTTTGAATAGAGGGCCCATGGGTAACGTGGAGAAAGACGGTCAATCCATTTAGATATCTTTTGAGGAGAACATTGGCTTCCTTCCGATCAGGCAGCCAGATCTTTTTGAGTTGGCTTGTTGGCAATGAGTTGGCGTCGTCGGGAAGCAGTTCCCTGAAGAGGCGAAGGGGGCAAATGCGAACAATAAATGAATTGTTCGGGGAGAGATTCTAACAGGGTCAGCCTTTGATGAAGAAACAAGTTCAAGAAAAGCCCAAAAGTTACTTGAAAACCCAGGCCTGGGCATCGAGAATGTATTGACACGGCATCCTCAACCAAAGTCTGTAGTTTCGTAGACAGTGGCCACTGGAGCGGCTGTGAAGCAGGCACATCATTACCTCCGCCTACCAAGTTGGACGTCGAGCCGGGTGGCGACAGGGGCGTTTTCTCATGCTGAGCTGCCAGAAGCGACTCGAGCCGCGCCAATCTATTGAGGATCTCAGCATGGCTGCCGACGGGAATCGTGTGACTGGTCGGCCGGATGACGGTAGCAGGGGCGACGGCGGGGCATTCAACTCCACGGGATGTGCAATTAGAACAGGGAAAAGAACGGCTGCACTTGAGCTTGCGCTCCCTACAGAAGTGACAAGACACTTGGCGTGACTGGCGAGTCGATTTCCGATCCATGAATGGCAAGACAGGAATGAATGGAGAGGTGCGGACCAAGCAATGCCAGAGCTGCTGCTGCCAATGTTGAGCCTCTTGGGGCAGCTTGAGAAAGTCCGCGGAGTCCATGGAGTAATCCTTGACTCGGCCAATGAAGACGATTCTTCCCCGAAGTGACTCCACCATATTACGGAATCATGTTTCTTCTCGATGACGCGGAGTGCGAGTGGGGACAAGCCAAAGGATGCCCTTTTCTGAGGTCACATCATACGTACCCTAGACCACCTCTATGTTTTGGACGGAGCGCGCGTTATACCATCCCCCGTTCCTCGGACCAATTTATCCCTAGAAAAAAGCGAGGTGTAGAAATAGAGATGCCCCGGGCCGTTTTGGTGATCGGTGGAGATGAATCCCTCGTCAGTGTTGGCATTAGGCTTGCTCGCCGCTTTATGATCAACCCTCCGACACAGCGCATGCTGTGGCCGCTGTGCTGTTAGATATCAATTGGGTCGTGTCTATTGTTGATAGCAACGAAATTGCAGGCCAAGAAGCGGCTGCCAAAGTAAAAGCGAATTTCTACAGAGCTGATATCCAAGATTGGGCTTCGTTGAGCACTGCTTTCAATCAGACCGTGCATAATCACGGTTGGATCAATTTTGTATTCGCAAATGCCGGGGTTACAGACCCAAGAATATTCTATGATTCCCATTCCAGCACACCTCCTCCGGAACCGGATTTCTCCCTGCTAGACATCAATCTCCAAGGCACCGTCAACACCTCGTATCTGGCCCAGCACTACTTCCGCATGATCAGGCAGGCTCTGCAACAAGACGTCGGGGATTTTGACCCGAGCTTGGTCTTCACATCCTCCATCGCCGCACTGGCTGCCATTCCCGAGGTGCCCATCTACTCTGCGGCTAAAAGCGGCATTGTCGCGTTTGCGCATGCGATCGCGCCTCGTTCTTCCAGAAGGATGGGATCCGTGTTTCGTCTATCTGCCCCGGTAGGGTCATGACCCTCAGGAGACTTGTCTCTGTCGGCGCGTCTCAAGGATGGAAATGGTGTGGCGAGGCTGTTCTGGCCTTCATGGAACGGGATGGAGGGTGATCGCTGCCTTAAGATCTTACTAGAGGGTATTTGGAACATTGAGGCACATCGCACTCACAACAGTAACACATCCTAGGAGGGTATTTAAAATTGAAGAAAGAGATTACGCGCGTAAACAGGGCGCTTTGGAAAGTAGAGAGAGTAATTTAAACGAGATGCAAAAAGAGTACGGAGTGCGAGGATCGAACTCGCGACCTCATCGGCATTTTCTGGTTGAAACTGTGAACGATGCGTGATAACCACTACACTAACTCCGCTGTGAACAACCGGCTCTTATTTAACATTATATCCGTGACCCACGTGATTAGTCTTCAGATTCTTCCCCTACGGTAAAGAAAAGAATGAATATCTTATAAATACGACGAGGCCGGGACAAGAGCTGGATGAAGGAAAGTTGGTACGAAATGAATACTGCTGATGGCGTTGCAACGGACTCTGCCCAGTGGCTGAAATAAATATCCTCCTTTGCTGTTAGGGAGCATATAATTGAAGACAGCCTCCAAATGCTCTGCCTTGTCCGGTGCCCCAACGAAATCGTGGCAGACAAATGGGTGAATTTTCAGATTGGGAGTAAGAATAATAAGAAACTAGTTAACTTGTAGTTATAATGAGGCTAGAAGAGCCCTTTCGGCGTGTTTAAAAACACGCTTCGCCTGATTGTGGGCGACTGTTGCCCGGTCGAGGGCCCGGTCGGCCTGGATGTGCTGGGCCACTGAGGCCGCAGGGGTGCCCATTACCTAAAACCAATGTGCCTAGGTGTGAAGAAAAACGAGTTCGGCCTCGGAATAGGTAAAATTGGCTGTGTTGTAGGCGGCGGCCGCGGGGGACACGATGCGCCCTGATCGTAACTCGGGCCTAGCAATGGTAGAGAATGATATTAGATATCTTCTTTTGCGTGGTAGATCATATATATATAAGGGCAGTCTAGGGGTAATACTTACATTTGACTTCTTGTTGTTTTTGTTGGTGGTGGTGATGTTGTTGTCGATGTTATTGGGGATAATTCCCAATGGATAACGCGGACATGACCCTTCTCTATGGAACATGCAGTTCTTTCCTCTAATGCTAAAGAAAGCACTCTTGACTTGGGCGGAAGGAAACTTTGTACCTTTGTAGTTTCTTCCTTTCTATTGAAGCAGGGATAAAAAGGTCCGGGTTTCGCAAGTCATGCCGCTCAGCGGCCTAGTTAAAACGAGCTGTTGTTCGCAGCCTAGATTGGAAATGCATGCTTGTTCCTTCATTCAATTAAGACCCTAACTTGTCACCGACGAGTGATTTGACTGATCAATCGCGAAGCCTCTATTCAATTGAAGCCGGCTGTGGCCTCAAGGACCAGTGTTTCGTATGCTTCCTTCATAAGAAATCCCTCTCTTCTCAATCCGTTCAATCGCTCGAGACGAGGAAGGTCTTCGTACGATGAATCACAATGCGGGTGATGAAGCTGTCAACTAACGCGATAACCGCCGTGTGCCGCATACTCTTGTGTTGTGGTTGTGGGCGTTGTGTGGGTGTTGTGTGTGTGTACTGCTTCCTCTCTCACGGCTTCACTATACCTGTGTCTCCTTCCCATTTCTCTTGTCTAAACCCCCTTTCTGTCCGCATCCATCGCAGTCCAATTGAAGCACCGCTACTTCTTAAAAAGAAATACCCCGTTGTCGTATGGAAGTCATCCACTTCCACGGCGGCGCCATCTCCCATTTGCGTCTGCCACGGGACGTGATCGATCCAGAATCCCTGCGACAGATACGCCAGGAGGGGATGCTGGGTGGCGCTGCAGCGTTTCACGATGTTATTGGCGAAGCTAAAGAGTTATGAATAGACCATGCTGAAGCTGTTCTCCTGTCAGCTTGATGCTTGATGAGGTAGAAAGCTGGCAGCAACAGTGGCCGAGAGGAGTGCTGGGCTTGACGCCTTATGCAACTTTACTTGCGGCGCAGAAGGGCAAAAATGATTCAACTAGTGCAGACAATCAATCGTGATGTTCAATAGAAGGCCTGCAGGCACTTGGGTGTATTTGTTTGTAGCTTGGTCGTCTAAAAGGTGTCAAAATCTCTTTGCGCAGTGGGATGTTGATTGGACTTTGAAGAGAAACACCACATGGGCATACATCTGCACGTTGGCGATGTGGCCCTGTGTTTCTGGGTGTATTTGCAATTAAATCTGCTTCTTCCATTTCCTAGTCTTTTTTCCAACTATCATTAAATGCCATGATGTACTACAACTTGGCGGGCACACGAAGCTACGATGTGTTAGGCTATCATCACGAAAGAACACCAGACGAAAGATGGGCAATGTGGTGATTTTTGGTACTGTCAATGCTTTATCAGCGTGGCGTCGAGGTTACCTGACAAATTAAAGGGTACAGATTAAGGACTGCATGACGTGACAAACTCAGCCTTATTGTGTCGCTGTGCTACCGCCAAACGCCTCCGTCTCCTCCATGAAACACCCTCCACGAACACGACGTACGTGAGCAAGGAAGCAAAACGTCGTCCCGGACCTGTGTCCACCGCTCGATGACTGGCCTCAATGGCTACAAGGCGTGGGGAGCTACCAATGCGACCCTTTCTGCCTGAGGTGGCTTATTGTCTCGTGCGGGGGCAAGCCTCTCTCGTGCGCGGCACAAGACAACACGCCAGAATGGTATCAACGCCTGCAACAGGTCATCAAAGGCTTCCCCAGTGAGAAGAAATATACCCCTCCAAGAGCTCCAAGCCGCAGCCCCGGCGGCAGTCAGTGGCGAATCTAATCTGCCGAAACTGTCCAGTACACCTCCCCCGCCATGGTTGACTCGTATCCAGCCTAGCATCCAACATCCAACCCGCCGTCGAACTACGAAGCTCGCCGCTGAATAAGAAGCAGTCCTCTATTACAGCCGAGAAATAGAAGGAAACCCGATTGGCGCCGCTCTCGACTGCTACCCCGACCGCTACCCGACTGCTTCGCTCAGCACAAAGACGTCCGATCCAGCGTACCAGCCACGCCCGAAACACAGACCGAATCGAAGCCAGAGATCCCCTCCTACGTTCAGCAGGGCTTCCTATACCGCGGGTAGGGTTTGTGTTCGCAAGACTGGCGGCCAGAGCAATGGAAAAACATCCCTGCGTCGCCGGGCGTCCGTGAAGCAGAAGGCCATTTCCAACACCGATGCCCAGGCACTTTCCAACGACTCAAAGTTGCCAGCTTCCTTCGGACATTGGAGCAGCTGGGAGGACCTCCTAGCATGCTTGCTCAAGTCACTTGCGCAAATGCAGCTGTACCAGGAGTCTTCGCGAGTCGCCTCGAAGACTTTGCAAAGGTTGGACACTGGCCGATCGAAAGACAAACCACCGACAAGCCTCGCGAATATTAAAGATCGTATAAAATAGCGGGATATGCCACGTCAAGAGTGACCGTGTCTCAACGAAGCCAAAGATAGCGTGTTATTGTCGAGTGCGAACGCAGCCAGCGACGTGTCCTGCCCAGAAGAATCTGGTAGCAAGAAGAGCGGCTTCATCTAGACAGGATGGAGGATATCCGACCCCGACCGAACATCTACACACACTGACCGAAGCAACGCCGCGACATGGGGCTCCTCGACACAGGCCCGATTCGCCCTTTGGATGGCAACCGACTAGCCATCCTTTACCCGACGATCCCTGGGCGACATCCATACATCATTCTGCTACGAATCTGCCCGTGCTCCCAGGGCAACGTTCTTCGCACACCTCGATGACTACAGCCTTGCCTCCATCGATCTACTATATAAGGGGAGGACATCTGGGTCTGCCGCATTCAAGCGCCCGAGCTTCGTTTGAGGCCAGGGCGAGTGGCCAAGCAAGCCCTAATTAATAGCACATTGGGTGTGGTTCAGCGAGGTGAGGCTGCTGGCATGGTTGCTCGCTCTTTCTTCCCTCTCTTTTGTTTTCATTTTAAAAAAGAGTTTGAGGGGAATCTTGGCCAAAGGGGCGAGCCATTAATGGAGTTGTAGCCGAGGTTTTGGTCCCAATAGATGCGCAACAAATCTTCGCGTTGCCTTACCTGTGGCTGCTGGTTCTCGTAAACCCATATCTTCACTGTTGACGACAAATGTTTTGGGCATCCTGGATCGCTTGGTCAGGCTGTTAGAGGCCTCAGAGCTGCCTAGGTGGTTTGGCCGCCAGGTTCGTATATTGTTCAAATGGAAGCTTGACAGGCGGCCAGAAATCCAACACGCTATCAGATCCCCGCATACTCCCAAAGCTATTGTACCTACGGCTTCAGCTGGTAGACTACGGCTACGGCTACGGCTACGGCTATGGCTATGGCTAGATGAATACATAAGAAATTATTTGTAACAGCAGTAGACAGGTAGGTCAGGTTCATAGCAATCGCTTGTCACAGTGGCAGACAGCGGGTTCAGCCACCTACATCATGCAACAATCGCTCGTCTGGACGGGAGGCAGCCAGACGATGTCCCTAGCGATCGCCAGTCGCGACGGCAGGCAGTCAGGTCAGCTTCGCAGCAATCATACATCTTAGTGCGAGACAGCTAGGCCATGCCTGTAGCGATTTGCTCGTCGTAGTGGCAGACATCCTGGTCAGCTTCGTAGCAATCGCTCGTCTTGATGGAAGACAGCCAGGTCAGCTCCACAGCTACTTCCTGTCACAGAAGCAGACAACTAGCTCAGACTAGGTAGCAGCGAATACTCGTCTTCACGAGAGACGCACAAGTCGTCTTCGCAGCTATCGCTTGTCATGAAGAAAGACAGACGACGCAGCTACAGGTACTTAGGTGGGTTACGGTAATCTACGATCAAATTGGAAGGCAGCTGTATTTCCAACTGGAAAGCGAGGCACACGGGAGAGACGGCAGTTGCGATAGCTGCAGTCAACAGGCTCCCAGTCTTTACATGGTCTTAGCCTACAAACATGACTCTGCGGCTGGCAGTGTATTGAATCAAAACGACTACTAGATCCCTGACAGCTTGTTTGACCAGATAACAGGCTGCTGAATTACCGTAATTTGATTTTGGGTTGATATGTCCGAACACCGTCCCAGCACTGTGCTGCCAGGAAATCCCGCCACCGCCCCTTCACAGTCACTGATGGCCTGTGCCTATTACCCGACATTGTAGGTGCCCAAGCGACTAATCTAAAACATGGCGCATCTAGACAGTCCAGCGTTGAAAATCAACGCAATACTAGAATAACTGACCTGGCATTAAATACCACATCAGGACGAATATCGTCGGATAATTTCTTATAGTTAGAAACGAGATTCCGCCGTGTGCGAAAGAGCTTTCGTGTGCCATGTTTGATTCCGCCCACTTGGTACCTGACGGGACGTAGGTCGCGCTAATGGTGGGTAGGGTGAAGATCACGTCGGTTCCAGCTGCCTGGTCTACCTAAGATTTAGGTTATGCCTCACTCCACCTCTCCGTCCTGGGGAGTATGTCTCTCCTGTCTGCCTGCTTGCCAGCCTCACAAATGTGCTCTTCGTGTACAAAAACTTGTTATGGCTGAGATCACTAATCTTAACAAATGAACGAACCCACCGAGCTGCTGCTTCCCGTGAGTGCGTAATGCTCCCGCCCCCAGCTGTGAGATAACCTGGCACCAAGCAGTTCACTAATTACGCGTAGTGGAGTAGGCTGTATTCTCCGCAGGTGAGCACCGTAGTACCTATCAGGCTAGCACGATCTCAACGGGCATGGGTGTACCCATGCTCTGCTTGATTAACACGATCTTGACAAAACATCACCTCTCCGGCCGTGACCTCCGCGGACCAATCCCCCTCAGCTTGTCCAACTGGCAGTTTTGGCACCTCTTGTGGAGTGGCCTGCAATCTGAGCCTAGACCGAGTGCCCCTGGGAAACGCAGAGAGCGGGCCGTTTCTGACCGCCCCTTGCCCTTCACCCTACATGCCGAAGTTACTCAGCGTAAGTACAGGCACCAAAGTCTCTTTTTGTTCCCCCCAGAGCCCTCTGTTAGCTGACTATCATCCGCCAGTCGTCCGTGCATGAAGTAAGCTCCTGCTGGCGCCCTGCCTACCAGCAAACGGCATGGGAGATCCAGCTCTAAATCGGAGCTCGCGGAGGCGGGATGATTGTGTAGCACAACGCTAAGGTTGGGGGCCTAGCCGTTAGCGTACGTAGAACCGGTTTCATGCTTGAACGGCTCAGCTGTGGACATGAAGCCAGCTGTCTAGCCTGCAATATGGCGGTGGAGATTTGGTCCTGGCATTGGACACGGCGAGCTCGCTCCTCATCGATCTTTCGTACACTGAGATATGTACACATCGATACAGATACAGATCCATATGTGAGATGATCAAAGTTTGTTGTAGATGAAAATTATGTTCTGTCTCAGTTGATGCCCGGCTCAGCACGCACCCTGATATGCATGTCACCTCCTGCACAGCAACGTCCCATGACTTCTCAGTCGTCCAAGAGCGAGGTGCATGGTAGGGGAGGAATAATTGAAGCCAGGTCGGTGCATACCCCCCAGGAACCCTCCCCAGTGCTAGTAACATGCCAAGCGATGTCAGAAATCTGCGCAATGCCGACATCTACCGAACCTTGACCCCTCATGCCAGGATGCCCCGTTGAGCAATCACAGCATGTCGCACAGACTAACTCGCAAAAAATTCGTGATCCGCATTGGAACTGCTCCCGGATGTGATAACTGCGGCTAACCTGCATGAACACTCCATCATCTAGTGATCCATAGGTCTACAGCTGGGTTGGTTGGCTGCAAGGCGGCTGGCCGCCCTCAACCACACGGAGATTCTGAGACGATGAACCGAATCACAGTACATTAAAAAGCCATGTCATATCATCAACCTGTCTAATGCCGTCTGTCGTGTTGAGCCGTGATATCCCATCACAGGTACGTAGCTTGGAGGCTTACCGCCTCGCCTGATGCCAGGGAGGGAGTGATATCTCTTGAATCTAGACTGGCTATAAGTATATACTCATCCAACTTAATCTCCAACGACTGTTGGACATTGCCCAACTCTAGCCGTGAATCAATTTCCAAACACACCGCAGCCAACCTTCACCGATCCTTTCATTGGACAATGTTCGCCCCGGCTCTGCGGCTAGTGGGAGCAGGCCTGCTCCTATTTGTGCAGGCAGTAATGTTGATAATTGAGATTTATATCTGTATATCTCATTATATGCGGAAGCAGCTTGCCCAAAGCAGGGAAAACCAAGATACTGGCGGGAGAGTGTCGCCCAGTGCGCGGAGAGTTAATTCCCTTGACCTTCTACGCATGTCACAGCAGTTTATCGCACCCACCTTAGTGTTTGCCGCTGGCATCACTTTTGCGGTGCTCAGTTTTCTCCTATTGTTTCAAGAAGAAATTTCGGTTGTTATTCGTCAGCCTTCGGCTCTGAAAGCCTCGTCTCAGAGTCCTTTGGTCGCAATAGTCGACGCTGATATTGCTGGAGTCGGCATCCGTTTTGCCTTATGGGCACAAATTTCGACATTGGTGGTTCTTACAATTGTAGGAAGTTTTCATTGCCGAGCCCTCGGTGCCAAGGAGATTGGTGCTGGCCTGGCAATAGCCCATACTAGTCTCGCCGTTGCCTTGGTGGCGCAAATGAAGCACGGATCGTTGACTTCAGCGGACGCCATAGTGGGTGCCATGTTGCTCGACGCACAAGGCAGCGCTATGAGTATCGTCCTGGGAGCTAAAGATGTGCTGGCAGCAAGGTGGCAGACGTGGATTAGCATCGCCTGCCAAACCTTTGGCCTGACGGTCCTCTTCATCTGCGTCATCAAGTTTGGTGACGGCGAGTTCGTCAGCCGCAGCGACGATACTTGGCTCTGTCTCAAGCCTTTCTGGTGGGGATGGATCGCAGAATGTCCCGAGACGGCTGAGGCTAAGGAAGCAACGGTCTTCTGGCTTTACCTGGCGTGTCGCATGGTTGGGTCTGTCCATGCCGCCTTGTTTGCCGCCGCCAACACCGGAGAGTTCCATGATGCCGAGAAGAGCGAGGAACCCCTACAAGATATCCGGTTCTCCAGAACGCCGGCTAATGTCGCCGAAGATTCCCAAGTTCCCGGCCCGAGCTCACAAAGGCCCGACGACGGAGCAGGGCACAGTATCGGACACATTCGTCCAGCCTCGTATTCAAAATGCCGGGCTACAGTCACGTACTCGTACGTCATTCACACTATCCTCTCCGCCATGTCGATGGTAGCCGTTCAAAGGGCCATGGATACTGGTTTGAAGCCTAGCGCCGGCGCTTTGTCCACTGGACAAATCAATTCAATGGTGGTCGCATTCGCCACCGTGGTGCGAGGCTTATGGCTCTTATTGCGCGAGATCTACCTCGAGCGCAACCATTTGAAGGACTCCTTCCGCAAAAAGTATAGATTCGTCTTCGAATTTTTTGCGCAGGCATGCAGATCAGTGTTCGAATCTTTTGCGCAGGCATCCCGATTATATCTGGTGTTATTTCTTGTGCAGGTATTCCAGGACGAGGTCCGCGAGGATCACGAAGTCGAATTAGACGCAAGGGAATAAGCTAGGTGAACGCAGGAGACTTATTCGGATGGGCAAATTTTTTTTTTGTTTCATGCAGTTGGCGGCGGGATTTCAGTTGTGCTCTTTTTGAAAAGTTTTTGAGGGGATTTAGGTAGTCAGAAGCAAGCTCAAAATGGTGTTATGGTCGAGACCCTCACTTTTGGGGACAATTGAACAGATTGATTGGCGTGCTGCACTTAGTTGATTCTTGTGTTCCTGTGTTAATTCCCCTGGCAGTTTGGTGACTTGCTTAGTCGTAGACAAACGCGGGTTCTATCGCAACTCTTCCGCCCCAGCGCTTGATGTCGCAGCATTAGATGCTGCGCCTAACGGGAGCCTCATGGCGGTGAAATTAGCCGCGCAGCCTGCTCGGTTTATTATCATTCAATTGCTTTCAACGGTAGATTTGAAAGCAATTAAATGATGACCAACCGAGCAGGCTTACCTAACATGTTTCTTGTGTTACCGTCGAGTCTTCCCCTCGTTTTTCGCCATAATGCCATTGCAGACCAACAGTCTTTGACCCCAGGGAATTGTATCAAATCCCCAAGAATCCTTACTGGCTCCTACTCGCGGATTTCAAAGTTCATTCATCGACTGTCTCCAGCACCCGCGACAAGTGCAGCCACTCGCCATCAGCCTCTGCCGAAGACCCATTCTCCATCGACCATTTCGTCATCGACCGTTTCAGCTGCCTGGGCACCATTTTCCTGTTCCTCGACCGCTCCGGCTGACTCCTTCGTGATCGACCGCTTCGTGATCGACTCGTGCCATCGAAAAAAAAATGAGCCTCTTCATAGACCCCCTGGGGCTGCCTAGAAAGCTGCACCCCCCACATTGAAGCAAGAGCTTCGAGATCAATTGGAAAGGCGTGTCGCAAAAGGCTGGAAAGAGGTTGTTCTTGACCGTGCCGCCAGACTTGGGGTGACAGCCAAGTTGGCCGACACGTTGGAGGCTTGGTCTAGCCGCGAGCAGCCAAATGAGCAAATGATCAAGGAACTCGGTGAGTCTGTCCCCCGTGCGCTAGAGAACATCAGTCTATCACGGTAGGACTGCAACTGATACTTCATCCAACAGATGACAGGAGATGATGCGTTTGACCTATGCGATCTGAACCGAGCCAACACTACCCAGTGCCCTAACTTCGACATTGATGCCACCGAGCATGAGGAACTGCGATATTGTCTCGAGCGACTTATTTTTTCCGCAAGGGCCACGGCCGGAATTAGGAAGGCGGTCAAAGCCTGGATGACTTCTTCCAAAACCTGCACCACTCGGACAGTGGTGCCGCCCAGCCTTTGAGTCTAGCAACACGCTCCCAAGGCCGTCCCCCGAAGACAAACATCGATGGTAACTCCACCTGCCCACTGTGCATTCAGCCGTTGTTTCGATCGGAAGAATAATCAAGAGTCCTATTGGAGGTAAGCTTCACCTAGGAACTCTACATGATATGAACCACGCTCTAACTTGTCACAATGAAACAGATTAAGAACGACCTATATCATTTTACTTGTTTCTCCAACTGTACTGAATCTGTCATCATATCCCGATGGACGCGTGGACCATACATCACGCAGAAGCCCACGACGATAAGACTCCCTGCCCGATCGATTGCTCCCTTTTCTATGAGTGTTATGTCGGGTCTTAGATGTTTTTAGGCCATCTCGGGACAGCACACAGCCAGCGTAACGCTTCATCGGAGCGTTTGAGGGTCAACCAGGGCATTTGGGGCCGTACCCAATCATGCCCCGCGTCTTCTTTCTCCACGCCGGGGAAAAGCGAGCCCCGGATCACGCATGCGATCGAGCATACAACGAGCATACAATGAGGTCTTCCCTTTACGGTCTTCCCCCTCCGTTTACACCCTTCACTCCTATGAGCAAGCACTTTACTAGGATGGCTTACTGATTGGCAAGCAGAGGATAGCGAACATGCAGCGTCCGCCCCAGACAAGAGACATACAGGCCGATCCCCGGCTCCCCGACTCCCCCGACTCTTCGACTCCCCGACTCCCCCGACTTCTACAATGACGTAATGCTGGTAAAATTGGAGAGGATGGAGTGGCGGAGGGCGAGGGCGATGACGAAGAGACGAACAAGTTGGACAAGAGACGGAATCTCGACGACACATCGTGCATGACAACATCAGTGGTTTCTTTACCTTTCCTTTTTTTTTTTTTTTTTTTTCAATACCCAGATCGAAGATATCTGCACACTCCCTTCAACCATATATCATCACGAAATCTAACTGATCAAAGGCCCAATAATTAGCTTTCTGCCTCAGAAGCCTAACATGTGCTAATTTCTTCTGGTTCTTGAGTACAAAGGAGATATTTTAGCGGCTCTAGTCATTCGTCCTAGCTTTTGTATTTTCTTTCTCCCTTCATTTTCTATTTTGAAACAATTGCTCATGTCAACGTTCTAATTTTGCATCTGGCTGCGCCTTTTCTGTTTTCTTTCCTTGCACAAAACCCGCTTGCCTTGTCTTGTCTACCAAGAAGAAGGAAAAGGCCTCCCTTCCAGTATTTACGTATTTACAACCAGTGTGCTACCACCCGTAGCGTAGATAGCACTATCAATAGATCATAAAGAGTGAATACATTGAGTGCCCTTCTGTCTGAGACTCCCCTTAGGGTGTTCAAAAGACATACAAACGAACAAGACACTTCAAAAGCTCGGCAACCGATCAATCTTTGACTAGCCGTACCAACGTCTTCCCCTGCTCCAGCCGACCACTTTTATAAGCCGTTGATCAATATTACACACGAATGCTAAATGTCTTTTCTAAGGCTTCTCCACAATCACTTTTCTGAGTTTAAAAGTTCCGTGGACCTTGTGCATCTGGTAGCTGAAGATGACGCGACCTTCAAATTTCCGGTAAAATTCACCATCCGATACCTCCAAGCCGTCGACAATCTTCAAGCCCGTAATGACGTAAACGCTGCGGCTGCCGAGGAGCCGGTCGAGTATCTTTTTGACAGGTGGGTGTTCAGCTATGCGCTTCAAGTCGCCCGGTGTCAGACTGACCAGGCGGTTTTCGAGCCGCTGGAAACGGAACTCTCGAGTAGCAACGGGGCCGGGGGATGGAGGCGGTGGGAATTTTTCATCGCTTTCTGATAACACGTCCGGACCAGAAACAGAAACATGGCACCCGTCCGGCACGGCCTTTGGGACAAACAGGATTGTGTCCAGGTTGTCAGGGTTGGAGAAGACAGCACCTAGTCGGTATGGACCATAATCAGCATCATGCCCCAAATACTCTGGGAAGCAATACCCTTCTTGTGGTTGGGCCGCAAGCTTGTACTTGTTCCGAGTGCCCCATCGATTGCCGGGGTCCCATTCCGACCACCAGGCTCTGGACACAACATCGACCGACATGGTACTCGAGCTAGGGATTAGACTTGCAGGCATTTTCGACGAGGCTCCCGAGGCCTTGGAAGCAACATCAACCAAGGTACTGGAGCTAGAGACTCGACTTGCAGGCATGATCTTATTCGCGACGGGGTCCCATTTCGACGAGGAGACCGCCGAGGCCTTGGAACCACCCGGTAAGGCACTGGAGCTAGAGACTTGATTTTCAGGCATGATCTTATTAGCAAGTACCTTTGAGGTAAGCGAGATTGTAATATAGGTAGATAAAAAATATAAGCGTTACGGTAGCTGGGTTATCCTTATATACTGATTAATTAGTACCAAGGCTTTATAATGCTTTACCTACTTTGCTCTAGCGAGATCTACGATTAAGACACCATTAAAATCCTTGAAGATTTTTAGTTTCTTGGAACTAGGAAACTTGAAGTACCATACTGCTACTACGGTAGTAGCTCCAGCCGTCGACGATGCAAATGGAAGCCTACGATACAGGAGATGAGTAGCAGCATTTTGAGCCATTACGATAGTTCCTTGTTATCAGAACAAGCTATATTATGCAGAGACTTTCTAGCATAGAAATAGAACAAACAGTAAATATTTTAAACTACTCGTAGGGCTCATAGTCTCATTATCATTGAGTGGGAGGAAGTTCAGTAACTTGAAAGTGTCTATAACACAGATCAATGCTGGGCCTTGTCTCTCCGTCTAGTCAATTTGAGTTTGTTTCTTTTTCCAATACCCCGGTGTTTACAAACATATGTGCTTCTCTACTTGGAGCGCTTGAGGGTCAGCCGAGGTATTTACGACCAGATCCAATCGTGCCCCGTGTGTTTTTTCTCCACGCCGGCTAAAAGCGATCATTTGATCAAGCATCTAATCGATCATAGGATAATATGATCCCTTGATGCCCTTCCCCCTTGGCCTCCCGACACCGTTCACTCCTGTAGGTAGGCATTCAGCTAGGATAACTAGCTCATTAGCAGGAAGGGGGTAGCGAAGATATATAACCGGCCGATCCCTCCCCCACATCTGTCCTCGGGCAGTGCGGACCGCCCAGCCTACTTCTGCTTAACAGCTTACTACCGGTGCTCTGTAGACGACAATGGTATTATAGGTAGTATTGATATGTTCACAATGGGTGTGCTATCATCGAGAAAAGTATTATCAAGCCAGATTTCTCAAAGGCCACCAAAAGAGCCAAGCCAAGCCCATCAACCTATTAAGCTTTGGCTAGCCGCACCAATTCGTTCCCCCGATCCAACCACCGCATCTCTGTAGGCCATTGATCAATATCTTAGCTGACATGAATGCTTTTCTTGCGTCATGTTAGCCGCACACCTGTATGCTAAAAGAATACTCAATAGTTTCCAAACTTCCTCCTACTTAATGATAATGAGGCTATGAGCAGCAATGCTGGCCTAAAATACTCACCGTTTCTTCCATCCTATGCTCAAAAGCCTCTGACAGGTATAGATTGTTCTGACAACAACGGCAGCTTGTTGTTCCTTGCAAATTCTGTCACTCATCCTCTTGTCATCCTCATTCTGCATAAGTAAGGTAGAATTACCTCTCTACCGGCTGCGGCTAGAGGAACTACCGGTAGTAGCGGTATGCCGCTTCAAGTCTCCCCGGTCCAAAAAGCCGACAAGTTCAAAGCCGTCTTGTTCATAGAACTCGCTATGGTAGCATAGTTGAAGCATTATAGACTCCTAGAGTTCGAGAAGATTCCTATATAAGGACGACTAAGCTCTAGCAGCTCTTACGTTATTCATACACTCTGCAATATCACTTGCCTCAATGGTCATCGCCAACAATACCATGCCTACACGTCTAGTCCCTAGCTCTAGTAACTTGTCGGCCGATGATGTATCCAAGGCCTCGGCAGACTCCAAGTCGAAACGGGACCCCGTCGTCAAAAAGATCATGCCTGCAAGTCGAGTCTCTAGCTCTAGTACCATGCCGGTCGATGTTGTACCCAAGGCCTCGGCACTCCACTGGGGGATATGGGACCCAACTAATCATTGGACATGCCATATACGCGAGTTCTTTCTAGCAGCAGGGCCACAAGAAGGCTATCGCTTCCCACCGTATTTAGGGTATGCTGATTCTGGCCCATGCCGAGTAGGTGCTATCTTCTCCAGCCCCAACGACCTGGATACAACCCTCGTTGCCCCAAAGGTCATGCCCGACGACTGCATTGTTTTCCTCTCTCGTGCGAGAACATTCTCCGATAGAAGTCTCACATCGTCTTCTTTCTCCTCCCCCACTGCTGTGCGGAAGTTCAGTTTCCAACAACTCGAACACCACATGGTCAGCCCGAACGAATTGGAGAGCATGATTGACGCATCTGTCTGGAATAAGGTTAAACCGATCAGCTGGGGGCGCCGCCGCATCTACATCATTACAGGATTGAAGATTGCCGAGGGTTTGGAAGTGTCGGACGGTGAATCTTGCTGGAAATATGATGGTCGCGTCATCTTGAGCTACCGGATGCACGAGCTCAGACCCGCGTCGCCGGGAGGGTATGATTTCAGACGCGTGTACCCTAACTCTGGGGATAAGGTACACGACAGTGATTATGTTCTTCCCTGGTGGTGATCACTGATTCTGTCTGGTATAGCTCTACGTTGGGCTATTTTCTCCATCTCTCTAATTGAATTTGTTTCCTATTAATCTTAACACGCTGTGATTTATTTTAGTATCGAAAGCACATTTGCTTCCATGGTTGATGAAATTATGCCGAGTACGCTTGATACACTGATACGTAGGTAGGAAAGTCGATGTACATCAGTCCGCCTCAAGATCCCATTTTGTGAATTTTCTTCACGTACCAGGCCTGTGACACGTCAAGTTAGCACGATCAAAGCAGCCGGCTGGGGGACAGATAATTGCGATGCACTCACATCTTGACGAGAGGCGCCGATTGCCTTGACCCCAATATCCATGTACCACGGCGTTGGGATCTCCTTTGTATGCACGTGCGCATCAGAGTCTGGGATGTCGCGATTGAGGATGATGCTCTTGGGCATCGACGGCTGTAGCACCGACGGCCGGCCAAGCCCAATCATGTCGCAGTCGTTTTCCGACACTGCAGATTCCATGCCCTCGCGTGTGCGGAAGCCTCCCGTAACCAGGAGAGGGACATCTGGGAATTCGGCCCTGATGATCTTGGCAAAATCTAGGAAGAAGGCCTCGCGAGCCTTGGTGCGGGCAGATTTTTCCGCCACGGCGCTGTTGGCCATCATCTCCGGATTCTCGTACGTCCCGCCGCTGACTTCCACAAAGTCGACGCCGGCGGCCGTGATGGCCCCCAGCTGCTCGTTGAAGTCTTTCATGTCGTAAACGGATTGGAAGTCTGCCGAGTTCAGCTTGATCCCCACGCAGAAACCGCTCGGGACCGCAGCGCGCACGGCCTGGATGATGTCCACCACGATCTTGGCCCTCTTGACCGCTGAGCCACCGTAGTCGTCCACCCGCTTGTTCGTCTTGGGCGAGAGGAACTGCGTGAGGAGGTAGCCGTGCGCGCCGTGGATCTGGACGCCCGCGAACCCGGCGGCGGCTGCAAGGCGGGCTGTGCTGGCAAAGTGCTCGACGATCTCCTCAATCTCGGCCACGGCCATCTCCCTGGGCGTGCCGAACATGACGGAGCCGATGATCTTGGGTAGCAGGCCATCGCCGAAGTCTAGAGGGATAGGACTAGGCGCGATGTTCTTGGTGAATGGGCCGCGACAGCCAGCCCCGGCCGGTGATTGTCTGCCTGGGTGGTTGATCTGGACGATGGCCTTTGTCCCATTCTTGCTGCAGGCCGCCGCCCATTGCTTCCAAGCCTGTAAAACCTTCTCCTCGTCCTTCCTTGCCGGGTCAAATGCAATGTCGCCCTTTGCTCCGAGATACTTGGGGGTTACTTGAACGTTTCCTGCCTCAATTGTGTCAGTCTCGTGGAGTGAACCTGCAGTCTGCTGGGTGAGATCATACCGGTGATGACCATTCCCCAGCCGCCGTCTGCCCACTCCTCGTAGGCGGAAAGGCACTGTTTGCTGGCCGGCAGAGAATCCCTTGTCGCAAATTTCTCAGCCAGGGCCGATTTCACCAGGCGATTGGGGATGGTGAGGCCGCATTTCAGCGTCAGTGGTCGGCTCAGGTGTAGCGACTCCATTTGTTCTCGTCGGAGGATGAAGCAATGATCAATGCAAACAACATCACCACATCGTGTCGCATTTTCATCTTATTATATATGCTCAAACATAACAACATCGCCCTACATGAAAGACATAATCGGCTCAATTGTTTACGCTTCTCTCCCAGCCGTAGGCATTGTTTCGCTGGGGGAAAGGACAGTGAGGTCCGCATCACCATCTCCGCATCTCCGCAAGACACTCGTTGGACTGACCGGCGGCGTGATAATGAGGCCGAGCATCCAGTCACTAAATTCAAAGAAGCCAAGCGCCAAACCGACCGGGATGAATGAAGCGCTATTTGCTCTCGATGTCCACCCAGCTGAACTGATTAAGCAGCGGCGTGATTTTGTCATCGCGAAGCGCATCATCCTGCCTCGGCTTCTCGTTTACCCGCTTTCTCTCCATGGGGACAATTGTGTCATTTGTTGATTGTTCAGATATGCGCCGTGCCGGCATCATTGGAAAGAAGAATGGGATGTACGAGCCATATGAGAGATGGACGCATGCCCGACAAAACTTCTCGATCTTCCTCTATATAAGCGCCCAAGGCAAGTCATCTATCCATTCATCGCATCATCTTCGTAAATCCCCAATTTGCCCAACCACTTGGCCAATTAATTGCCCACTGGCCTGTCCATTTGTTTGCCCGTTGTTCTGCGTCTGCCCACTCGTTTGTTCATTTGGATGCCCATTTGCCTCTCCACCGTGCTCGTAAAAGTCGCGCACCCATCTTCTCATTATCCTGATCTCCTCGTCAACAGTGCGCTTGACTTCCAGGTTATTGTCCCAATCCTTCTTGTAATAATCCGAGCAGTGAACACCGCCGGGCATTAAAATGACCGGGTGGTCTGGAGTGCTTGCCATAGGACCTCCAGGCCGATCGACCGCGCTCACGGTCGCGTCTCGCCACGGGTCAAACTGGCCGTTCGACTCGAGCAGGCGCGTGATGGGGTGGACGGCCCAGCCGCCCGTCCACGCATTGATTTTCTCTACGGTCAAATTTCTCTGGATCCCGTAGCCCCCCTCAGGGAAGTAAAGGTGACACAGCGACTCCCAGTACTCACTGTCCAGCAATCTTGAAACGATGGTAGGTGTGCCCTCCGGTGCGCCGTTTTGCCACCATTTAAATCTATCGCCGGTTAGCATTGCTCTCTCATCGTGACCTTGGTGCAGAAACCATACGGCTCGTTGCACAGCATCCAGTTCCATTGACGGTTGGCCCAGTTATTGACCGTGAGGTCGTGGTAGGCAGGGTTGGAAGGATTGAGGCTGTCAAAGCAGCCAGTGTTGAACCTTCCCTTCCAGCCTTCGTAGCCAGCTTCTCTTTCGCAATCTAAGACAAATAATTGATCAGAATAACAACCCGTTAGAAATTGACGATATTTGAACTTACAGCTAGGAAGATGTACCTGTGTAAACCACCGAGCATAGCCCTGGAGCGCCTTCTCTAGTCCAACCCCCGAGGCTCCGGGGACTGTCCAGGTAAACCATGACACAGAATTCTTCACTCCAAGTCAGTCATATATCACTTCAACCAGTGTCAGAATGAATAGTCGAAGGCGACATACCTCGATGTAATCACAGAACTTATGATATTTGTTGAAGCCCTTCTGTCTTTGGTCGGAGAAATGTGTTCTCTGCCACAGCCACGGTCCGCTTGCGATCGCACTACAGCATGAGGAGATCAGCTTCGTAATGTGCCGTGGTTCTTTTTCCATTCAAAGCTCAACTTACGCCGCAAAGTCAGCATCTTGAAGTTCTTCCAGCTTAAATCTAGACTTCAAGAACAACTTCTCATCCTCTGTTCCATTCAAGAGCACGTCGTCGATGTAGTCGATCACCCGACCGAGGTCCCTGCTACAATTCTGCGGCGTCGCCTCCTGGATGGGGCGATGATACTGCCAGAAATTGCCGATATTCTGCACAACGCTGCTGCTACCGTGATAAGCCCAGAATGTTCCAGGATACAACGACGCGAGCCAGCTGGCCAAGGCCCCGGCGTAGGAACCCCCCGTGTATATCCAAGGTGAGCGCTGAGGCGAACTACTCCCGCTCGGATCGAAGTCGGGCACCCAAGTTTGGGCGAAGTTGATGATATCCTTCAGGCTGTTGTCGAGGGTGAGATACTTCAAGTTTTCGGACGTTAACGTGTCAAATGGGGAAGATCGTCCCCAGTATCGATGCTCCATGAGGATGACCGCCGCGCCTATCTCTTTGGCGAACAGACCTGGCAGCAGGGCATCGCTGAGGTACGCCCTGTCCGTCCCCTCAGCACTCCTTTCGCCGGAGTTGACCAGGACGACGGGGGACCCGGGACCCTTCCAATACTGGGTGCTGTACCAGTATCTCTGTTTGAACGTGCCCAGGCTGGGGTCTGAGTGGTCGATTAGCTGGTCGAATGTCCCCCATCCGTTGTGATAGCCCGGCTTGGGAAAGGCGAGCGCGCTCTTTCCCAGAGGGTCAAGAGAATCAACGTTCACGGCATTGCCGCGAAGAAATGCAGCATAAGCAAACCCAGACAGTAGATGAATAAAACCTAGAAATCGCCTCATCATAGAGTCTGGATTCCCCAAGTGTTTCATTGAGGGCTGTATAGGCCCATCTTTGGATGAGTTTCGGCTCGACCCTTTCTATAGGAGATTGCAAGGGAATATCACAACCAAAAGTTCACTAGATTTGCATAGTATTCTTGTCCACAACGCCCAAACCCCGATATTAAACACAGAGTAATACACAAGACACACGTGTGTGTGAACTTGATGTTTCAAACTTCTCGACCTCCCTGGTGGAATGATTCACTATGTCAGCGGCTTCGAAAGACCCGGTCTCACATTCTCCGCGAGTGGCTGGGCCGTATCCCCCTTGACGAGAATGTTCAGCAGAATCGCCAGTTTAATCCCAGCGAGCATGGATGGATGCCTATTCAATTTAACTTATTTACGAAGGAATGAAGTTGTGTAAAATCTCAGCGAGAAGCCTGCAGCCCCAGCTGCGGCCTCCAGTGGCAACTTTCGGCCGCTGTTGTCGCCGGTTGTCTTCCTCAGTGGTTGGGCCAGCCCGCCGTTCCAAAGCCATGCCTTGTTTCAGTCTATCGACATTCCTTCGCCCTGTGAACTAGGTTTTCGAGATCTTTTAGTCTATCCACTTCACGGTATGTCAACTATCCTCAAGCCGTTGAGGGGAATGTTTGGGTGGTTTACGCTGGGAGTTCCAACAGTTTGGCGTGTTTTCACGAATAGAAGGTATACTCATCGCTAGCTTAAAGGTGTGCCTATACAATGGAAAGAATACATAGTATTTGAGTACTAATGGCAGCCTAGATTGATTAATCTCCGACGAACTTGTAACCATTTAAATATGATAAGATTTAACATCGTCAAGGATGTTGTAAGCAAGTTTACCCAATGATCAGAGATTCCTGCACTAGATCAGGCTGATTTCAGGCTTTAGTGATTCATTAAACCTGGGAACCCGTTCATGTCCCATTTTCGATCCCAAGGTTGGATACCATCACGTGAGAACAACAAGGGGGACAAAATTGGGATATTGAAAGTCAAAACTGAAACACGAAGTCAGAAATTCTGGAATCTAGACCTTGCGGTTGTCGGGTTTTGTGTACACAAGTCGCGAGTATCGGTAGCGGTGGAATGCTCTTGTCATCGTCATGGATCAAGTCAGACGGTGAGCTGATTTGTTTTGAGATGTGAGAAGTATGATTTATATTCAAGCGCTGCCACTTTCCGGTATTCATGTAATCTAGGCTTTTATACAACACCTCCTCGTAACATCCCAAGCCGATAGAAAAAAAACTGAAAGGACGCTCATTTGAACTTGAGCCTGTTACCAACATCATTGCCATCCAGATAATGGCCTGTCTTTCTAAATTCCCTGCCACTACAACTTCAACAAAAACGTTCCAAGTCGCGTCTATTTGCTGCCACTGCCGCCAAATTGCTGTTCAAAACCTTTGATGGCTGATCCGGCCTTGTCCGTGTAGTAGTCGGTACGATCACTTGCCGGATCTGAGCGCGGCGCCGCATCATACTGTACGCGCTTGTATTTGCGGGAGTGTTCACTGCAGCAGAATTACGGTCAGTCGAGGCACATTTAGCTGGATATACCTACTAACCTGCTCTTCTTGGTCTTGGTCTTGTGAGTCATTTGCCCGTGGTTGGAGGACTGAGAAAACAGGGACGCAGGAGTACGCGTGCTCTTTGATTTGGCCATGTCTGGGGCTTGGTGATTATTGTAAGGGAAGCGAAAGCTTGAGAATGGACTTAGATAGGGATTCTTTCACGGTGATGGTCGATGTGTTTATGTGCGTGGTGAGTTAAAAAAAAAAAGTACGTCAGTAGGCGAGTGGTAGAACGGACTTATATAGATATAGAGCCTGAATGGCTGTGCAGTATCGTTTCGAAATATTCCCAAATGTGCGTAACAGAAGTGAGTCGAGAGCACCAACCAACATCGGCAAATTGCCAAAGCAGTCCAGATGTCCTACCACAAATGTGAAGGTTATTTCGCTCCCACACGCGTGTGCGTATGGCAAGAGAATTGTTCTTCATCATTCTAGCGCAATTCTTAGCTATTCAACGCTCTTTTACAGTCAATCTTAACAAAATTTCGGTGCTTGAATGGAAATTAGCTGAGTAAAACGTGAACCGGATGGTCATCCATGGCGAGAATTCCGAATGCTTCCAGACACTTCGCCACTCAGTACATTGGACCGCATCCGTGTGTCATTCAACAAATTGCGAGCTCGCTTTTGCGACTGATAAGCACTCTATACCTAATTTGTCAAGTATCCGGGAATTATTCAAGGTCAAAAGTATCTTTACATCGCAAATCACGAACCAAGCCTGCGATGTGGAGGCTGTTGAGTTGCCGGAACTCACAGGTAGGATTCGGATGCGCCGTTAATGGCTGAGCACATCACGGACGCTGCCGATTGCTTACCACGGGTAATTCAACGAATGAATTGAAGACATCGAGCGTCTTTGGCATGGGTCTCTGGCGCCTGCGAGGGCGACGACGAGGCATCCGACCCACCATTCACCACAAAGGCGTCAGAAAATTATGACCGGAAGGCAACTGCGTGTGAATAATGGGCGAGGATGCCTGTTATATAATAGCATCAAGAAAGAATAAACGAAATAGAGTCACCGAAGATATAACGTTCAGTGAACAATTGCTTCTCGGGCTGCTACCCAGCGGTGTCGTCCAGCTCTTGATGTCCAATTAGCATTTCAATATTCCATCCGAAGAGCATCCAATGCTACCCCTCGCTCGGTTGGTCTCGCCTATTCCTGCCCCGCTCTAGTGCATTGGATGCCTCATGGAGCGAGTTAGACTGCATCACTGGCTGGACTGGTGCCGGCACTAATGTGTTGCGCCCACAAAGATGTGCATTTACATTTGTGGGAATTCGTAATGAGTTTTACTTGGCATTAGTGGTTCCGACTTGTTTTCTGCCTTGTCATTGCTTGGTCCGAGATACAGATCGAGGCAAGTGATGCTTTGACATCGATCCACGCACCCAGCCACCTATTGTGACCCCCCACCAGCTCAGCCAGATGCCCCTCAAGTTCGATGTGCAAATGGGCCACAACAGTGACTGAACCCCCTGTTGTGGGTTTTCTTGCCGGCCGCCCACATATCTGCCCAGCCAGAACTTTAACGCTGCCCATTATTTTCTATCGCTATCTCCGAAAGCAGAGGAGATTCGGGAGTTTATATAAGCCATAATTCCCGATCAAAATAGGATTTCAAAATGGTATCAGTTGTTGACTGCTAAACATTGAAGACTTGGATTTTGCTTAAGACTTATTGAAACAGAATCTATGAATTAAAAGCGCGATATTCGGCATAGTTCTTTCTATTAGTTAGCAGGCTTTCAAGTCACCAACCTCTAACGGCATTCTCAAGTCCCCAAAAGGTCCTGTGAGGACCTTGTTTCTCTTCCGAGGTTGGGGTTCAAGGATGGGTTGCCATGTTCACTCACGGTGGAGCCCATTCATTCCTTCCATGTCATGTGGAGGTTTGATGCAGGACCACTCTTGGCTCGACAGTATAATATTTCTAAGATGAGAAAGATATCCCGGTAGAAATCTTGATGTATTATTGAATTGAAGTCCTCTTCACAGAGCGGCGTCTAAGGACCCTGTCACTTCTCAAAATCTACTATATGTCCATTCTACTACACAATATAAGCTCCTGTGATAGCTATCTCTATGCCACATTCTTTCGAAAGATGGTTTACCAGGGTTAGCAATTAAGACGTAGGATCAACATTTCCATCCTACTCAGTCTCCCAAGGAGTCCATCTCAGAGGCGCACGCTCAGGGTGAAGCATCTGGAGTAGAAGAACAGGGCCCGAATCCGTCTCAATGAGCTTCTTCACTCTCTCCTGCGCGCTCTTCAGCGTCTCTCCAGGTTCCAGAACCGGATCAACCCGCCAATCCCGAAACAGCGTCGCCATGGTCGCAACAAACTCCACTTGGGAGAACTTGCGGCCTGGGCAGTCGCGCGCGCCATCAGACCAGCCGAGAAACGTTCCCTTGCGCCAGTTGATGAGCTCTTCTGAGCCAGGTCGTGAGGTTGAGTCCGATGTAGACTCAATCCACCGCGACGGTCTCCAAACAAGAGGGTCATTGCCCCAGTGATCCGGCTCACTCTGGATAGCTGCGTAGGATGGAAGGACCATTGTATTTGGGGGGAGAACAACCGTCTTGCCGCCACCAATATTGAGACTTTGCTCTTGGCTCTCTATCCATTTAGCTACAGGAACCGGCGTATATAGCCGGAGTGTTTCGAGCATAAGCGCCAGACAGCGTTTGAGTCGGGGAAAGTCACTGGTGTAGCTGCAGTCCTCGTCCTTGAGGACTTCCCTAATCTCTTCGTTGATCCAGGCTTGGACATCTGGATGCGCAGCAAGAAAATATAGAGCAAAAGTGAACGTGTGTGCCGTAGTATCATGGCCAGCAAAATTGAATGTGAACATATTCCCGTAAAGCTCCTTTTCCGTCAGCGCATGTTCATCCTCCCTTTGACTAGCGCGGACCAACGAGGCGATGAAATTCTTGCTGGTTGAGTTATCCGCTCCCTTAGCCTCCTCATACATCGTCGTCATGTAGTTTCGGAAGGCCTCGCATGCCTTGTGGACCTTGTTTAGCTTCTCTGGTAGCCAAGGGTTTCCAAGTGCCTTAGTACCAAACGCAAAAATGAGGAAACAATTTTCGAGGATCATCTGCAAAGACCCTTGGTAGGTTTCACTCGAGCTAGTTTGCTCTTCCTGACCCTCAAATTTGAACGACTTTCCAAATCCAGCACGAGAGAGTACATTCAGCGACAAGGTGCGGCAGTCCCGGGCCGTTGTCGCAAGAGAGGGCTTTGAAGTCCAGTATTGCAGCATGTCCTTGGCAAGCCAGAGACTCTCAGACCAGACAATCTCGTTTGTAGGTTCGGTAAAGCAGCTCGTTACAATCTTGCGCTGTACCTTCCATCTAGCCCCTTCAGCCTGTAATCATTTCAGTTAGAAAGCAGGTAAATTGAAGGGGGAAAGATACAGCAAGATCTTACCGTGGCAATGCTTGGTCCAAAGACATCGAGAACCTCTGTATAACAAGCATGGCATTAACGTTCGCTCTGCTGAATTAAAATCGCCATTTTAGGCGGAACAAGACAGAGCAGGGCCGGGGGAAAAATTACCTGTCAGCTCGACACACCGAGGGAAATCGGTTCTTCGGCGAAACACCTCATTGATAGTATCTGGATCGGCAATGTACAGCCAATTTCTGTCTGGGGTTACCAGAATGAAAGCAGGGCCCATCTCCTGATGTGATTTAGCGCGATCTTCAATCTCCCACAGGCGAAAACCGTATCTAGCAAAGCTGGTGCTCCCGAGTCCAAAGCGCCTCAGAACACTGAGGACAGGCCGGTCCATCAGCATCCAGAAAGGGTTGCTATGGCTAACAGGAATCACACGTATGGGCACACCAATAGCACAGGCCTTGATGTAGTTGCGGAGCAGGAAGAAGGACGAGTAAAGGGCCCAGATGCCCGTTATTCCAACGGTCACGGCCGCGGCCGTGGATGAGACTGATGGCATGGCAGCGTCGGCAGGCGCTACGGATAGTGGACAATAGGAAAGAATGTGTTACTGTTGACGAAATCACGATGAGGTGGATGAGAAAAAAAAAAGCGCAGGAAGATAGGGAGGAAACCGCGCGAGGGGTCAAGAGAAGTTGTGTTGGTCAGAGTTTTCTAAGGGACGCATACAGCTTACATCCTTCCGCAAGAGTCGTAATATCCAACCAACAAGTGCATCACCAAAGTACCTCATGATACTGACCAACGATGTTTCCACCGAAAGGCGGAGTTTTCTCTCGCGCGGCAGAACGGTCTCTGCAACGGCTGGCATGCAGGGCGTGATTTCCATCTCTCGCCATGGCTTCAATTCCCGGATGTCGAAAGAATGACGGGAGAGAGTTTGAGTATAAAGTTAAACAGCAATGGGAGATGCCAGATCCGACGACTCAATACAATGAATAGTTGAAAGAGAGACATTTGGAAGATCGAACCCCCACCAGAGTTGCCCATGGTGCATATGCGAATGTCGTTGGGCCCTCATCTGCGCGCAGACACGAGCCCGGCCTTGCCTATGGCACTCCTAACAACCCAGCCTCATGAGCTGCGCCGGCACATCGGCGCTGGAAAACAAGTCACAGCAATTTTTTCAGCTGGCGGACGGAAACCATTTGCCTCAGAGGGCTGCTTCCGTAACTCCCCTGGCCAGACGATCCAGCTGTCGAGACGCGTCTCAGGGAATAAGCACCCATCACGCATAGCAGAAGCATTGTCGGGAGACGGTAAAGCACCGCCATCCGGTTTCCCTCTGATGAACATCAAGATGCGTCATCGTGTGTGGTCAGAAAGAGAAGCTGTCTGCTCGGAAATGCTCTACCGTGACGAACGGCACGCTTGCTCTCCTCTTCCCCCTTCTAACAAGGCACTAATGACTCAGCGACCCTGCAAACTCTCTTTGTTCTTCAAGCCACAACGAGTCTCGACTCTGTCGCTTGGATAAGGGGTTTGCGGAGCCCCTGAGCCATCGGATGAAGTTACCCATTCCTGTCCGCCGAGCAATGCTGTTGGTTCGTGGTTGGTGGTTGATATATCTACGACTTGGGAACTACAGCTGGTTCCTTGCCGCTTGTTAGGCAACACTATCACAGATGCCTCCATTACCGGATAACACCTCGCACGAGAGCGAGAAACATGAGGTTGATCATCGAGAGGTCCCGTCGGGGCCAGACAACGCAGATCAATCTCAGAAGGATGAGGACAACACCTTCGAAGTCGACCAGGATAGCCTTCCCCCAGGCTATTTTACGAGCCCTTTCTTCATAGGTACCATGGCAGGTATCGGGCTCGGCCTCATGGCGGGAGTGGCTGGGTATGGCTATGCTGCTCCAATCCTGACAATAATCAACAATGACATTGGTCCGGTAAGTACTGCACCTCGACAGCCCGCGATCTATGAGGATATGACTAACAAACACTATGACAGGACGGCAACGTTGTCTGGGTTGCACTTACCTACACGCTCACCTCGGCCGTGACCCTTACCATCATTGGCAGAGTCACAGACATCTTCGGCCGCCGATGGGTCTTCGTCGGCGGCGCAGGTCTTGGGATCATCGGCTCCATCGTGTGTGCCACGGCCCAGAGCATCAACGCTCTCATCGGCGGCACCACCATCGTCGGCATCGCAGCCGCCACGCAGCTCTCGTACTACTACGTCATGGGTGAGCTCGTCCCCATGAAGTACCGTCTGGCCGGCAATGCCGCGTGCTACATCTTCACCATTCCCGGGTCTGGCATTGCTCCCGTCATATCTCACGCCTTCCTTCAAAATCACCCTGGCGTCGGCTGGAGGGGTTGCTATTATGTTCTGCTAGGAATCAATGTGGCCAGCTTCCTGTGTTGGTTCTTCTTCTACCATCCGCCGACCTTCAAGATGAAGCATGGCGAGAACGCCAGCTTGTTGAAATTCATCAAGGACTTTGACTACATAGGTACCACGCTGTACACCGGCGGCCTCTTGATTTTAATGATGGGCCTCAATTGGGGAGGGAACGTCTACGCATGGAGTTCCCCATATGTCATCGGCACAATTGTCGCAGGCTGTGTCGGCCTTGTGGCCTTTGTCCTCTGGGAATCTTTCGCCAATCTCAAAGAGCCGCTGGTTCCGATGCATCTCTTCAAGAATGGGCCCTGGAATGCCGCCACCATCCTCTCTGGCCTCGGCGCCAGCGTGTACTACGCCTTGGCCATCGTCTGGCCCAACATGATCGCCAAGTTGTACACCGATATGGACGAGACAACGGCTTCCTGGTATGCGTCGTTTGTTGGGCTGTTCATCATCCTTGGACAGATAGTCGGTGGGTTTCTAGCGAAACCAATCGGTTATCTGAAGTGGCAGTGCGTCGTCATGGTGTTCCTGAGTGGCATCTTCTTCGGCTGTACAGCAACCAGCACGCCAGACAGCAAAGGACGTGCCGCAACATTTGTTGCGCTCGGCACCTTCTTCATCGGCTGGGCCGAGTCGTTAGCCATCACCATTGTCACAATATCAGCATGGGACCAGGCCAACTTGGGCTCTGCTTCGGGGCTCGCAGGCTCCATCCGCTTCTTCATCAGCTGCATTGCCTCTACGATTTACAACGTCGTCCTCACCAACCGTCTCTCCGAGACGATCCCCGCGCGCGTTCCACCGGCCATAACAGAGGCCGGCCTGCCGTTATCCAGTGTCCCTGCGTTCATCACGGCACTCAGCACGGGGACGGGCTTCAACGACATTCCTGGAATCAGTGGTCAGATCATTGCTGCGGGAGTCTGGGCAAACAAGTTGGCAAACGCAGATGCGTATCGTACCATCTTCTACGTGAGCATCGCCTTCTCGGGCATTGCGCTGATATGCGCTCTGCTGCTGCCCGACGTCGACCGTATGTTGACTGGGAAGGTTGCCTCCACACTACACAGGGGTCGCAAGGATGAGAAGAAACACGGGGGTCACAGGGTTTGATTAGAAGGCATAACGTAGTACTATGATAAAGTGAAATCTAGCTGGTGTATTCAATCCAGGAAACGCGGCGCCAGAGCCATTACCATCATTGACATGCCCCAAACAACGGCTTTAGCTATCCCAATACCGCAAGTGATATCTTGAGCTATGTTCATACAGCAAGCAATATCTTCATATATACCACTGCTCCTTTGATTAACTGGCGATCGCTCTCTCAGCCTGTTGTTTTCGAGCCCAGGCTTCAATGCTCAGCAGGTCAGGGACAATTTCCTTAGTCTCTTCTGGGCTTCCAGGTTGGCAGTTTTCATAAAAGAGCCACTGCCGTTCATTCGTAAGCAAATGAGCGAGAATAACACAGCAACGAATGATTTCACTTACATCAAACATCTGCCTGTAGTGATGGGGTGTCAACCGAATGATAATCCAACGAGGAAGCCAGATCCTCCCCCAGCCCTTGCGTCCCTCTCCCTTCTCAAGAGCTGATTGCAGTTCATCAACGTTGGCAATTTCGCCGGCGACAGTAACCACCCTTCCGCTAAATTTGGTTGGATTGATCAGGGCTGCTGCCACGGCTTTCCCAATGTCCTCGCATGCAACGTATTTCTGTTTAGTGTCGCCCATGAGCGAAGCCATTGCGCTCATGAAGAAAAACCTTCCAATACCGGGGGGCGGCAACACCTCCATAAAGCCTACAGGCCGTACTATGGTCCAGTTGAGTCCTGACTGCTTTATGTACTCTTCTAGGAGATACTTGGTGTAGAAGTGATCGACTGGTTTCGAAATGTCGGCTCCAGCCACCGATGAGAACACTATATGTTTGACCCCTGCGTTGATTCGTTAGCTGTAATTCAACGAATACCAGATACCGACATGAAGTTGCACACGGCCCAAAAACGACGAACCTGATTCCTTCGCAACATCTACGAATTGCTTCCCCTGCTTCATCTCCCCTTCAATATCCCCCGGCCCTCGGAAGTCAGTGACAAGATACGCAACATCCACGTCATTTAAGGCGTTGAGCAGACTCTGGCGGTCAAGAAGGTCTCCTTTGCATAGCTGGACCCCTTTCTTAGACAAGGTTTGAGCCGGAGCAGAGGAGGTGTTGCGGGTCAATGCTTTGATGGTGAGATCGGTACGGCCATAACCCAGCAGCGCGCTGATGACGCCTCCGCCCTGCTGGCCTGTAGCTCCCACGACAAGAACGCTGGTCATTGTTGTTCCTGGAGATTTATGGAATTGCGTTTATCTCTACAAATAGGTAGATAGGAACTACTCATATATAGTGACATCCCGTCGGAATGATGGGATTATAAATCCGGGCCGCGCGGAATCCGATATTCGCTGAAACTCAGATCAGTACGACTTCATCAGTCGATTAGAGAGGTTACAGCCAGAAGATGTTTATAATCCATTTTTCTTACTTTCACAAAGTTCTTACAGCAAGATTCCTAGTTTTAAGTCTTCGGTCAGCTCGTTGTGTCCCCATCACACTCTACATCATGCCCATCAGTTCCAGATAAGGTTCCAAGACCGAGGCCGAGACCGAGATGCAATACATCACCAGTCTTTACCGGATTGGGCGAATGGAAGTACCTGACCTTAGATGAGTACGATTTCAGTTTTAGATTTTAGAGGCCACTGCTGGGAGACAAATAGATAGTGAAGAGAAGGTCCAGGACACATCAGCAATCGGGTGCACAGGGCTGGACGCACTCTGAGCTAATATGGTTGCCTGGCATTTAAATTCTCCACCTCAGTACAAGCCAGGATGGTGTATCCCAAGCATGGGATTTGTGATAGTGGCTTTCAGCAGTTACTCAGCAACTCAGTAACATCAATACGTTGCTCCCATCACTTAGCTCCCTTTGGCGAATCTAACCTCCCAGAGAACTAAACCTGCCTATGGACTCGTCCCGTTTAGCAAGTTCACGTACTTTAAACCCTGTTTTGAAAAGCACTCCTAAGTCTTCCATCTACTTATTACCCAGGGCCCGTCTTCTTATGCTGTAACGTGGTACCTAGTCATCAAGCATGCGTACTATTGGGATCTCAAAAGCTTGCGGTCGCTATCAATACATCGCCACTTCAATTGTTTAGGTCTATTCTATACACGCTTTCGCTTGCGAGGCTTTTGTGCTAACCTATTTTTGTAACAAATGCTTTTATCTGCCTTGTGTTGATGATATGCGCAAGGTTCGGGCGTAGATCCCCACAGCGGGTCTCTCTTATCAAGAACTGCGACGGCAAGATCATAAAGAAACTCCTTCGGAAGATCTTCCGGGCACGCCTGTTTACGCAACCAATCACCCTGTCCATGCTGTGTGTATAAGTCCACGAGAAGACGCCTTGCCTCAGACGATTCCATTGTGTTATCATAGATGTGGCGGATGACTGGCCCAACAGGAAACAACGTTTTGCCGTCGCTTAGTCTTGATGTAGTCTTCTCTATCATTGCATCAAGTACAGCATCTTTGAAGTTTCCATCTTGCAGCAGATCTCCCAGCACATAAGCTTTCGCAAGCAGCAAGTACTCGGCGTTACCCTTTACCCCCGGGCTATCGATTTGTACTGGAAACGTGTCGTGGTATAGCCACTGCGTATATATATGGAATATTTCGGGGTCTTCGTCTGCCAGTCGAACTGAGCGGCTCCTTGATTCGCTCCAATCTCCGCTCATTGCTTTCTTGAAAAACTGCGAACTTGCACATATAACGTTCTCGTGGATGGTAAATGGGGCGTGCTTCTCAGCTCCTACGATGACCTCGATCATTTGACCGGTCAAACTAAGAACCGTAAGATAAAAAGGCTTAGCATCGTGAGGAAGTTACTTACTCTAAGCAGGCATCCATGCTGCTCCTTAATTTCATGCCACCCATGTCTTTGACAAGTTGGATGTGTAACGGTAACAATGGTGACGATCTGCGCCTCTGACCCTCCCGTCTCTGGGTCTGACGGCCTCTATAAATACATAAAAAAGGAGTGGAGTGGAGGGCCATTTAAACTTACCTGTAGAATAAAAGTTTGCGCACGGCCTGCTCACTAAAGTAGTATTATTATTCTTTACTTTAGATGCTAGGTCTAGCTAGGCTCTAGTCCCTCTATCTGATCGCTAATAAGGGAAAGCCTACCTTATGTACAGGATAAAAATTCTATTCTGCTTTGTTTCTATGCGATTTCGTACAGGGGCTGATACGGCTTCCTGTCTTTCCACCTTTGTTGTACTTGCTCTTTGTTCCTGTCTTGGCTCTCACCTGCCAGTTGGTGTCGACGGGGTGGTGTTTAGCTCGCGTCCTGTGCAAACACAATATGGTTCCGTCTTGGGTCCAACACTTCTTTGTATCGGGTTTGGAGATTCAAGGACTCGCTATCCTATACTTAAATAAGTCTTTAGAAAGATTATACGGGGGAGAGTTTAATCACACAGCAAAAACCAGCAATGGAAGATTCCAGACTCGACATTTACAACACAATGGATACGGAAGGCAAAAATAAGCTCTACAAACCCAAGGCTACAGAAAATAAACTTTATGAACCTTCATACCAAATCATAGAGCTTCCTTTGTACACTAATCCTCCATCTATTTAAAGCACTTCAGCAAGCTCAAAGCAACGCAGTGAGTAACAGTGGACCCTTGGCCAGAGCACTCGCAATAACATATACGCAGCCTTCGCTGTCTGTTCTGACGACAAGGGCGTCATGCTAGGCCAGATCTTGGTGCATTCTCTCAAAGGCGTTAAGATTACCTCGACCTAATTCCAAAGCCTAAGACAAACAGAAGTGATCTAACACTTACCCGTTGGACTGTAGTTGCCTACCCCTAGTAACTAAGCTGAAAACTAGTTTAACCTTCAACCAACGCCCTAAGGTTATAACCACTGTCCTAGGGAAGTAAATCCCTATTATAAAGTCAGTCTCATTGAAATTATATAGATATTCATCTGAGATGCTATGTTCTGCCTTATATTTCGTACAAGAGTAAACTAAGCTCTAGCAACCTGATGATCTCCACGTGTATCTCGGTACTAGTTCAACACCGAGCCTAACTATGTCGATGCAGGTCCGTCTTTCCTGAGGAGTCATGATTGACGAGGTATTCGATATTCAAGTAAGTGTAAGCTGTTCAATAGTGAGAATGATAAAACTGTGAATCCAGTATGGGTACCTCGTGTATTAAAAATGTTAAAGAAAAAGGAGCTTTAGAGCAGTTAGTAAATCACATGCTACATCCTATAGGAGAGACAAAAAAAGGTAAAAGCATACACAACCAGAAGGATTATGGCGGATGAATACGGAAAGCAAATATATATACTATCCTGCTCTCTTACGTATGTATGAGGCCTGTTCTAAAATCAATAAACTCAGTCTCTGCAAATCGTTGGTTTCTCTTCAAAAGAGCTTCGGGTAATTTTTCCCCACGCTTAAAATCGCCAAGGTCCTTACATCAGAGTTTTTTCATCCTTATCAATAATATAAGTAGAAGGCATATTTAAAAGGCGGTACGACCCTAAAGATAAAGATAAAAAGAGAAACTCTGGAGTTTCCCGGCCAGTAAACCGACGAATATCATATACAAGTTTTCCTATCATGCAAGATATTTGAACACATTGTGAGGTCCCCGCCGTTTTGCCTTAATTTTCATATGGTCACTACAAATTTGGACATGCTTTCACAGTTCCAAATGAGGTTCCAAGACCGAGGCCGAGATCGAGGTGCAAAATATCCTCGGACGATACCAGATTGGGCCAATGGAAGTATTTCACGGGACTTTCGAGCTATTACCACCTCGACATTGTAGTATATACGGCAATCAATTACAGAACGCTTAAATGCTTTCCACAATAGAAGAAACGTCTAGTCTCGCCATTCGCTCGACACTAGAAGATAGTTGGGAAACAGATTGAAGCCCTTTCGTGATGAAGAGAAAAGTGGTTACTCCTTGATTGGCAGAATGTATCAAGCTTATCTGCACCATCTTGAGTCACCTTAGCTGGCAATATGATCATGAAAATGGCACATAAGTTTCATTGTAAAGACAGAGTACTCGAGAAACTATCAGTTGGTTTCCAATGTATCTATCCCTAGCGATACTGAACAGGAAGGTTTCGCTCCAAGAATCTTGGCATATCTCAAAAAATGTCTTAGCAGTAGTGAGAGAGCTATGCAGTTATGCGGCAGCTGCTGAAAAAAAAGGGAGGGATTCCCAAACACCAAGAATTTAGCAACTTAACACCATACCCAGAAACACAACACATCCAAACAATGTCCTATAGACTCAAGAGATTCCCTCTTCCGATTAGCTCTCAACCACTTGTCGTCCCTTGGAGCTAGACAATGCACCTACAACCTTTTTAGCTTATTCCAGATGAGCTCGTCTCTTGGCCAGGCAAATGTTGATGATAGAAAACGCGGTTAGAATTCTCCTGGTAAATACTGCCTCTTGATTGAAATAATGTACAAAAAGCTATATATTTGGCAACTCGTAACTCGTACAGTAAAATCTAACCGAATAGATGTCTTATTATATCTAAGTCGTCCATAGATAGTAGAGGAAAGGTAAAGAAAACGGTGTATGTACCAGCAAACGCTTACAGCCCAGTGTATTCCACGGACCTGCCCAACAAGTAACCCCGGACCCCGAAAAGCAAAATCCCAATACATCATAATATATACTAACGAATGAAAAATGCCATTCACGGTATTGATATTTCTTTCGAGTCTACCCAGTCCTTCCCTTCCAGTCGGACCTCGATGAGTTTGCCACCCTTCTGGAAGTAGCATTTCGAAATGTCCGACTCTTCTGCAAGGAGCTTTTCGGAAAATGTGCGGTCGCTCTTCCACACGGCGGGGGTTACACATCCAATGTGCGTCCCTCTATCTGCCCCTTGCAGGAGCTTGGGCGATGAGATCTGCCAGCCGTTGTCGTTGTTGATCCAGGCTTGCTTGATATCCGAGCCATCTTGATACAGGAGAAATGTGTTGACCTTGTCGTTGTCTCCACGCGCGAGTGAGAATGCTGTGAATGAGCTTCCAATTGGAAGTGTGATATCTGGAAACGCTGTACCGACGTTAGTCATGGAAAGATTAGGTTTAAAGCAAGATTGGGAGTGCTTACTAGAATTCCAGGTGCTGACAATGGTGACAAGATCATCAGCGCGCTTTTCATCCCAGAACGCAGGGTCCGGGGAGGCCAATATCTTCCCGCTCTGGTTCTGGTAGAAGATTGCCCAGAAGCCTTTCCCGCTGATTTTGGTCACGTTTCGCGAAACAGGTACCACGGCCAGATTCGATTTCGACGCGGCCGTAGCGGAGAGACTGTATGGAACATATGGGGTTTCCGACTCGTACCAAAGGGCATGGACAACACCCGAGGTGTTCTGGTATAACATGAAGGGCCAATACGCGGACAGGGTGCTGTTCTCGGCCACTTTGAACGGCTGCTGGTTGATATCGGAGGTCGTGAACCCCTTGGCTTCTGCCTGTCCCCCGGTAACGTATGTCAGGCCGTTGATGTACGACGTCGAGTTGATGTATAGAAGGCTAAGCTGGATCTAAATTAAACAAGGTGTTAGGACTCTGTTCACGCTAAACGGTGGTGAAACGGGTAACTGTACCTGTGAGTTGGCATCGTTTGACTGGTCGACGCTGACACTCATGGTCAGACCAGCATTCTTTCCCAGCGTGCTCTCCGGCTTGAGCGTCTTTGGCTCTCCCCATGTAAAATCTGTCTGCGATCCCGATGCCGTGGCCTTGCTGTATCTAAGCGAGTTGTCGGCGGCCTGATAGGCGACATATAAATTGTTATCGTCGCCATTCTTCCATCCCGAAACGCCCATGGGGGAATTGGCGGCAATTGACGTCGGGGTCGAAGATGGCGCTGCCGAAGCTGTGGTGGTGGTGGTGCTTCCAGATGATGAGTCGGGCGACGACGAATTGTTGCGACTCCTCGAACCGAAAACGCCTCCCAGCACGGCGGCCAAAATAATGACGACGGCTAGAACAACCAATCCCGCGAGAAACACCGGCTTTCGGTACCACGGCTGCTTGTCATTGTTGGAGTTTGTCACCACGATTTTCCCGTCGTCCTCCATCCCGTGGTGGTGGTAGTGGTGCTGGCCGTCGTAGTGGCCATCGAAGGGCTTGATATGGGATTTCCCTGGCGTGGTGGCAGACGTCAAATCTGAGGGTGATGAAGGGGAGACAATAGTCGACTCGCCGGCGCCTGGCGATGAGACAACCTCTTTTCCTTCGTCGTACACTACTCTGTCGCCAGCGACGACCTCCAAGGTGGGCTCGGGGACCGGGTGTAATCCAGCATCGCTTCGGCCGTAGTTGGGCGATATTGGCAGATGGCTATTCTTGACCGGCCACTCCATCTTCAATCGTAAAAGGCGTCAGTCGTGTGCGATCAAGACAGAGCGAGCGCATGTCAAGGTGGAGGTGGCCGAAGGTTAGGATGCGGAAAGGAGGAAAGATCCGACGCGAGTTTGGAGGAGAGCAGGGATGGGATGGACATTCTCTTAACTGCTCGCATGGCAGCTGAAAAGGTCAAAGACCCTTGCAAACTAACATGTTTCAAATGACAAGGCTACTGCTCGTGTGCATGATTTGGGCCAGGAAGATGGTGGGATTCTGTGGGGATGTTCTTCCCCGTCGACTGGGAGAGGGCACTTAACCGGCGTTCTAGTCCGAAGGGGCAGTCCGAAACAGCTAATCATCAAAGTTAGAGAACTGCCGTTGCCGCTCAGAATGTCCTTGGAATGCAACTCGTCTAACCCCCTGTCTTAGGCACTAGGTAAGGAGCGGGTCCAGCCTGTGCCATGTTTAGAAGCTGAGGAGAACGCAGAGAGAAGAGTTCTGCGGCTTTCAGCAACTCAGAACCAGTCAACGGTTCCATCTCTCCATTCATACGCGATCTCTCCTGGTTCCTCCACCTCCACAAGTTGGCTCTTGGCGTATACAGAAGCTTCCCATGCTCTCAAGCAGGGGGAGGACGGAGACGACGGATGGAAGGATTGCTGACCATGGATCAACATGGCCCACACCACCAGACTAATATTGTCATAGCCTCTCCTAAGCTTGGGACATGGCCCTGAAATGAGTCTTACCTAACGCCTCGCTAACAAGCTTATCCAATCGGACAGATGTCTCTTAAGCGCGCGCCAGACGAATACTTCCAAGCTGCCGGTGAGCGGGTTCATCGTCTCACTGGCTTGCTCAATGACGCTGAGAATGAGACAGGTCGGGGGGTCCTTGTCAATCCTTCGCCCACCTAATGGCGCCACAACGCGGTTTGTCCATGATCAAGCTTTCTTTGAACCAAGGACCAATAAACGATCTACTATGACGCCGGCCGGGCGCTTATTCTGAATCTGAAAGTCAGCGCTTGGTACGAGTTGGTCCGGTGGGGGGTTTAGGGTCACGAGCCTAACGTGAGGCGGTGACATCTGTTCCCCCTCGATCCCCTTATGAACTCGAAAATTGCGTGTGGCTTTACGATGTCCCTTGCAAGGCTGGTAGCTGCTTCTCGGGAATTTCCATCCGAACTCAGGCTTACACGAGAGCAGAAGGTGCAACAGTTAAATGATACAAGCAGTGGACTTCCCAGTACGTTGAGAACGCTGGTCCTTGTTGGATTAGTAACCTTATACGCGTGGGAATTGCATTCCAAAATAGAAAAGTATAAGATGATGGGAGGGGCACTCATTTGAGCTTGGTCCACGTTTGTCCAGGGGTTTGGCTGCTTGACATCCGGATCGACTATGTTCCCAGGACCTACCCTGCATCCCGATGAAGGAGGAATGACAAGTTGTTTAATTGATATATCGGCCAATGCCTGCATGACGAGGGATAAGAAACCTTGCGATCCTAGTGCCTGTTTACTTATTTATTCATCTTGGTTTAAATCCTGCGGATGATAGATATCCCTTATCTTAGGGTCAGCAGCACTTTCATTATGGGAATCACGTTTTCTACTTCAGCAGTGCTAAATTGTTCTAAGAATGCAGCGTGATCTTTGAGAAACAGGAATTATGTAGTTAAGAAGGAACTGTAAAAACATTGAAAGCTTCGCCTGATAGGTGATATCAGACTTTAGATGGCGCCAGCTTCACATCATAAACCAGCTCAAGCTCCGCCTTGGGGTTGTTCTGTATCGGCTTGAAATCGACCAGAAGCTCATCTTTGACGGCAAAGACCGAATCATCGATAAGATATTTGCTGGTACGGTCAAATATTTGCGTGGTCAAAGGAGCATACCCATTTATCCCAATCTATTCATCGGAAGTTAGCCATGCCAACGGAATTTCGCTTCAGAGCCAAGCGCCTACCAATAAGTGGATGTGCCCGGGGCGCCAAGGGTGCCGATCTAGCAGTTGGAGAAGATCGCCAGCAGGGCCTAAGTTGTATGAATCAGCTATTTGAATTCATGGCAGGATTGGAACGCATAAGGAGTCCTTTACCGTCATATGGAATCGGATAAGGCACTGGCCGGATGCAGTAAACCCCATAGTATCCATTCTCATCTGTTGTGAGCTTACCCCGTAGGTTCCATTCTGCTTGGTCTGGGTCCTGTTGTTCGTACATTCCGTTTGTAGAGCATTGCCAAATATCGATTTTGGCTCCAGGAATTGGCTTTCCCGTTGCGGCATCAGTGACAATCCCGTGCATGTAGACATTCTCGCCTTTCCCATCTTTGGGAGGCGTGAGAACAATGCTAGCATCGTTAGGGATTGCAGGCGTATCATCTCTATAAAAAGGACCCAAGATAGCGGTAGCAGTAGCTTCGTAGGATTCACCCACCAACAAGCTATTGGTGATATCGTCTACAAGTCTTTCCATCCTCGTTAGTTGATTCAGAGTCTGTATGTTTCAAAATAGGCACAACTTACGATTCTAGCCCAAGAACATCACAGACGAGTTGGCCCTCGTTTCTCTTCTCATTGCTCATTTGGCCCGCCCGGTTCATCAAGGCAACGGCTCTTGTCCATTCATCCACGGTGATCTGATTTTCGCGGGTGAAATCATGTAAATGGCGGATCAAGCTGGCAAAGACAGTCCGGACACGCGGATCGGCCTTGGGCCCAGTAGCCGCAATGACAGCTTTGGTGAAGTCATCTCCAAGTTTGATGTTACTCATAGTTAAGTAGATCTCTCGGTAGGCTGGTGGGTAATTCGTAAAGTAATTGATCTGAGTGGTCAGATATTGACAGGCGCGGATTGAACAAACTTATATATTTCTACTCTGGGATTTCCCCGCTGGCACAGAATGAAGTAAATGGTCTGATACCTGGATCTTCCCCACACAATTAATATCTTGGGGTTAGCTTATATCCCAATTGATGGTAGATTTACTCCTCATGAAGGAACTTCAGGCATGGTCGCATTCTGGCGGTCCGCCACCCAGGTCAGCGTGCGGCCCGTACACTATTGTGCATTCGAATGAAGGCCAAAGCAAACCAATTCATTGGGATTTCGAGAGCCGCATTCTAATTGAAGATGTATTATATCTAGACCGGGTGACGGGTAGTTAATTTCAGTAAATTTTCGCAGGTTGGCCAAATTTATCGTTCTAAATTGACTTGATTTAGTTCGTGGCGATGTGATTCTCTCTACCGAAGCTCAGTCGGTTGTCGTAGAAAGAGACAGGGCACATTGCCGCCTTATCCGCATTGGTCCCGGGCCGCAGCCGACGTTGGAGTATTGGGGACGAGGTAGCATCATGGTTCTACTAGAGGTTGAGTGACAGGGGTCTTCACCATCAGTTTCACGACTTGGCATTCACGGATACATGGAACCACCAGATCGAGATACATGTATACATTAAGCATAGACTAAACCGGGAATTTTCTGGGAGTTTCATATGTACCTTAAGCCCCATTGCTAAATAACGGTGTCATTAAGATACCAGGTCTACTCAAACACAGTGCTAGACTTCTCTGAAGTGAGATAATTGAGTTCCGATTCTGGACTCTTTTACATCCGATTATCCTTCTTAATTGGAATTAACTTGAATTGTAGGTTTCAGTAGGAAACGCTCCATCTTCAATGCCGAGGCTCCCAAATAAACTTCGATATAACCTTATGAAGATGATTTATCCATACTATGACAACGGGAATAAGATTGGGCTTGACTTCTTGTCTTAAGAGTAGGAATCACCATGTAAATGTCATGTAGGAGATATATCTAAAAGTGAATAAGCCTCCACCTCTGCTATTACTATCGTTGCAAGGATTGTAACACATATCTGGAACCGGGCGTAGTCATGTTCTTCCCTCAGTGTCATCGCAGCTTTCACCTTGAGTTCGGTCTACGGATACGGCTGATTTTGAATTTATCTGCCTGCCTCAATATCCACAGCATCTTCTACATGAGTCTCAAGATACTAATTGAGCTAATAGTAGACATATCTCTGACGTGGAAACCTACCCCGCTGAGAAGGATTTTCCCGAACCAAGTTATGAAACCAGATCGGCTCCCTAAAAGCAAAACCTTGCTCAATCGTGATATCAAACGCGCCATAGGTGAGTTCAATAGCATGGCACTTGTCTCTTGTCTCAGGGACTTCCGGAATCTCATCAAAGCAGAATCCAACCGAGTTGTTGGCGTACCGATGCACCTAAAGGACAATGCTGGGAACGGGTTTGCCCAGTTTGCAATGCTTACGTATGGGAATGGCACTGGACTCGGGTGTATCCCCGTGACGCCGATCGAAGCATAAGCACCTCAATGGTAGGTGTCATGCATCGTAGACATCATGATGCTGCTCTAAATCACACAAGCGTTGGTTTTAATGACTTCAGCCACAGCCCCTCTAGTAGATGATCTCCAGACATGTCGGCACTACCTACTGCGGCAGGTAAATCATAGTCTGCGGCACCTCCTGACTAGCCCTTCCAAATAATAGTATAAAGAGAATTAAATTAGCTGCTTTCCCAGTGCTGGCTACCTCGATGACATATTTCACACAATTAGATGAAAGCACTCCTTAAGTCCTTTGCCTTAAGACATCTTTGACCGGCGTTAAACAATATCATCATGAAGGAACTGCAAAGCCTTATTGAGTTTTTTTTTAGGACTCGACATATTTTTATTGCTTGTAGATAGTTAGCAAGACTTGATTGAAACCGATCTTAACCCAAATAACTTTACACAAAGCTCAGCCGCGCTGGAGTTCTCGGAGAATAGCAATTCTGGAACTGCTGTGTTTATATGTGTTGCTGGCTAATGAGTGCGTATTATTCAGTCGTTACTGGTCACCTATTGCGTGGTATTCAGTGATATAGCTTCTTATTCACTCTCTCAGCAGATAATAGCATTGTTGAGTGTTGGACCGGGTCGCAACCTCCATTTGGGCTGGTGTGCTCGCTCCTCCTAACTTGAGCAAATATCCAGCAGACCAGACTATCCGTGTTCCCAGATTCGCCCACAGTGGCAAACGTATCTCTCCTTCAGCTCCGCTCAAAAGAGTTGAATTGGCTTTAGGAAAATTGGCATACTAAGTTCACGGCAGCGCAGGAATGACCCATGATGGTCAGAGCTCACGATCGTAATATTGATGAACAAACGTATCGAGTCCTCGTCATGGACGCTTTGATTGATCTTTCTGCTCGCTACGAGTAGAGAAAAGACAGGAATTTTGGTAGAGACATGCTGAACTCTAGACTCATTTGGTGTCCTTTGCCAGCCGACTTAGCTCAAGAAAATAAATGGAGGGCAATAAGGCATCTAATGGCTTCCCCAAGCATCTTATGCTGTAAGTTAGCGCCTCGTGAGAAGTCTAATCTGCCATTGGAACAAGAAAATACCATATCTGTCGAAGGAGAAGCTTGTGGTTCCCAGTCAGCTCGCTGTATCTTCTACAGATAATTAGTGTATAGCTCACTGCTTAGTTTGATCTTCCGTGTCATAAGTAGAATTGCGTAGCAGCCTATTAAATACGAGTGCGTCATGGGCCGTATCTCATTCTAAGTCAAGGAATATGTGTATCGCATTTAGGACATGAGTGAAATACCTGCGGGGCAGCTAGAGTTGACATGTATGATTTCCATCCGAGAACAGAGAAGACTACACATTTTAAAGATCTGGCAGCCCTAGTCCAATGGCGGGAGGGCCAAAGTGAGAAGCAGTTCACCAATGGGAATCAGTTAGCAATTGAAGTTCATTCAAATGGCATACTGAATTGAAGATTGAGAGAATACCACGCTGACAACACGTGGTCTATTTGGCGCTATTGGAAGATACCTTTCCCTATATTCGTCCTTAAGGCACAATAGAGAAGGGCCAACATGCCTCTCTTGATGATGTGGCAATGCGCGAAGGAGTCTATCCGAGAGAGAAACTTGGTAGAACTGTCTCTAAGTGAATACCATATTTCCTAAATCCTGTGGGTTTTAGTTGAGGGTGATAGGATGACTCGATTCCCAGAAAACAGAGTAAGGTGTCATCCGAAACGAAAGACCAGACCGCCAAGGGCCACGTTTTCCCCTCAAATCTCATGGGTCTGGGGGTGGGGTTGCAGTTGAAACGTTGTGCTGAGCGCCGTGCCCCCGCCAAGGGATTTGCCTCCGCCAGTCTGTTCACGGAACCTGGAAGTTTTTTGTGACACCCTCGCCTTTTCTACTCAGACCTCCGGTGCGTGGATGGGCCACTAGGTACAAGATCCCAAACTCAACGGGGATCCGGGAGGGGAAACTGACACACCCCTGATCGCCATATGGAAATCCGGTGCGCAGTGCCGGGCGGCGTCTCAGATATCCCCCTTTAACCAAGATCGGACACAGAGCTCCGTTTCCCTTCTCGGATGCAACATGGAACTAACAGGAAGAGGTGAGAAGAAGAAAACCGACTGCCCGTTGAGGGATGATATATTGATCACGAGAACATGAGGAATATCCCCATTTAGCGGCCCGACCGGTCTGATTTCTCAATTGAGACACTGCCAGTGTGACGAGAGCTATTTCTCAGCATAAGCTAGGGCCGTAAGGGCCCATGTAACATCTAGATGAGATCGTGGGACACCTCCGTTTAGCAATTACCCGGAGACAAAAGTCTATCCTGCCAGCACAGGGTCAGATTGCGGAGATTGCCTGGTCCTAGTTCCTCCTATCATACGTCTCAGATTTGGAATACCTCAAATTCCAATTCGGTGATCTGGGCACTCTTTTGTATCCTTACTCTCCAGGCTGGTCCACTCCCATATACTGTATATATATCTGCACACATGCGTGCCATATGGCTCTCTCCTGCTTCCCCACGCCTTCTGCCACTGAATGATTTAATCTGACAGGTTGAAGACAGGAGATCGTCATCATGTGGTCATTAAAGCTTCCGACGGTGCTGTTGGCCTTGGCACAGTGTAAGTCCAGCTCCCGAAATGATTCTCCAATCGCTTCCTACTAACACTTGACAAGATGCCGTGCATACTGCTGCCCAAAGCTCAACCCCTACACCCTATACTGACCCAGCTACTGGAATTGTTTTTGATACCTGGACTGCTAGTGCTGGCATGACATTCGGGTTTGCTCTTCCTTCAAATGCCTTGACTGTTGATGCTACCGAGTACATTGGCTACCTGGTACGTTGGTCGCAATTATGATCCTCTGAGATTTTCTTACTGATAATAAACAGAAATGTAACTCTCCAGCTGGTGAGGGCGTTGGGTGGTGCGGCCTTTCCCTAGGGGGCACCATGACCAACAATCTCCTGCTCACAGCCTACCCTCACGAGGGAAAGATTCTCACTGCTTTCAATTGGGCCACTGGCTACGAAACTCCTGTCAACTATGCTGGCACGGCAGAAGTCACACAGGTCCGTTCGACTATTAGCGCTGACTCTTACGAGCTCATCTATCGCTGTGTTGGATGTCTGTCATGGAACCACAACGGCCAAACTGGTGGCCCAAAGACGAGCAGCAAGTTCTGGCTCCTTGGCTGGGCCTTTCACAATGCCAGCCCTGGAAACGGTGCCTGTCCTGCGGACATTACTCTCACGCAACACACCTCTCAGAGCATCTTTGGGGCCACGTTAACCGACAATATTGCCAACCCGAGCTATGACACCTGGAAAGCTCTGGCCACGGGAGTCGTTCCTGGGGACTGCGACAATGGTCCTACACCCACTTCAACGTCTTCGACCATTATCCCGACTGGCACTCCAGTCCCCACAGGTACAGCTTATGACTACATTGTCATCGGTGGTGGCGCTGGCGGTCTGCCTATTGCCGACAAGCTGAGCGAAGCTGGCAAGAAGGTCCTGCTCATCGAGAAGGGACCCCCCTCCACAGGAGAATGGGGCGGCAAGCTCAAGCCATCATGGCTTGACGGCACATCCCTCACTCGATTTGATGTCCCTGGTCTCTGCAACCAGATCTGGGCTGACTCCTCCGGAATCGCCTGCCTTGACACTGACCAGATGGCTGGATGTCTCCTCGGTGGTGGCACTGCCATCAATGCCGGTCTTTGGTGGAAACCAAAGGACGCAGACTGGGACTACAACTTCCCTGATGGGTGGAAGGCGAAGGACCTGGCGGCCGCCACTCAGCGAGTCTTCTCCCGGATCCCTGGCACAAGGGTCCCGTCGCAGGATGGCAAGCGTTACCTCCCTGAAGGCTACAACATCGTGTCCCAGGGGCTCAAAGCCGCTGGCTGGAATGAAGTCGATCCCATCGCCAATCCGAACGCGAAGAACCGTACGTATACGGATGGTCCTTATATGTTTGCTGGTGGTGAGAGAGGTGGTCCTCTGGCCACGTATCTGCGATCGGCGAAGAAGCGAAGCAACTTTGACATGTGGACCAACACTCAGGTCAAGCGTGTCGTTCGCGAAAGGGGCCACGTCACTGGTGTTGAAGTCGAGCCATACGCTGGCAATGGCTACGTCGGCACTGTGCCCTTGACCAAGAACACTGGTAGAGTTATCCTTTCTGCTGGTACCTTTGGCAGCGCCAAGATTCTTCTGAGAAGTATGTGCATTTACCTATATCCTCTTTGTTGTTGAAGTTGAAATGAATTCTAACTCATGTGATTTTTTCCATAGGTGGAATCGGGCCGGATGATCAACTCACCATCGTGAATGGCTCAACTTCAGATGGCCCAAGTTATATCAAAGAAGAGTTTTGGATTAATCTGCCAGTCGGCAGTAACTTGGAGGATCATACCAATGCAAGATCATGGTGCCCGTTCACGTTGATTTTCATGTTCACTAACTTGAGTTAGACCGACACTGTCATCAGCCATCCTAGTGCTGTGTTCTATGACTTCTACGAAGCTTGGGATAGCCCCATCACAGCAGACAAGGACGCTTATCTCAGTATGTCTAGATGATAATTGATAATCACTGAAATTATCGCTAACATTGTAAACAGACAAGCGGTCTGGTATCCTGGCACAAGCTGCCCCGAATATTGGTCCAGTGTTCTTCGACGAGATCCTCGGTGCCGATAAGATTGTCCGCTCACTCCAGTGGACTGCCCGAGTTGAAGCCAGTCTCGGCCACGAAGATCCACGTAAGTATAAGAGGAAAATCATTATATATTCAAACTCTAAGATAGGCTAACCATGGATCAGATGCTATCACCATGAGCCAGTACCTCGGCCGTGGCGCCAAATCCAGAGGCCGCATGACCATCACCAGCAGCCTGAACACAGTTGTCTCTGACGTCCCGTACCTCAAGGACTCGAATGACATCGAAGCTGTCATCAAGGGTATCGACAACCTTCGCACCGCCTTGTCAGGTGTTGCCAATCTCACCTGGCTCTCTCCTGCTCCAGGGAAATCTTCTCGCGATTACGTGAACGAGGTGATTAGTTTCTTGGCTGTTGCACCCAACTTTGCTTCCATTTACTTACACCGTCGCAGATGCTTGTATCTACATCCAACCGTCGCGCCAACCACTGGATCGGCAGTAATAAGATTGGCACGAAGGATGGCCGTTCCGGAGGGGATGCTGTTGTCGACCTGAATGCCAAGGTCTGGGGAACCGACAACCTCTTTGTCGTGGACGCCTCCATCTTCCCTGGAATGATCACGACCAACCCCTCCGCCTACATTGTCACCATCTCGGAGCACGCAGCCTCGCGCATCCTCGCTCTTTCGACCCCGACGCCAGGTGCTAGGTTTGCTCAGTGCGGCGGAGAGACCTGGAACGGTAGCTACATTTGTGCAGATGGACTGACATGCACGCGCAAGGACCAGTGGTACTACCAATGTCTTTAGATTCACGGAGCTGGGGGCTGGGTCTGAGTCTGATTCAAGTAGACGCTTTTTTGGATAGACTAGTTTGCGATTGTTATTTCTCGTTCAAGCCTTCATTGCGTCTCTCTTTGTTACCAATGTGAATGTTTACGACGTAACTGCAATTACCTGCACTCAGTAGGATCCCTATAAGCGATGTTAGAACAACTAGAGGCTTCCTTGTAAAGAGAAAAATGAGCGTGCTTACCAGTCTGTGACTAGTCTCTCGTCGAGTGCATCCAACTCGTTCATATCCTCCTCCGAGATCTTCAAAGAACCCACGTCGGCATTCTCAATCAGGCGTTGGGGCCGAGAGGTTTTCGGAAGCGTCACCATCCCGTGCTCCAAGCTCCATCTATATTTCATAGCCTCTTGTGAGTATCTGTCTTATTTACGTATCACACAGGTACCAAGGGACAAATAAGAAGTGATGGAGTACATACCCAACGAGGAGCTGTGCTGGAGAACACTCATACTTCTTTGCCAACGAGACGATTTTGGGATGTCCCATACGCATCCCCGCCACAAGAGGAGCATACGCCTCAATCTCAATGCCATGCTTCTTGCAAGTATCGCGGATCCCGGTCTGGGTATTGAAAGGGTGGACTTCAATCTGGTTGAGGACAGGCTTTACTCCGGAGTCAGACGCCTCGACTGCTTTCATGAGCTCTTCGATCTGGCCACATAATCTCGTCAACCAATTCCCCATTACGCAAAACAAAGTAAAAAAGCACATTTGAAATAGGGAAGCAAACGAATCAAACTCACATGAGCAACGCCATAGTTGCTAACACCCGCCGCCCTCACCTTCCCCTCCAGCACCGCATCCTCCAAGGCCTTCCAGCTGGCCAAGCGGGCCTTCTTGCCGCCGTAGGGACTGTGCAGCAGGAACAGGTCGATGTAGTCCAGGCCGCAGGCCTCGACTGACTGGGCGATGGAGCGCTTGACGGCGTCGTACGAGGTCTCGTTCTCGGCGAGCTTGGAGGTGTAGAAGATGTCCTCGCGGCGCAGGCCCTGGGTGTTCTGCGGCCCGGCGAGGAAGTTCTTGATGGCCAGGCCGGCCTCGCGCTCGTTGTAGTACATCTGCGCGCAGTCGAAGCCGCGGTAGCCCACGGCCAGGGCCTCTTTCACTAACTCGCGGGCCTCTTTGCCGCTCATCTTGTAGAGGCCCAGCTGGATCCGGGGCACGGCGACGGTGGTATCGGGAAGGGCGGTTTTGGATTTGACGGAAACCACGGTGAGCCGGTCGGCAAGGCGGGGGAGTGCAGGTAACGCCATTGTGATGGTGAGAGATGATGTGGTGCTCGAGTAGAGTGAAGTGGAAAGAAGTCAATAATAGCTCACCATGCCTCATGGTGATCTCATCGGGACGGAATGAGGTGGGGGAATTATGGAGGTGATGTCCCGGAGCAAGTTACCGGCTACGACGAGCCATGAGTTAATTGCTACAGGTATTAGACAAATATACAATATTGATAGGCGATTAACCAAGTACTCGCCGCTTAGAGATTTCATTCATTTAATAATCCTATACTTAGATACACATTCCCCCTCGATTAAACCAATAAGATTTTATTCATACACATCGTTCGCGGGGGGCACTGGTACCAGCTACTAAGTCTCACCATGTAATAGGCACTCAAACCTTGCATGGAGCAATACATTGGGCTGGTCTACAAAACTAGCATTGACTGATATTAATATGACGTTAAATCATCTGCAATATTTCTTCCCAAGGTGCATACATGTCTCCATATGTGTTCTCTCAGAATAGAGTGATCAACGCTGCAGTGAGGCAGTGCACATTAATCAGACTTCTCCAGCGCATTACCACAGATTACTAAAGCGGGCTTATTTCTACACGTGATGCAATTAACGACCATCGATTTCTGCTATTTGCTTCCACTGTATTCTCCTCTCCTGCCTGTATATAGGACAACGTCGGTTTATTTCACAGAGAATCTTGCGTGCTCACTCAGAAACCGCAGCCATGTCGTCTGGCGAATTCTCCGGAGCCGAGGCAGAATCTGCATACAACGACCTCAAGCGACTGATCCCGGCGCTCGCCCTGGAGCTGGACCATTTGCGTGCGGCACTGCGGGAGCACAACCTCTGGCTCCAGCGATACGGCCACACGGCGAGCGTCGATGCAAGCAGCGACTTCTACGCGCCCCCAGACACTGCACGCGCGGGAGCAAACGACCCGGAGCTGCCCGCCTACTCGGCCTCAGATGTCCCGCCCTACTCGTCCGGGCCCAGAGTTGCCCCGGCTGAGACGGGCACCAGGGACGAGGTGCAGCAGCGTCGCGACCAGCTGGTTGAATGGCTGGCGGAGGGCGAGGACACTCTGAGGGAGTACTCGAACCGGTTCGCCCAGCTGGCGCAGGAGGCGAACATGCCCCCGGAGGACCTCCTGGGAACCTGGAGTGAGGCCAGTCCGGATAATGCTCTGCCCGACTATGAGAGGATCGAGCCCAATGAGGAGCGCATGGTCGGTGGTGTTGGTGAGGTTCCCCCGCCCTACGTGAGGGGGCCCGCGATGTCCAAGCGACAGGAATGAATATCGCGCAGGCGAGATATATGCATACATTCCATTTAGGTATGGAAGAGCAATCAAGTACACGACAAGGGCGATATTGCCAGTAGCGGTTGTCAAGGACCAAGAAGATCAACATTACACCTTGAGGTGCCCAACACGAATATTGTCCAACGCACTTTTCACGTGCTTTCGTCTTGCGGGTGTAGCAAGTATCGGATACTTGCGGTTACAAGAGGTCCGGTCCACTGGCTAAGAGAGTTGGCGGGAACCAAATCTATTGAGGATACAATTTATGGGCTTTGTGTGAAACGAATTTCTAACGACATGTCCCTAGACTTTGAGCTTAAATGCAGAAATTGAAACCGTAAATTGATGGCTCGACTCATGATCTGATCGTACTATCCCATTACTGCTTGACACAGAGAACGACCGCGTCATCCCACTCTGTATACTTCCGTATATCCCTGACTACCAGCCCAGTCTCCTCAACAAGTCTCCTCCAGTGTGCCTCCCTCCGCTCTTGACTATTGAAGAGGGTCCTCATAACCAGGCTCAACGACGCTTGGTATTCAGAATCCATCGAATCTGTGAGCAGCTCCCGATCCGGAAGCACCTTGTCGTCGATCACGAGGACAGTATTGCTGTCCATGGCCGACAGCTGAGCTCGAAGTATCTTCTTACACGTCTCGTCATCATTGTTGTGAAGTATCTGTCGAAAATAAAGGACGCGAGAGCCTGAGCCTTTCATTAGTATCCGGGCAAAACAGTTCATGCGTCAAGCATACCTTTTACCGGCTGCTCCATCAAATAGTCATAGCCCATCTTCTCCATCCCCTCAACCGCAAGCGCACTCTCCAGCACCGCCGGTCGGTCCTGTAGGATGACCCGGCCGGGCAGCCCGGGGTAGCTCTTCTTCAACGCCGCGCACTGCTGGCCATTGCTCCCCCCAACATCCACGAAAATCACATCGTCGGCTCGGGCGCCGGCCGCCAGCTCCTTTTCGAAGTCGAGCACGTCCAGCCACGTCGGGAGGCCGATGACGTGCGCCTCCATATAGATGTGGAACGCGTCCTTCAGGACAGGATGGCCATCAAGCCAGGCGTAATAGCTGAGGTCCGTGTCGTGACCCATCTGCCATGCCGTGCGCGGGCCGTGGGGGTTTTGCAGGAATTCCTTGAGTTTTGCGAAACCCGGGAGCACCGAATCGTGACTATAGAGTCGGCCCCATGGCTCGTCAGTTACATTAGCACGATCATGTTTCTAAGGATATGAGGAACGTACTAATGGGTGTGGGCTGACCGGAGCTCCGGTGAGGACAAGAGGCGTGTGAGAGGTGTGGCAGTAAAAGCCTGCGCTTCCACTCGGGCAGCCATTCCTCGGGCACATATAGAGTCCATGATGGACTCTAGAGTATCGCTAGGAATTTTCGATGCTGCCAAGAGCTCACCCAAGGAGACGGGGCCCGTTGTGGCACAGAGTTTGGCAAATATTCCGTGAGCCTGGCCAATGCGAGCCGTAACCAGCAGCAGAGGCTTGAAGCACTTTGTTAGCTTGATCTTGCCCACTATAATCGAGTGAGTGAACGGGAGTCAGGGAAAGGAAGGAAGAGCGGCAATGGGTTTAGATGGTGAGCCAGGTCGGTGCAATACCCACCGAGTACGCAATGCGGACCATGGTCTCGAAGGGCGTCTCCAGAGCATCGGCGGCAGAGCGAGCAACTTGTTTCAACTGCAACCTCTCGCCATTCTCAAGCCCCTTCAGGACCGATGGGTCACTGGCGATGAGCTTCAGCTGAGAGATCAACGGTTTGGTATCGACCGATGTAGATGCTTTGTCTGATCCCATGTTCTGGGAATCTAGGTTCGTGAGACTCTCGCCACTCTTAGAGGAGAAGAGAGCCATTGTGTTTGGAACGTCTGCAGTTAATTTACTTTGGATAGGAAATGTTGAAAAGACAGTGAAAACGGATCGAGAGCCTGCCCTACCTCTTATATAGCGAACTATGCAAACCTTGCCATGCTGATGGTGGAACGAGGCCACTGTCACCTGTCTCTCCGACCGGTCATGCTCGTGCGTCCCCAGATCGGGGTATTCTAGTCCAACAGAAGGGGCTGCACATACACCCAGTAATCGAATCTAGGCGGGGACAAATATCCGACTGGCTGTAAGTCCTTGAATCTTACATACGCTTGGACACCATCTCACCATAGTCTACGACCCGTGTTCCGGTTACCGAAACTGTCGGTCACGAGAACGAGAGCCTGTGCTCAGATAGAGATAGTTCGGGAGATTTACCTCGACCGGGATATCAGCGCGAGCATTCATCATCGTGTCCATGTCTCGATCACAAGACAGCTCGATGATCGATGTAACATTGGCTGCCATATCCAACCGCGAAACGCCCATTGCCGAACGAGATACAACGATTCTAAGTTAAGTGTGGCACACTGAATGTGCATGGATATACATACATCTTCTCTCACCACAGCCCTCGTATTCAAACATAAGAGCATCAAAGCACCCACCACAACCGGGTAATTCAAACAAATAATCATCACAAGCAAAGCGCCACTCATACGTGTCAATGCAACCCACGCCTCCCAAGGGGGGAGCGCCAGTCATCAAGTTGATACTTCTGCGACATAAGGGTAAGTCTAGCTATTAATACAAAAACCTGTTTGCACAAGATCTCCCTCTTTCCCAATTGTCCCGAATCGCGTGGGTGTTGCCTCAACCGCGTTACGCTCCAACATTGTACCTGTTGTTATATACGCAAAATAAAGATACTAACCGCTTCGTATAAAAATTATCCATCCCGGGGGGCAGCAGCCTTCCAGAGGCGCTTCGCTCCGAACCCACTGTTTCTAGGCCCTCTGACTGTTTGTAAGAATTGTTTTTTGTTTATTAAATTTTACTTTATTGCGGCGAGGAACTGGTGTCTCTATCGGCCGTTGTGGAATCCTGTAAACTCGTCCCCCATGGGTTCCAGCCCCATGTCGCCGCCGGCGTAGAACTGCTGCTGGGCCCAGGCGGCGCCGAGGTCGCTGGGGATGCCCATGTCCTGGAACACGGGGGGCGCGATCTCGTTCTCCGGGATGTTGTGGTGGTACATGTGCGTCGCCGAGGCGGGGGGTTGGACGCCGCTCGTCCACGCCTGCACGTCCACGGGGGCCATGTAGCCCGAGTCGAAGCTCATCGGGGCGGTGGTGGAGGTGGGCTGGTGCTGCTGGTGCTGTTGCTGCTGTTGGGGAGCGAGGAAGGCCTGCTGCTGGAGGTGGTGCGGCAGGGTGAAGGAGCCGTCGAAGACGCCCGAGGAGGTGGCGGAGGAGCGGTGGGTGTTCTGGGAGGACGAGAGGTGCTTGAGGTCGCGGGGGCGGGGGGCCAGGCTGCTGCCGCGCTGCGAGGAGCGGGCGGTGCGGATGCTCTCGCGGTGGGTGTTGCTGCCCATGACGCTGCCGCTCTCCTCGGAGGTGTCGTCGGTCATGACGACGCCCGAGTCGGGGCGGGGGAGGACCTCGCGGACCTTGCGGGCGACGGTGGCGGTCGTCTGGGTGGGAGCGATGGTGGCGGCCGGTGTCGCGGCGATGGCGATGGGGGCCGTGAGGGCAGTCAGGGCGGCAGAGGCAGAGGCGAGCTGCTCGCTGCGCTTGTTGCTGCGGTTGGCGTAGGGCATGGTCTGGGCCTCGGCGATGCAGCGCATGACGGTCTCGATGAAGCACTCGTGGAACTTGGCGGCCAGAGTCTCGAGGGTGGCGGGGTTGGAGATCTTGTCCCGAAGAGATGACTTGAGGAGCTCGAAGGAGGCGAGGTACGTATTTTGCAACTCAAAGTGTTCAATAACAGGGGTGAAGTCTATGACACGGGTCAGTTACTGTCTAAGAATAATAAGGTGAGGTTAAGAGGCAATACACATACGGTACTCATAGATTATGTTGTCGTCATCGTCAGGGAAGAGGATGTTCCAGATCTCTCTCCACTGGATCTCAGTCGACGAGCCGCTGGTTCGCTTCCTGCTCAGCAGCTTGGTGGCAGTTGGGCCGTCGATGCCGTTCTCTGGGTCCGAGTCGGAGATCTCGCACATCTGGTCTCTAGGCAGACGCTGGTGATCCCGGAGCTCTTTTCTGGTGGGAAAGTCGCGGTTGCATCGGTCGCAGACAAAGGCCGAGGGGTCGTCCCTCTTGTGCTGCTTGACGATGTGCTGTCTCAACTCGGCAAACTTGGGGAAGAAGGTCATGGCGCAGGAGTGATGGTCGCGCACGTTGAAGCGTGTTGGGTTCCTCTTCCTAAAAGGACAGCTCAGGCGCAGATCCTCGTCGCGAGGAGTCGGCTTCATCTTCTTGGCTGGCAAGAAGGCCTCGCCCTCGCCCTCGCTCATATCCTCCCCGTCTTCGCCTCCTGCTCCTCCCTTCTGCTGCTGCTTCTTCTTCCGCTTGCCGCCACGCTGCGAATCCCCGGCAGCTCCGTTGGCTGCGGGCGACGACGATGCGCTTGACGACATGTTGTTGCTATTGGAGTCCGGAGAGGCCTGTGCCTGCCAGAAACATTGACCGAGGTCGCGGATGAAGCGTTGGACAATCTCTCGCGACTTGGCTGGGAGAACAGATGCGTCTTTGCTGTCGACGCCGTAGACCATTTGCATGGTAAAGTCCAGGACGGCATCGGCTTCTTCAGGGTCGCAGTCGTCAAAGGACAGGACCGAGGCAGTCTCCCAGTTCTCTGCAGCTGACTCCTCCTCTTCCTCTTCCTCGTCTTCTTCGTCGTCTTCGAGATCTTCCGGCCCAGGCAGAGGGGGGAAGGGCTTGGTCAGGGTCAGGGTCAGGCGGCGATCGTCAAAGTCTTCCTCTTCCTGGGGAAGAGGGGGCAATTCCTTCTCTGGCGCTTCGGTTGTCGATGGGCTGGAGATTGCGAATTGGGTCAATTGGTCAGTCCTTCAACAGATGGAAAGCAGGAATGCGCACTCACCTCACGGGTTCAATCTCATCTGCCGATCGCGGCGTGACGTCTCCGGCGCTGCGGTACTGGTCGATCTTGTCGCTGATGTTGTGGACGACGGGCGTCTCGTCCTCATCATTGATCAGGGTAGAGCAGGTTGTAACAGACGTCTTGTGGCGGTGGAAGACACGACTGGAGGGGCGCGAGCCGGTGAAGAACTCCTGGAGGTCGCTGGCGTAGCTGGAGCTCACGGGGCTGGCAAAGGTCGAGTGCGAGTAGGTGGTGGCCGAGTCCGGGATGCTGGACATGGACGACTGGGTGGGAGACCGGAGGCGCGCATTGCTGGTGAGGAACTGGAGCGACTCGGGGCAGCGCTTGTGCAGGCGGGAGGGAGCGGTCGACAGCGATGGATGGTGCTGATGGTGGCCCGGTGCGTTGTTGGTCGCGGTGAGGGATCGGCTGGGGACTTCGACGGTGATCTTGTGGAGGGAGTTGAGCCCGTTGATGCCGTTGGCCTTGTCGCGGATGCGCAGCGGCAGCTGGTGGAACCCGGTGGCTGCGTGGAGCTCGTCCTCGGAGCTCATGGCAGCGGGACTGAGTGAGGATTACTTGCTGCTTCTGGCGATGCTGTTGCTGCTGCTGGTTCTGGTTCTGGTGGGTGGTGGTGACGGCGGTGGTGATGGTGGTGGCTCGCGGTCATCCGTGTCTAAGGCCCTGATGCGCCGAGCGTAGTGGCAGGCGGCGAGCTATGGTGTTGGTACGGCGACGTCTCTCACCGTCAAGGCGTTCTTGGCCGCAGCGAATGAATGAAGGAGGGACTGGTTGATGCAAAAGAATGTGGAATCTGGCCGTTCTCAGGTTCAGGTCTGGGATGGTGTTGAAGGTGGAAGAGAGAGGAGGGACCGACAAATGAGCAGAACAGAACACAAGCACACGCCAGGCGAGGAACATGCAATGCGGGTAGGCAGACCAGCTGAAGGAGGGGAATGGCCAGGAGGGATAGGTGAGAGGCACGTTTGGGGTGGATGGATCAACCAAGGGAAGGGGGAGCAGGGATCAAGGCCTCTCACCCATGGCTGGCCTCCACCTCCTGCTCCCCACCCCAGACAAGGCTCACAGTCCCGGGACGGTCCTCACCTGCCTGTCTGATCCAGAGCTGGGCTCTTCTGGGCTAAATGGAAACGTCTGACAGCTCGAGTTCCAGAGTAGGTCGCGGAACGGTCCTGGTCATACAATGGGCCCACCCCTTTTGATCCGTGCCCGCCCCTCCCATCTGTCTGTATCTGGATGTATCCTCCCACAGAGGCGACCAGACGCAAGGTTGCCTGACTGCCAGGCCCAGGCGAACGACGAGCAGTTCGCGTGGCAGAGGAGTGACAGGCACGGGCTGATGGGTGAGGGTCAGGACATCAGACAAGACTAAAAACGCGCAAAGGGTTGACCGAGGTGGCATAAACGGAAGGATGATAGTATTATTAGCTCAGTTATGCCTGTATCTGCCCCTCCTCGTTTGTCACACACAAGAGTTCTTTGCCTCTGTGTCTGCTGTGCTCAATGGCCAGCTGAGATATTATGTACAAGTGGATGGATGGCCAATCAGTGCTGGCTGATCCCGCTGTGCCGTCCCAAAAGGCCTTTCGGCTACATGTACCAGGCAACAGCGCCTAAATGCTGGAGATACAGCGAACATGCAGCTATGGTACAGACGGTATTAGTACTGCTATTTCAGTACCCCGGAATGTGTGTGTGTTGCGCGCGTGCAGGTGTGTGTGTGCCTGCGTGTGCATGTATGTGTGATGCATGAAAAAAGTCCCCGCCCGCTCTCCATCCCTACGTCTTCTTCGCCAGCGAATCGAGCTCTCTCGACAGCCCGTCAAAGGGCACACTGGACGGCGGTGCAGGCTTCGACTCTGGTTGATGAGCCTGCCGGATCAGCCTGTCCGAAAGCCCCGTGGACTGGTCCAGCAAATAGCGCTGCAGCATGGGCGAGGCTCCGCTGGCGATGGTGCTGGCGCTGGTGGTGGTGCTGCTAGAGCTGGTGCTATCGCCCGTTAGGCCTGTTAGCTCAGTGCACCACAGCGGGCGCCGGGCCTGGTGCCGGCTATAATACCACTGATGTTATAGTGGGATGGAGGCACGGTAGGGGGCTGTGACGCACCCGTTGGACCCCTGCGCTGTAGTGCCGTCTCTAGTCCAGGAACACATCGTATCGCGACCTAACTCAGATATCTCAAACAGCTTGCTGGGCGCAGTGGATAAGGTAATTAAACGAGCATGAACTCGGGGCCAGGTTACGAGGGACACTGAGCAGGATTCTCCCAGCTCTCTGGACTCGGTAGTATATGAACAAGCATGGGTCGACTTGGAAGAAATGGTTATGGCTCAAGTATAAGGGAGAGGACGATAAGTGATGTGATGGGCTGGGCTTCAATACTCCAAGGTTCAACCGCCAGACAGCCGGCAAATGCATCCGCCAAAGGGCCCATCCGATATTTATATCTGGCTGTCAATATTGAGACATTTTGGTTCTCTGCGAGTAAGTGGAAAAACTCCTCCATGTGCGCTCCCAGCTAGCCTTACGGCCATCAACAACCAGACTCGCGTACGAGAGCTCAGGTCCCGCCATCCTTCCCCATCGCCAGCTTCCCCGTACTGGCAAGGGCGTGGGCTTGGGCGTGGGCGTGCCGTGATGTGATGGAAGGCTCCCTCTCTCCGTATCAGGTAAATCCGGCGAATAGAACAACACCCTCATCACCACACTTACCATCACCGTGGGCCGATGACCCAGGCTTCAGAGCATATACCATGATCAAATCACGACTGCAGAAGCATCGCCCGGGGGTGTGATAAAGCCCCGAGTCAATCAATCTATCTATCCACACATTCCATAATTAACTTGATCAAGAAGCCTGCCCGGCACCCATTCGACCCCCACTGCCTGTTGGCTGGATGCACCCTCGTCGCATGTCACCGTCCCAACCTGAAATCAATATACACTCCACGCTGTCGGGATTATTGATGCTAATCATCCTTACTCGCTGCCAGCGCTCGCGTGCGATCGTCCTCTTGGCGGCCAGTTCCCTCAATAGCTTCCTCTCAAGTTCCTCTCTACTGCCAGACTTACCTGCAGCCGTCGCGGGCTCTTCAACTAACGCTTCCCACCGGAACCTGCAACAGTGGGAGGAGACCCGTCCTCAGCCAATACTCGTCATTCACAATGCAAACCATAGGGCTGTCCGCGGATCTACCTCCCGTTTCATCCGCCTGGGGAATTTGGCCGCCATGAGCGAATCAGCGCGTCTGGGACCGCGACAGGGGGCTAAAGGGGGTGCTCGATAGTGGATGGGCGCTTACTGTCTTGGGGGGAAGAGGAATGGTTGAATGGATGGGTTTGGGCGTGGCACCAGGGAAGCGCTGTCCAATTGCCAGTGTGATCTCCTACCCTTTTGGCTCATGGATTTGTGATGGCCCGGAGATCCAGCGCGAAGGGCCGCGCAGTCAATACGGCAGGTCGCAGTGTTGCGCCAAAATAATAACCATATTTCTGGCATCATCGGCGCGATGGAAGCTCTTTGTCCCGCGGACCCGGTAAAGGTCGACCTGCCTAACCTGTAGCGCTACCAGAGACGCATAAACGCACCACCGGCCAGACAGGCAGATCTCGCACCGGTCGGCACGGTGCTCGTGGGCGTCGGGGAATCCTTTGCGCGGGGCATCCAGCCGAGAATAGGATGTTGATCCCAGGTAACAGGTGAGAGAGAGCCTCTCTGCCTCTTCTTGCGACCCATCTGTGGTTTGCAGCTGCGTGAGGTGCTCGCGAGCATGGCGGCCGTCGCCGGTGGTGCTGATGATCAGCGTGGCCGTAGAGCCCACTCACCTACCTGAGCTGATCCAGCTGATTGTGAGACGGCATCGGCCGTGAGTCACTGGTAAGCGCTGGCAGAATGAGAGCTTGAGGTTAGGTGAGGCGACGAATAGAAGATCCAAACCAATCATTGAAGCGAAGAGCGGAATGAGAGACAAGATGTGGGAGAATGTTTTTAGATGAACAGTTTCTGGTTCAGCTGATCAGGAACATGAAGCTTTTGGGGGGCTGCTGTTTCATCTCTCAGACAGGTTTCAGCTTGATTCATGCGTGGGCACGAAAATCTTTTCTTGGTTGATGCACGAGCGAGAAAAGCAGTAGCGAGGTGGTTTCTCAGACACTTGAGAGTCCAAACCTTAAACAAATCATCGTGAGAAATCGCGAGCCAAGTATTGACGCACTCATTTTATGAGACACAGAAGCAATTTGAAACCAGAGAGTGATGAGTCGGTGAGAGTGTGAGGGTGAGTTTGATGGTCTAGGGTAGCATGTAGGCATGAGCTGGATGACAAAGCATCGACAAACCACACAAAATCACAAACAGCAAAAAAGGCTCGACATCCGAGCGCGGGAGGCCCGGAGTTTTTTTTTCTCGTCTGGACGCCACAGGTCTGGACACGCTAGCAGGCATTGTGGCCCCCGAAAGGAGAATTTGGGGATCCTTCAGCAGCAATCAGCAGCCTCCAACTGGCTGCCAGGCGCGGCGACCCGCTGTTGGGCAGCGGGCGGTGTGGCTTGACAGGCAGGGGGCAGGTGGGCAGAATGCAAAAATGGCGCCACTTCTGTGTGGCGCGCGCCGGGAGGGGTAGAAGCGTCAAGTGACGAATCACGAAAAAGAGTCGGCCCTGGCTGGCCCAGTCCATCTGTTCGCATCGACCCATACCACGCCTTGGGACAGCACAGCCGATGGGAGATATTACGGCTAAGGCAGGGCTGGCAGGAAAAAAAAAACGTGTGCAGAGATCCCACCGACCGCATCGATCGTTGACGCGCCGTTTGCCCCTTCGAGTCTCCCCTCTCCTCTCCTCTGCTGGCTTCAGGCACTCACCGGCCTCCAGCCCCAGCCCCACGCCCACGCTCTAGCCATGACCGCCCACGGTGGTGGTGGTGGTGCCGCTAGGCATGAGGCTAATCATGGCAGCGAGTCACATCTCAACATTGTCATCATAGGTGAGTTCCCGCCTGCGAGGTGTTGACCCGGCCTGCCTGCGAGTGAGGCGGGCCGCGGACCTGAATATGAAACTCACACGATCTCTGCAGGTGGCGGCGTCATCGGCGTCTCTATAGCTTACTATCTCACCCGTCACCAGGCCTACTCTCCCTCCCGTCATCACATCACCCTGCTCGAGGCCACGTCCATAGGAGGTGGTGCCTCGGGCAAAGCGGGTGGCCTCCTCGCCCAGTGGGCGTACCCGGCCAGTCTCGTGTCTCTCAGCTTTGACCTCCATGCCGAGCTGGCTGCCAAACATGACGGCGCCAAGGCCTGGGGATTCCGCACCATACGCTGCGGCAAGATCACGGCGGGAGACCGTGACCTGGACAAGGAACAGCGCAGAGCCAGCAGTAACGGGGACTGGCTGTCGTGGGCTCGCACGATGATCCCGTGGGCGCCTCTCGGGAAGCAGAGAGAGCTCAACAAAGACCCCCAGGGCACAGCACGTGTCGACCTGCCAGAGGACCTCGATTGGTTCCGCGCGGATGGCATCTCAAAGTACGAGGACATCGCGCCGCGGAAGGAGACGGCCCAGGTCCAGCCCTACCTTTTCACCTCAGTGATGGCCAAGCTTGCCGAGAAAGAAGGCGTCAAGGTCATCCAGGAAGCGGCAGTGGAGGAGATTGAATCCGTCGTCGAGGACGGTGCCGAGGTCGTCAAGGGCGTCCGCTACATCCACAAACCCACCGCACAGTCGATATCCATGCCTGCGGATATCGTCATTCTAGCCGCGGGCCCATGGACGCCCGCGCTGCTCCCCTCAGTGCCCATCCGCGCGTTACGAGCGCACAGTGTCACCATCAAGCCCAACCGTCCCCTCTCAGCCTACTGCCTCTTCACCGACATCACCGTCCCTTCAGATGAAGCCGCCTCACCCCTCCACACAGCATCCGTCCACGACCCTGCCTCGGCCGCAAGGGACTACCTCTCCGAGCCCGAGATGCAGAGTGGCTCGCGGCCGTTTGTGCGCGTTGTGAGCCCGGAGATCTACTCCCGCCCCAACAACGAGGTGTACATCGCGGGAGAGAGCGACGAGCGTGTGCCGCTGCCAGCCGGCACTGACGAGGTCGAGATCGACCATGCGGCGTGCGACCTGATCGAGCAGGCCGTCGCGAGCATTTCGGACGAGCTTCGCGACGGAGTCGTGACGCGTAGGAGGGCGTGTTACCTGCCGACCGTGGATGTGCCCTCGGGGAACCCTCTGATTGGAAGCACTTGGATAGACGGATTGCTGCTTGCCTCCGGGCATAGCTGCTGGGGAATCCACAATGCGCCGGCAACGGGCAAGGTTATTAGCGAGCTGGTTTTCGATGGGAAGGCGACGAGTGCCGACATTTCTGCTCTGGATCCTAGAATGGTCATGTAGGTCCAATATATCGACGACTGTCTCGAATATACCCACGCGTGTGTCAATTGTTCCTGGCCAAACAAAATGAGTTTTCATCCATGCCCTTTGATAGGAATTTGTATTATGTTGGGGTTTGCTTTACTTCATTCTTTTCATGTCTTTTTTTTGTTTCCCCACCAGCTCTTGATGCTAGATAGATAGTCCGGGCTCTTTCTTCATCTACATATTGCTCATCTTGTTTTAGCAATCCTCGGATTCAGTGCATTTCTGACCATCTTTTAATACTCTATGCCCTTGCTATTTGGACTTGTCTCTGAACGTCACAGTCTGATCGTCTTCCCGCGAAACAAAACGTGAGCCTTTCTCTTGTGTGTTCTCTCCCGTTCTAGCTTTGCTGCCATTGCCGTTAGCTAGAATTCTTTCTGGAGAAGATACTACATAGCTATCTATCTAGTGAGTCATGGCGAATAAAAGTCACAACGCTAAACACCAGCTTTTGTTGCTGAAAACCTTGATGATGATAGCTCCATTGTAGCTCTCTCTTGCTGGGCGTTAAGGGTAAACTTTAAGTTTAAGTATTTCAGAAGTTTGGCTAGGAATACGCCACCAAGTTTTTGTTATTTATTTATTCTGTCGAATGCTGGTTTCTTTACTATGCCTAGAAGGACCCGGCTCTGTATGAGAGGGATATGTCTGTCATGATGATGAGAGCGTCTTGATAGGCTACCCTATAGCTGTGATGTAAACCTGCTCCCTTTCTCTCTCTCTCAGACTAATGGCGTGTTGATAGACCCGAAAATTCAGTTTTTATCATGATTTTAATGACAGAATTGGAACCGTGGAACACTTGAGAAAATCGAATCATCGTCCGCACCACCATTAGCAATGCAGGTGCTCTCAGTTTTCATATAAGGGTCCATAAATATGCTAGGTTTGACTTAGCATGAGAACTGAGTATTAATGTGCTCGGCGAGTAACGATTGATTGGGTAAAGAATTACCCTCTGAATCTGTAGACTTACCACTGTAAAATTGTGTAATTTATTGTTTTTTTATCCCCGACGTGAGACCCTCACTAACTGACGCTATCTAGATCTAGCGGCTGGCACTGCCACACCGGCTGTGGCTGGGCATGCGGGGATAAGTGAAAGGCAGATTTGAGCAATTATGTGGTCGATGCAAGGGTAAAAGAGGACTAAAGAGGGGACAAAAGTAAGCCCATCCTCAGAGTCATCAGCCATGCAGGATTGGAAGTATGTCGTTGATTAGATTTGGCCAGTCCAGTCGTGTCTGGGGTCCTTCACAGCCATGACTCATGCGGTAAGATGAACCGTCTCCCACTAGTAACAGGATAAATAAGAAGCTCGCCCCCTCATTCTTCCTGGGAAGGAGAAAGTTGCTTAGAATACTTCCAATCGATTTCACAATTGTCTTGTGCACTGGCGGTCTTCGGCAACCATGGAGCGGGTCAGAAAGACTTACTTCAGCCCTCTGGCGACCTCAAAAGCGCAGATCCAGGAGATCCTACAGGAACTCCCCGTCGGCTCTGCCCACCCCTTTAGTCCTGAGCGTACTCTGCTGTGTCGTACCAATGATGGAGTTGATGAGATTGACATCTCTACCTACCCGGAAGACTTCTTCTTCAATGCCGTGGATTTAGGCGAGATGGGCGAGATCCTGTTGAGGCGAATGGCTGGCTTCCGGAACCACCTTGGTAAGTGTTTCTTCTATTCTGACTCGATGTTTTCATGTCTAAACCCAACACAATATGGCTGTCAGACACTGACAATTTGTAGCTGTGTTTGAGGATTTCCAAATCATGCAAGCGCCCGATACGACTTTCAAGATTCCCATCGTCTCAGGTCAAATTACCATCCTAGCCGTCTCTGAGAGAACACCAACCTACTATGATTTCTGCTTTGCGGATGCGTCATGTAACACGTGTTGTTGGACTGCTCGGAATACCTTCTCAGGCATCAGCCACAGTGGTGATATTTTGAATGGGCAGGATCTCTTGGACTATGTCAAGATCGATGCCCCGTCCCTGACAGAGAAGGAGATCTGCGTGTTCATCTCCGGCTACCAGTCCACCAAAATTACACGATTCTTAGGGACTAGCCCTGCACTGATGGTTGCTGACCATGTGGACAAGGTACCGCCCAAAACCCTTTCGTAGTTCCCAAACATGAATTCATGCTCATCAACTCTCACAGATTCTCTATATTATTCCAGTGCCCTTGGATGCGGCCACCATTGGAGATGCAACGATTTGTTGCCCACTGGTAATCAAGCGTGACGAAGAGTCGTTGATATGTTCCATTTTGCCAAAGGCAACCACAGATGTGGACATGATGTGCTCTACCGATAGATTAGAAAGCCCGTCCTTCCTGGAAGCCATACAGAGTGCCGAGTTCACCATCACTCCTCCTCGAGTGACTGCCCCGAAACGTAAGTGCTACCATATATATCTCATGAATTGATAAGAACGCGTCAATGAGAATCAAGGCTAACTGGGGAAAACAGTGCTGGGCAATGACACCAAGATGCCAGAAGCTAGTTCAACGGTGGAAGATCTATCTAAAATTACCGCCAAGAGAAGTGCGCTGCTTGTCACGAACGCTGTATCTGTGCCTTCCTTCATCAATACGGAAGTGACACAGATTATCCGGTTCGGCACAAATCTTGAGTTCAAGCTCCCAAATCAGGAGCTGCTCACGGAAACGCAGCCGTCGAGTGTTGTTTTGCCCTGCATATTTGGCTCGCAGCTTCAAGGCCCGGTACTTCTGGCCACTGGAAAAGTCCCTGCCAACGTCCCGTTTGGTGATGAGGCCGCCTTAAGAAGTTATTACGAGGGTTTAGACAACGTCGTCGTCATCGTCGACGAGCGGATGACAGATAATGCCCGTAACATTGCCGGCTCTTATCGGCTTAACGCGCTATTCATCGTGCAACTCACGCCAGCTAATGAGCCCAAAAATTCTGATGAGGTCTTGTCTTTATTGGACTCTGCGAACATCAATGCCGTGACGGCACTTTCAGGCCCGCAGTCACTGGTTCTGGTGCAAATCCTTGGCAAGTATTATTTCTACAGGGGTATTGCCAACAGTTCTATCCTGAATACGACCAAATTGGCATTTGGCTCTGATATGACTTCTGTCGTCGAGTCTGTGGGTATGGGAGCCATAACTGACCCGAGGGCGAAGCGAATTATCAGCCTTGCTGAAGAGAACACCATCATTCTTCCCAACTTGAATCACTTGGTCAAGCCGCAAGAGCTCCAGAATCTATTTGCTGAGCTTCCAATCGAGAAGCTGAATGGTATGGAAGAGGACATCTCCGCTGCCATCCCACAGTTGCAGGCACTACTGAACCAGAAAGAGCTGCAGGATCTCTCTCAATTACTGGTGTCCTCGCTATCCGTAAAGGTTAGCAACGCTGTCGCTCCGTTGAGGGACGCCTACATCCACTTCTTCAAGAACGAATACCAAGCCTCGGACCCGGAATCCGTGAAGAAGAAGAATGAACTTCTCGGAGACCTCCGAAGAACTACTAAGCGTATACAAAAGGCCCTTGAGCCAATCATTTCGAGCTTCGCCAACATGATGTCGTCCCAGACAACATCGAAGCGAACTCATGACCTGAAGCGGCTTGTTCGCCAGGCTCAAATTAATAGCAACGTTGAGGCTGCCAAGTCGATGACCTATGAGACTCTGGCAGGATATCTCGAAGAACATGCCATGGACATGGGTGTCATGCTCTTGAATATCGAGACTGATTCGTATTGCCGTCTGCTGGGCAACTTGGATTCGGTTGCTGTTGATGCCAGGTACTATAATCTCCCTTTTGGAGCCCGCTACCTTCTCATCTATTTTCTCATGGACATGGATTAAAACTGACCTCTTTTTTTATAGCTCGTGTTGTAACCTTGATTCAAGAGTTCTCCACCTGGAGGGATTTGACGCAGGAATCATCCTCGAGCAGTCGCAGAGCGACCACAGCGGTCCTCTTCAAAGCCAAGCTGGACCAACTCACCCTATCTTGGCTGTCCCATATCTAGGTCAGGATAAAGGCGTTGGCTCCATGTTGGCTTGGGTCTGCTGGGATGAGTTCGTCAACTTGGAGAGTCCATACGGCGTTAGGTGGATGGAGAAGTGCAACGAAGCACACATCGCCGCATTGAGGATCATGGTGAGAGACACTCTCAGCAATGCTGTGGCGTCAAGAGAGCACAATCTCCAAGCTGGAGCCCCGGAAATCGGCCACTTGATGGGCGCGCTGCTCATGGCCGCCATGTCCAAGCTCGCGGCGATGAGGACGACTGCCCCAGTGGTGGTAAAACAGGCCGAGGATACCGTGACGAAGTTGATGCGCGGGCTGTATGGCAACCTGCTGACCATCGCTGGATCAGGGGTACGTCCTCTGAGCATGGTCTGGCAGCTGTTTGGCCAGAATCCCAAGTATGACCTCCCGACGACTAACGCGGACTGGGTATGGTATGATACTGTTGTCGACTTATACCCCTACACTGGCTGGCAACGAGAGTGGTTCTACGCAAGCTTGGAGAGGTTCCTTGACAAGGCCATTTTGCGGGTGGTGACCAAGGGAGAGGACGTCAAAGAGATCAAGGGAAACCGCGTGACCGAGATGATCAAATACTGCCGACTCCGGAACATTGAGCTCGAGCACTGCCGCAGCATCATTACCGTCTTCATGCGAATGCTCACAGAGGAGAACGTGGACCTGGCGGCTGTTGCTTCTCGTCTCTTGGCTAACCTCCCACACTCGCTGGAGAGGCAGAGCAAGAGTTACACTAAGATGATCAAGTACCTCAAGCATCTCTCTGAGGGAGGTGAGAGGATTGCAAACGACGACCTGGCTGCTGCCAACATCTACAATAAGCGCTCGGCTGTCTTTGGCGAGCTAAAGGGCCGCGTAGCAACGGCGTGCAGAACTAATGACTGGGCCGAGTTGAAGGAAGCCTGCCAGCTCTTGGTTGAAAAGCACGGTGAGATAGCTGCCCTGTGGCAAGTCAAGCCTCAGTTGCTGCTGGTACAGAACATCAAGCCGTATAAAGAGCTGCTGGAAGCCGAGTTTGGAGAAGACATTACTCAAGGAGAGGAGGCTTCCAACTTCGAGTTGACAAGAAAGGTGCTGAGTGACGCCGAGATTAATCGCGTGCCCTGGCAGGTCGGGAAAGAAGGCCAGTTTGGCGATAAGATTGAGCCTCTCGACGAGGCCTTTGTCCACGAAATGTTGACAGGAATGAGGCTGAACGTGCTTGAAGCCGTAGAAACGGCCGAGGAAACCATACTCGCGGTGACGACAACAGATCTGTCTTTTCAGAGTACGGAGGAGCAGTTCTCTAATTACAAGTCATCGCTGCAGGCCAGCTTCATCAACACAATGCAGAAGGACTTGTCGGCTGAAGATGTCTGCAATATTCTCAGGATCCCTGTTCGGACTATGAAGATATTCATCAAGGCCCTCAATCCTGAATTTGTATGGGAGGATTTGCCGCAGAACTTCAAAGTCGTCATCTTGAGTTTAGTGAAGAACCGATCTTCCAGAGATGGGAGTGAACCGGCCAAGGGACTGTTAAACATGGTGCGCGAAAGGAAGCAATTGGAGATTGAAGGTTGATATAATTCTCATGTAGCGCGGGTGAATATTGGTTTATTGATTTGATTCAAACTCTTCATTCCCTTTCTTGATGAACTCAAAGACACAAAGAACCGATGAGTATCAAGGAGCACACAATCCAGCCATAATACAATTTTCGTCAGATACCAAATTGCTAAACTATTGACCCTGAGAGATCTGGCTTGGCTTAAACATATAGCTCATGGCTTCTTGTATCTATCGTCAGCTCCGGCCTCTCAAAAGCTCCCCTCTGTAGCAAGATTATGACATCAATGTGGCCATCCTCGTCTATAAGTTGGGGAAAATAATGAAGAAGATCATCCAACAACGGCTTCCCGCAGCGACTGCATTTCCCTGTCTCCAGAAGCCGGAAGTACCAGCCACCAGAGGAATACATGGCGTCTCCATACTCATGCTCCGCAGGGCAGTTTCCTGTAGTGTGAGCGTAATCGCCGATCAAACGGTGCAGGATAGCACAATATATTGAAAGAATGGTCTCGGGGGGTATGAAGAAGGGGTGGTTTGCCTCTGGTCGTCTCGCGCGAGCGCCCAGGTCAGGCCTCCACCACATGGCCCAATCGACCTGCTTGAACCTGCTCTTGTCCAGCTTTTGCTGCCCAGCAGAGAAGCTCAATCGATGCCCAAATATGCAGCGCTCAATTTCAGCAAGCCAAGCCGAAACAAACGTGTACTGTTTGCTGGGGTCGGTGACTTTCTGCAGCATCAAAGATTCAGGCGCCTGAGTGGACCTGTCGTTGCCGAGAACGAAGGCAAAGCAATTTCTCCCTGTTTTCATGTCTGTAAAAACGTTGCTGCTTAGCGCTCCATGATTCAGCGTGTGAAATACTGGCCTACTGCTGTGTGATGTTGTATTGGCCGGCAGTATCTGATTTGTCTTGATGATGGCCCTGGAGAAAGCTATTTTGCGACTCAGGGAGAATGCTTTCAAGTATTCCAGCAACGGGTTATACTCGAGAGTATTTTGACGACTCTCTTCAGTCAATGTGGTCTGCCCAAAAGACTTTCTTAAAGAACTGGTCAATCGGCTCAAGCTACTTTGTTTGGGCTGCATCATAGCCTCGTAGGTGTCCCAATCAACCCACGCATCTGCCGGTGCTGACGGGTCTGGAAGTCCACCTGGCAGAGGAAAAGCTGGCAGAGTCTTCGGCATACCGTCGGGCAGAGAGTACGGGATGAGGCCGGGTAGGTCCCCCTCGCTGAGCTCTGGTATTGTGACCATCGGTGCCAGCATGGTCAGTCCTGGGCCCGACCATTCAGCCCACAAAAATGAGGAGTTACCTGTGGCTAGTTCCAGGATGAAAATCTGGATTTCAACTGGGAGACGGGGGAAAGGATCGAAAGTCTGGCCATAGCCAGCATGCGAGGTCTCCGGCATTGTCTACGCAGTCCAAGTGTGTTGGATGGTTGGTGACAGTTTGCCGTAGTCCTGGACTTGATGGCTCACGCACTGAAATGCGGAGAGCCACCTATTGTGGCTCTGCCTGAATGATGGGTCCATGTAAGCAGGAGAACTTGCGGGCAGCCAATAGTAACGCTAAGAAATATGGCCTTGAAGAGGTGCGAAGTCAGACTTGTGAACTGTGGCGGGTCGAATGCTTTGACCCCCAAGCCCTCCTCAAGTAATGCAAGCCTGCTGAATTGGTCTGAGCCAAAAAGTGAAGGAGAATATGTACCAGCAGTATCTGAAAATGAATAGCTATTCTCTGTCTGGTTGCATAAAGTACCTCCGCAGTGTCACAATTTCCCCACTCACACCGTTGCAATTCTGGCAAGATATAAGGCCATCTCGGAAACCTAGGGCAAGGATTTCTCTTTGCCTACTGGCTTAATCGTCACAGCAATCCTGTTTGTGCGAGGTGATGTATGTTGGCAATGTGGTATTATATGTCGGACACCACTCACCAGCGTAACCCACCAGCATAATTGTAACACACCCAGCTGTTGGATGAAACTCTAAAGAAATACGCCTGAATATATATCTCATCACTGCATGTTGTCATTCCCCCGCACCAAGCATCTATTTCTCACCCTTTCAGCTGTTCAAGATTCCCATTCAGTTTGCCAAACCATTGTGCGCCTATTCGCCATGGCGCCGCTTACCGATACCCCGAATGAGATCATCTATCACATTTGTGGCTTCGTCCCCAAGATTTCCGATCTGAAGAATCCCTGTCTTACGAGCAAGTCTCTTCGTAGCTCTGCTGAGCCCTTTCTCTATTCTTCCGTCATTTTGGAGTACAGCTTCCTGTGCATCCCCCGAATTGTGCCCCTTCTTCGCACTCTTCTCCGGAGGCCAGAACTTTTTCAGCATCTAGATACTGTCTCGATGAATGGGTGGGGCTTTGGTGGCCAGGACGATTCACGTGCGATAGATCTCAAAAGCCTTGATACAGCATTCAAGGAGCAGTGTCTGGCTGCCATCGAGAAGACCAACGTGCCGTTCACTGAGCTCTGGATCAAAAAGTTCAACTCAGGCGAAACATGTCTGGAGGCACTTTCTGCACTCTTACTTGCCAACCTTTCTTCTGGCACGAAGCGCCTCGCGCTGATGAGGAACTTCATCAACGGTCGTGAACTCATCGGCAAGGTCATGCAGGCTAAAGCTTATGGTGAACTACCTGCACTGGACCGGCTCAAAGAGATCAAGTACTTCAAAGGATATGATTATCAAATAACGACGAGAAATGATACATTCGAAGATGTCATCTCCTTGTTCTATCTACCGGCAGTCACAGATATTGTGGCATGGGTTCCAAACTCTCCAGACTTCCGGTGGCCGGCTGGGGCGCCTAACTTGGATCACCTCACTTCGCTGGATATCGCACGACTCTCTGACCAGCACATGGGCAAGATTCTCAGCCTCACGCGGAACCTCAAGTCACTCCTCTGGACTTGGGAATACGATGACTCGGAGGACCCTTGGCTGCCACCAACATTGGATTTTGACAAGATTGTTGCAATTCTCTCAAAAGTCAGACATACGCTGGACACATTGCTCTTCCGGTTGAACATCAAAGGGGGCCACCATTCTTACCTATATCAACCTATATTTTTTCCAAACCTGACTATTTTGGGGTCTTTCCGCGGTCTTGCTGGGTTCGACCGCCTGACGGACCTCGAAGTGCCACTGATTTCGCTCGCCGGTTTTGGAGACAGTCCCCAGCCACTCGAGGAGAGTATCCCTACCAACATCAAGACGCTTGCTCTCTCGAAAGACATGCTTCTTGACAGGGCGGTCAAATGGCAGGAAGGCTTCGGGGCTCATGTTTTCGATATAATGAAAGACCTGATTCAGCTGCTGGCTAAGAACGTTCCAACACGACTGCCGCATCTGCATCGGCTTGTCTTGCTTGAAGATGCTGAAGGTACTAAATACGGGTGCATATTTAAGAAATATGAAGCCTGTGCGACAGCAGAGTCGTGGGCGGATGGTTACGAGATGTTGTCCTTGCCTCGCGAGCTACCATTAGCTCGATACAGCTTTGGTTGGCGTACAATTCCTGATATGCAGTATGTCAGAACAGACTGTCCCCTTTGGGCTAGGGATCTCAAGGATACGATCAGGTATGGTCAATATTCGAGACTGAATAGGCGTGCTCGTCGAATTTAATGTTCGCGCCAGTTATCCAATGTATTGAATATCCTCATGTTGTCATCCCGTCTAATAGCTTTTGGGCTCATCAGCATCAAGGCCCCGTTGAACTTATTATGCGACATCGCAGTAGAGATAAAACCACAATTCTAATCAAACATACTGAGACTGTATTTTTCATCCGACCCCTCATTCTTGGCCCTCTTCTTCCCTTCACCTTTCTTTGCACGTTGTATTTCCTTGTCTTTGTCTTCTTCCCCTTCCTCTTCCAGTATCGTGGCCGCCATGTGTTTCGGTCTCGCCTGTGCCCTTTCTCGCCTTAATTTCCGTCTCTCGGCCTCGATTACTTTTTCCTAAGCTGCGTCTTTTAGTCCCATAGGCCCAGGTATATCCAAGAGGTCAATTTGATAGTTATTAAAAGCAATATATAGAAAAATAGAAGCTTAGACGCGAAGACGTCAACCGTGGTCGGATGTGTCGGAAACGAGCTAGTGTAATCAATTCAGGCCGTGGAGTCACCGTGGTGCTGATCCGCGGAATTGCCACGGCCTCACATCATGTATATCAAGAGCAACATGGCTCAAGAGATAGCATTTTTCTTTCATAAAGGCTTAATTAAAATATCATCGTAAACTGCCAAGTTCAAGCACCCAAAAAACATCTCTGCTCACATTACTTGTTCCAGCGCTATGTCCTTCAATACCAGCCCGACTCCGGACAAGGCCGGGCGGTGGATTGTATCAGAGTTTGGTGGTCCGTCTGTCATGAAATGGGAGACATGGGAGCTTCCGACTGAAATCTCTCCCGATGATGTCCTAGTGCGCATCATTGCGGCTGGCATCGCCGGCACCGACAATATTCAACGGGCAGGGGGCTACCCAGACCCTCGCACCGCTAATCCTGGCTTCACTCCAGGCTACGAGCTTGTCGGAGAAGTCGTGATCATTGGTTCTTCAGCAGCGTCCAAAAGTACCCTGGCCGTTGGCGATCGCGTTGCCTCCATATGTGTCGTGGGAGCTCATGCCACACATGCTGTCCTGCCTGTTACAGAACTCATCCCCATAGAGGCAACCGATGACCCGGTCTTAGTCTGTGCACTTCCGCTAAACTACATGACGGCTTGGGGGATGCTAAAGCGCAGCGGCGTTGACCTCACACCTGGATCGAGCGTTCTGATCGGTTCGGTGAGTGGAGGGATCGGTACTGCTGTTGCACAACTCGCACAAGCCTTCAATCTGAACCTCAAGTTGATTGGAACATGCTCTGCTTCTAAGTTCGACTACGTTAAATCTCTGGGTGTTACTCCTGTTGATCGTCGAGCTCCTGATCTTGTCGCCCAAGTCAGGGCGTTGACCGACGGGAAAGGAGTCGATGTTGCGTACGACGCCGTGGGCAGCGAGCAAAGCCTTCTTCAGAGCTATCAGGCGACTAAGGAAGAGACCGGGAAGGTGATTGTTATCGGAGTCATGGACGAAATCAAGGCTAACGGGACGGGGATGGCGAGCAGCCCTTCGGCTCTTCATGCCCTGCTTGGCGCGCGGATGCAGCCGAGGACAAGCTTTTTCAGCGTCATGACGGACCATTACCTGAAATCGAAGGAATTGTTTTTGGAAGATTTCAACGCAATTCTGCGAAAGGTCAGGACAAAGGAATTGATCCCGAAGGTCTTTAAGGTTGTTCGTTTAGCCGATGAGGTTCAAGTTCAGGAAGAACTCATTTCGGGTATAAATGTGATGGGAAAGATGGTGTTTGCGGTAGATGAGAAGCTTGCAAAACAGCACGGCTTGTGAACAGAGAACTATGAGATTTGTTAAGATGGAGATTAGCAGACTTGTTTCGGTTGTCTAGAAGAGGAGAATCGTATATCTTCTACCTCAATCTACCCTTTCGGCACAATCCGTCGCTTTTCGACTCAGAAACATCCTTCTCAAAGCTACATTCAGCGATGGTCCCGCGTTTTACAGAAATGACGGGCTCAATTAACAAAATCTAGCTTCCAAATAGAGGTAGATTCACCAGGGTTGGGATAAGTATCAAAGATTCCCTCAAGGAAGTAACATCGCCCCGCACCGCAGGTGTCTCTCAAAGAGGAATTCTCCGTGCCGGGGTAGGATGGATAGCCTAGATAGCCTAGAAAGTGGAAATATCTGAAAGCGGCGAAAGAAACGGATCCAGAGACCCCAGTCGAAGAAGGCATAGTTTAAATGGGATACCAGTATAAAGGCGAAAGAAAAGTAAAAGCTAAGGTGTAACGACCCTCCCTCAAAACTGATCGTGTTCTTGACTATTTGCGAAGTCTAATCTATGCCGTAAGAAAAACGATGCAAGTGTGAAGTGGTTATCTTCCCATTGGTATTTGCGTGCTTTTTCTCGAATTCAATACGACCTTGAACAAGGGGGGCGATAAATGAGGGCATACGAGTGTCGACATCATTAGGTGCGATGATGTCAATTCTGGGTCTGCTGTTCATCATCCAGTCAGGGAAAGGAAGAGCCTACATTTATGCATTTCAGCGTAGCATTGAGGGTCAAGCTGAGCCATAACGCATGCAGAACTGCGCTGATCGGTGTCGACTTGCTTGTTTTTCCATTCTAGGGTCCAATTTTCCAGGGTAAATGGCTGATAAGACATCCTCGGGTATTTATTTCAAGCCCGTTGTTCAAGATGGACTATGAGGTCCTACTGGATGGAAACTCTGTATCCTCGTATAGTCGTACACGGACAGTATGATGTATGCTCAAACAGCGCTTCTCTTGACAGCTCTAGCAGCTGCTGCGACATGCGACACCCCATCCTATCGCAGTGCCCTCCTCGAGCTTCATAAGAATGTTGTCGAAATCCCCTCAAATTCTGGCCTCGAAGCTGAGCTGGGAATTTGGCTCCATGAATACTTCCAGAACAACAGCTGGTCAGTGACTACTCAGGCGGTCCCGCCTGTTGCGAATACTCCGGAGGGAGATAGTCGCATCAACGTCCTAGCCTCTCCTGCGGGAAATATCACTCAATTTTCCCCAAAGGTTATTCTTACAACTCATTTTGATACCGTACCCCCGCACATTGGGTACGGCATTGAAGAGGGTCCCATCACAACGGATACGATCATCAGCGGTCGTGGAAGTGTGGATGCCAAAGGTAGCCTTGCGGCAATCGTTATCGCTGTTGATGAGCTCGTTAAAGCGGGCAAGGTGAGCCCAGCTGATGTTGCTGTTGGTCTCGTTGTCGGGGAAGAGGCCTACGGTGACGGGATCAAGGCTCTAAGCGACTACTTCATCGAGAACCCTACTGATCTGAGCGCCGTGATTTTTGGGGAGCCGACTGAGGCCAAACTCGCCTGCGGCCACAAAGGCGTCCTAGGTTGCACTCTGAACGCAAAGGGAGTCGCTGGACACAGCGGATATCCTGAAGTGGGCAAATCTGCCACACAGTTTCTGATACATGCATTGGATGAGATTTTGCTTGCAGACTTGGGAACCAGCGAGCAGTTTGGCAATACGACGGTGAATGTTGGCAAACTGTTGGGTGGAGAAGTGAACAACGTAATTGCTGCGAGTGCGTCGGCTGGCATGGCTATCCGCGTCGCCCTCGGCCCAGAAGATGGAGGCCAGAAGATTGTGAAGGGGCGCTTGGATAGCATTATCCAAGAAATCGACTCGACTGGTCTCAGCATTGATTGTTCAGAAGGTTATGGGCTTGTAGAGCTGGACTGTGATGTTGATGGTAACTCTCTCCGATCCCTTTTCCCTTCTTAAGAAATAAGTAATCCTTTGCTAATTCAAGCTGCAATATAGGATTTGAGACAGCAGTGATGAAGTATGGAACCGACATTCCAGGCTTCAAGGCCGAGGGCAACTATAGCAAGATATTGTACGGCCCTGGAACGATCTTCGTGGCTCACACTGACCATGAGAATATTACTGTGGGAGACTTGGAGTTGGCTGTCGAAGACTACCAGAAGCTTGTTCTGAATGCTTTGGAATAGCATAAGCTCGGAATCATTTGGTCATCCCTAAAGTGATCTGCATTTACTAGATATAGGTAGCTCATGATGGCTCTAGCCAAAGCTGGGCATGGATTGCAGCCGATATGAGAAGTTTCACATCACTCTGTCCAACTTCACTGTGAATGAACTGTGCATTACTATGAGTACTTAAATCACACTTGGGATCCTTGAGAATCGAATAGTAAAAGTTGAAGGCAACTCCGCGTAAAGTATGAATGCCGAGAGGATAGTTACTTGTCAAAATAAGCAGGAACAGTAACATTGAAAGTAAAATTATCTGGACGTGGTGGCATAGAGGTCGATTTTTGAGGGCTGGAAGCTCCAGTTAATAGAACTTGATTAATGAAAGAGTGCATGTTCTAGAGACTACATACGGTAAGAGGCTGGTCAGATGCAACCAGTGCTACTACTCAAGTACGCCCTTCGCAAGAAGCCTTGTGTCAATCCCGGCGGATGTTTGGTGGAGCCACTCCGATCGCGGCACGTCACAGGACAGATTTCTCCAAAGTCTGGGTGAAACCTTGATTTCTTGTGCCTCATTCTCATCTCAAGCCATCTCATGCAACTTGGGATTTCTTGTAGACCCAGCTTCCAAAGTCGTGACTGTTGCGGCTCTATCTCCGCGATAGAATGGCCCAAGAACGCAATGACACCCAGCGCCGAGCTCCATTTGAGCCCTCGGATTTTGTTGAGGGCGACAGTACATCTATCCTGTGGTTTCTAGGCTCATTGAGCAAAGCTAACAATAATATAATAGTTATGGCATTCTCGGACTTGGACCTACGTCGACTTGGATTGGCAACAGAGAATATTCACGGACCAAACACGCATCACGACCGGGAGCAAAGTAGACTCTTGTCATCCCAACCATCCCCCATCGATCCACAGCTGGTTGGGTTCTCGAGCTCAGGAGTTAACGATGACGAAATTCTTCGATCTTTAGGATCAGCGTACCCCGAGATTCCCAGCGCCAGCTCGTCCACATCCTTTCCCGGCCCGGTTCTACAGGGCGTACCTGAACGGGGACACATGAACATGCAAACACCAAATACGTCACTAGAATCCCCGCCTTTTCTAATGCCTTCGTATCAAGACCATCTCCCACCAGCCCTGGAGACTCAACACCAAGGACTTCCTCGTCGCAGGAGCCGGTACTTCCGTAATGGGGCTTACCAATCAGGTGTCTCAACAGCAATAGACATACCAAATGCGAGAAGTTCAACAAGTGGGACATCTGATCCGCTACAGCGATGGAGGGACTCTCCCCCAGAAATGGAGGCAGCATCGTTATCCGACATTGCAAATGCCCTAAAGGACATGCCACTGAAGAGTCGTTCTTCCGCTGGGAGCTTGCGTAGCCAAAAGCAAGGCAGTCACCCTGGGTCGATCGTCAGTCACGGCAGTGCGACCAGCCGCTCCACGGGTGGTTCGAACTCGTCTGCGGGCTCGGCGCTGCTGCGAAGCAGTGACCGAGTGAGATCGCGAGTGTCGAAGCGGACGGGGGGCCCAAGAATAGCGGCGAGCCAAGGAAAGAAAACGGATAAGAGGAACTTTCATTGCACTTTTTGCTGCGACTCTTTCAAGAGCAAATATGACTGGTCAAGGCACGAGAAGTCTCTCCATCTGAACCTTGATAGCTGGAAATGCTTTCCTTCTCTAGGGACTACAGTCTCACCGGTGACAAGAGAGGTCAAGTGCTCATACTGTGGTGTTCCTAACCCCACTGACGCACATCTGGACTCGAATCACTACCATGGTAGCTGCCATGTTGACAGAGAGCCGCCCAGATTCATCCGTAAAGACCACCTTGTTCAGCATCTCAGGCATGTTCACCAGGTGAAGAACCCCGATAATATTGAATCATGCAAGGAAGAAGGCCCTAAAGTGGCATCTAGGTGCGGATTCTGCAACATTAGGATGGAAACATGGGAAGCTCGTGTTGAACATCTCGCCAGACACTTTAAATCTGGCGCAACCATGGACCAATGGAAAGGAGAGCATGACTTTGACCCTTCCATTGCGGCTCAAGTACGCCATGCGATTGCCCCCTATTTAATTGGCTCGGAGTCAAGGGCGCCTCTCCCGTTCTCGGCCACAAGTCACAAGGATCACCTGTCTCAAATTCGAGGTGCAAGTGAATATTGCCTTGACAAGTGGCGTCAGATCGAAGTGTCAAGCCAGGAGTCTCCGGAATGTGCAACAGCACCCCCTGAACCTGAGAATCTAATGCAGAACCATACCGATTCGATGATGTTCCCTGACATCCTTGCAGTGCACCTCGCTCGTTTCGCTCGAAAGCAAATAAGGCTTGGGATAATGCCTACTGACAGGATGTTCCAGAATGAGGCCAGACAAGTGGTCTTTGACTCTGTGGACCCGTGGGACCAAACCATTGCGGATAATGATGTCTGGCTCGATGCCTTTCGCAACCAGCATTTGGGAGGCTCACCTGACGGCCGAGGCGAAGAGTGAACTTGAATGAGGTGGCATATTAGCTCCTACGAGTAGTTTGCACAGACCTAGGTCCGTATGGTGGCTTGGGCTCTTTTGAAACCTCACATGTGGCTTTCCTTTGAAATTTACCGAGTGTATTTAAGCCAAGAGATTTATTGAGTGTATTTGAGTCATGATTTGGAATATAAATAATACTTACAGACGAAAATTCTCTCGTCTTCTGGAAGCATGGAGGATGCTTCGTCGCAAGAGGTTGTTCTTCACCCCCCTGGCTCGTAGTAGAATGAATGACAGAGAAGCATAACAAGTTTACTCAAAGAACTTTTGATCTTGAATCTGAAGTGAAGCCAGCATATCCGTCTCTCCAAGACTAACACCAATCCGGTCTGCCTCCGGACACGGCGCACTTTGCTCCTTAAGCTACGCCCTACGCCCTACGCCCTACGGCCACGCCCTATGCCCTCCGATCTGCGATTGGATATCTGCGCTTCTTATTGGACATCAGGCGTAAACCCGCTAATCGGCCTTGGACCGCCAATAGAAGCGTCTAAGCAGGGCAGCGCTCTGCGGCGCCCTAGAGCATAGCCTGATTCCACTTGAGCCGCAATTTCAGGTTGCAGTGCTGTCATAAAATTATACAAAATATCGGCGTCGAGGAAATAAAGTTTTATACCTGGTGGGATTTGTACAGATCACGCCCTGGTGGCGGCAAACGGGGGCTAAGGGGAAGCGGCTTCGATGACTTACATGAGCAGCCAAGTGCTTGCGCCTTGAACATTTTTTAAACGTCGGTGAAACTAAGAAGCATAAATTTTTGGCCATTAAATTTGTCTTTTATTTCTAATGGTTCCAATATTACGATTATCGTGTCTCCCTTGGGGTTGTACCTGGCGTTTATGTGCGGTACCCCTGAAGCCAATGTCAAGGAAAATGATGACTACTATGCAGCCGAGGTCGCCTCGTGTTCATGTTCTAGGACTTGGAAGCATTGGATCATTTGTAGCTCATTCACTTGCCGAAGTCCCATATCCCCTTACTCCATCAGTCACTTTGCTTCTCCATCGGTCGTCTCTCGTGGACCAATATTTCAAGAATGGCAGCAGAATCACACTGGAGACGAGGGATGGAGAAATGGTTGAACATTCTAATTTCAATCTAGAGTTTCTCCAAGACAGCAAATGGCACGGTGTATCTTCAACATCAGAGCCGGAAGGTATGGCATCGACCGTTCGTGAGGAGATCATTGATCACCTTGTTGTCTCAGTCAAGGGGGCGCAAACAGTTGCTGCCATACAACCGTTGAAGCATCGACTAGATGCTTCCTCTTACATTCTATTTCTGCAAAACGGCTCTGGTATGATGGAAGAAGTCAGCGAAAAGATTTTCCCAGATCCTCAGACCCGCCCGAGTTACATAACGGGAGTCATCTCGCATGGCGTCACCCAAAACTCCCCGTTTAACATCACACATACGGGGTTCGCGGCAACATCTTTAGGGCGTGTGCCTAGATCAGAAACTGCACCAAGCAACGGTGAGAAGGGGGCCGCATCGTCGTATCTTTTGGAAGCCCTCCCTCTTGTTCCGAGATTTAACGCTACTGGATATTCCTTCCTGGATGTATTTCAGATGCAGTTAGAGAAGCTGAGCGTCAATGCATTCTGCAACCCCCTGTGCGCGCTCAACAACGCCAAGAATAAGTTCTTATTCACCATTCCGGAAATACGAAAAGCCCTGCTCACCGAAATTTCAACCGTCATACAAGCACTTCCGGAACTTCAAGGCCTGGAGGGTGTCACCAGTCGATTTGCGGTGGAGAAATTGGAGTCAACAGTGAATGCGATCCTGACAAAAACGGCGGAAACAACCTGTTCCATGGTTGTTGATCTACGGCAAGGGCGAAAGACTGAGATTAAGTTTATTAACGGGTACTGGTGTAGGAGAGGAAGAGAGGTCGGGATACCGACTCCCATAAATGATAACCTTGTCCGACAGGTCTTGGAGCGGCAAGGAGATTCTGAGCTGGCAAAGGAATATCTGTAAATTTTGAGGGTGATGAAATAGATTTATAAACAAAATCAGATCTTTGAAATCTATCAGACGTAAGGTACGTTACATGTTTAGACCATCGATCAACTTGGAGCCACTGACTTGAGGTTCACTCTCAAAAGCTTCAGAGGGTTGCGTGATTTGCTCTGCTCCAGCGACTGGGTGTCCCCGCCCGAGGACATCTCACCTCAAGCTTCTTATTTGCAATACCGGGCGCGGATATCTGGCGCGAGAGCTCATTATGCTATGTCTCATGTTGCCTCCTAGAAAGGTATTGTTCTCGTCTAGTGGAGATGTCAACATTCTGAAGCGGTCTATATTCTACCCTCTACATGATGAAGACAGTGGTAGGACCGGCCTAGGTAATAGTCTATGAGGTCCGTATAATCATAGAACCTGGTTGTATACATTGCATTGTCTAAAGCGGGCAGGGAAGCTCGAAACGCACCTGTTTCCGCTCACTTGTCGACCTTTTCTGTCTATAAAGAGCCAATATGAAACCTGGGGTATCTCGTAAAATCAGCCCTTTTCATGATGCCCCGTGGTTATCTAGTCGATCGCGCCCTTTCACATAAGCTACCATTTAGAAGGGCTCAAGTCGGCTGTAGGGCGTGAAGGGCGCAACATAGGGCGTCAGAGTAGGGCGTGGGCATCGGAACAGAGATGGAGCCCTTGGAGATAGAGCGCTTACGACGATGTGATGCGCTAGGCATGGTTTTTGACTAATGATCTTTGAATCATAGACGAGGAAAACCTTGGCAGATTCCCAATCACTTGTTCTTAGCAAGCAGTGATGAGCCCCCAAGTGTGGGCACCTTTAGCACCAAATATCTCCGTGGTGGCAACTTAACGTTCCTTCGAACGCATCCTCGTCGTTGCAGGAAACTAAAGAAATTGTTGGATTGATCTAAAATCAGGAGCTCCTGGAAAATAGGATCGAGACGGTTCACCTCACCAGCCATAAAGTCCATCACCCATGAAGACGGTCGAGGTGGCTTATGCCAGCTGATGACTTTTTGGCGATGACTCATCGGATTGCTCACCGGGACATCTGTGTGTCGGCAGATGAGCCCACAGTTTACCTGCCATCAACAACACCACTCGGCCAATCTTCGCAACACAATGGAACGTCTTCAAGGCTTGAAAGATGTGTGCCTATCAGGTGGTGCCGACGGCGCTGACATAGAATGGGGATTATGTGCCGCCTCGACAGGACACACGGTCATTCATTGGAGTTTCGCCGGACATCCAAGCCAGGCCCCTGAGGACCAAATCGTTCGACTTGACGATGAGCAACTAAAGATCGCAAACGATGCCGTCAGCAACGCAGCTGCCGCTCTTGGCAAAGTCCCCCCGCGGCACCGCAAAGTGTCGTGTTTCTTACAACGCAATTATTATCAGGTCGCATGGAGCGAGGCCTGCTACGCGGTTACTGTCATTAGAGAAGACGCACCGCCGGGTGGAACAGCGTGGGCGACAACAATGTTTGCTCAATTGCACCCCGAGAATCGGAATCTGTACCTGTTCGACCAGCTGAAGGACGGTTGGTTTCAGTTCAATGGCCAAAGTTGGGATAGAATTGAGAGCCCGCCTCGCCCAAAGGGCATCTGGGCTGGAATAGGCTCGCGTGATCTCCAACCAAACGGTAGAGCTGCGATTAGGAAGTTGATGGGTTGTCCGACAGATGAGACCTGAAGTTGCTTGGTTTTACTTGTTGGAGACAATCTAGGCCGCGACATCTCTGGGTTTAACGTAGTCTTGGGGAGTTTCATATGAGATAACTCTAGCTAGTATAAAATTAAAATTTTCCATTTCATATGAATTGCTAGCCCAACTTATGCAAGGTCTTGGCACAATGTCAGCACTTTGGTCCCAATACTAGCATCACCACCCTTTGGTTCCAGCTCATCGCTTTTACGGAGCGTCAAATAGCGAGCCGGAATATCCAAGCGAGGTCTCAAGTCATTTGAATACATGGCCAAAGTTGTTGCATTTTCAAGGGTGATAGAGCACTGCTGGCTCATTATTCCATTATTATCAAGCCGAGAGCAATGAAACTGATGGCTGTGCGTCATGTTGGCAGGGGACTCGACACAGTCAGCACAATATTTTATCACCTGCACTGTCTGCCTTTGGTTCATTGTTCTTTTTTTCCTGCTTCCATCACTTTTACAACCTCATCCACAACACAGACTCATCCTTTACCAACTGGAAGATCTATAGAACTTCTTTTGAATAAGGCCAGTCGCGCTCGCCATGGAAGGACTGGCCCCTGAGCTCATTCACAACACCTACCAGTTCCTGAAGCCTTCCTGGCACTATAATCTCGCGAGGACGTGCAGGTCCATTTATTCCGCCTCGGCGCACATACTACGTCTCCACGGTGCAGCATACAAGAACGGCCGCATTGCTTCAGACCGCGAGCCGTCGGACATCCTTAAGCTCTTGAATAGTGTGTCCCACCCTACTGGCGTGGAGGCTATCGAGGCCTGGCATGTGCGCGAATATGAGGTCTGGGGGAGCAGGGTAATCTGGGATGAATGGCAACAGTGGCGTGTTGATCCAGACGGCTCCATCTCAATGGAGACTGGTGGTAACCCGGCGATTGAAGCTGATCATATTAAATCCTTGGCCAATACTTTTCTGCGAGAGTTTACATTCACGACGCAAAGGGACCATGACATGGCTCGGGACTCGATCGAAACTGGCGGTGACGGATTTGTGAAGATGCTCATCATATCCAGCTTACCCCGCTTGACAGCGCTTCGATTCGTCGAAAACGAACAGGACCTACATACGAGTCTTGAGTGGATGCGGAAGGCCGCTTCTCGCAGCCTCGCAGCCTCGATCCCATGGCCGATTGGATTCATCTCCCTTCGGAGTGTGGCAGTCGGCGTGGTTACCCGAAATCCCAAAGACTTCAACGGAGCAGGTGCGCGTGCACATCATCTAGCCATGTTACTTCGCCTGCCGAATATCGAAGAGGTCTATTTCCGGAATCTGGATATGCGTTCTGATGGTGACATTGAAGACGTCGATGATGCACAGGAGCGCTTTCAATTACCAGCTGCCTGTTCTTCCGTTAAAAGGATCATCCTCGATAGAATTAGAGACGACTCATGGGCTTTCAGGGAAGCGCTACTCATGGCCCCGAGCGCTCTTGAGGCTTTGGTAATCCGTGGACATCCAGAGACTGCGGACGAGCCAATGGATGGCGACATGATTCCCGTACATTTAGGTGACTCCTCATCTTGTCATTCTCTTCGCAGATTCCCCATCTACAGGCCAGATTACATAAACGGTCGCGACAGCAGGTCGTATGAGCCTGGACTCTTACAGGGGCTAGACAACCTCGGCCTAGTAAGTTTATGCATTCAGGACATTATTAATGAGGCCCTTGGAGAGGCCAGGAATAAGCAATCGGATGAGGAGGGAATCAATGTGTCTGAAGATATAGAGGAGATGGAAAATGATGGTATTTCACTTCCGCACTGCACCAACGATGATTTCATCAATCATGACGAGCTAGTTGACGCTTTCGTTCGGCTGCTCCCAGCTTCTCTAGAAGTCCTCGTGCTCTGGGGACAAGAAACATACGAAGATGGTGATCAATGGTTTAGAAGAGGTGAGTATGAGGAATACGAGACGATCGACGACGCCATTGTTGCAATGATGAGATCCGGCCGTTTCGAAAAGCTGAAAGCCGTCTATCTCAACCCGATCGAGGAAGACGGATCTACGCCACGAGAAGAAGTGTTGTTTCAGAAGGCAATGGAGGAGGGGCGAAACCGGGGGGTCCAGATCCAGACTGTCGCCAACCGCCCAAAGCAGGACCATATGCTTGAGTTTGTGGCTATTCCTGATAAGCATGACATGAGAACGGGATTACTGGGAGAAAGGGACCCATCCTGGATTGTACATCCTTTCACGGGTGAATGGACATCCCCAGGATGCCGTGGTTGCGGTGACTGTCAGATTTGTTTGACGCACTATACACGGCCGGCATGGGAAAGCTTTCATAATCGGCGTGGCTGACTAGAACTAGTGGCTTGATGATAGCCCTTTCCCAATTTCTGCTTTCCGATCTATGTTGATTAGATGGGACATACTAAAGTAATAGAAACCAGTCATTCACGCTGGGTAGAGGATGCTCTGAGGGTAGCAAAATCTAGGTAGTTTTTAGTTGCGATACTCTCCTCCGCAATCTCCCATTACCTCAAACATCTCCATCCTCTTGCTCTGTGATAATAATTTCTCGATCTTATCTTGGTCTTCTTGATCAAGAGACCACCCGAAGCTTGCCAGATTAGAATCAGTATGCTCGCTGATGCCCATGCGCGCACCGACAATAACAGCCCCAACATATGGAAAGTCCAAGACCCATCGTGTTGCCACATTCGAAATCTCGACATTGTGCTTAACTGCGATACTCTTAAGAGTTCTCAACAGGTTCTGAAAGAGGTCCCAGCCGCCCCAGGTTTGGATCGCGCCGTAATACTAGGCGTGAGACTGTCAGAAGTGTGCAGCATTGAGAAATGGTTACAAAGAAGACTATACCTTTCGTTGACTAGGAGTAACGAGAGGGTCGTAAAGGTCGGGTTCTGGCTTGTCTAACCACTTTTCTGCGAGAAAGCCTCCACACTAAGCTTGCATCAGCAATAAGCACGGATAATCAAGAGGATGATGCCTTACTAGTGTGCCATAGGTCAGTAGTTTTATATTATGCTTCAAGCACACCGTTCCCATTTTCACCGTTGGTCGAGAATCAATAAGTGAGAACTGGAATCCGCAGTGTCAGTGCATTACTCGAAAAGTCCTGACCGGAGGGCCTTGAGAATCCTGGCATTACCTGAACCTGGTTAGCTACCACCCCAATACCGTGATTTACAACAGCCTGGAGATGCTTTGTATCGAAGTTGCAAAGACCAATCATCCTGACGCGGCCGTCCTCTGCCAGGAAACGCAAGGCATCGAGATATTGTGGGTTTTGGTACTTAGCTATCGTCAGTGTATCTACCGGATAGTGCGGTCATCAATATCTTACATATTGCCAGTGGAACTGGAGAAGGTCTACCGAGTCCTGTTGTAGTCTCTTGCACCTTTCCGCAACCGCAGCTTCAATGTCCTCGCGAGTCACAGATGTCATGGCGTGGAAGACGCAATACTTGGTGGCCGTGAAAATAGCATCTTTATGGGGCCAGGCGGACCAGAAATGACCCTTATATAAACAGTCAGTAGAGCATTAGGGAGAAATGGAGCTTACTCAAACTAACGAATATGACTTCAGCGTCACCATAATGGTCAGCCATATCAAAGGCAGTAAAACCACTCTGCACGTGCCTGGATATCTGGTCCACAATCTTTGATGTCGGAGCAGTTCCCCAGGCAGGACTTGACATTTGCCAGAGGCCTGAAAAGATTCTCGGAATCGTCCGACGGCCTAGAAGAAAAGTCTCTTTGGCTCTAGGGGGTGCTTGAACTGGGCCCATGCTGTTTAGGGGTATCTCCTGAGTTTCCTCGCCTGGTAATTCAGGACCACCTAGCAGCCCTGCTGTTGCACGCGCGCCTCGGAGAAAAGGATGGCTTGTTCCCCTTCTCTTCGCAGCAATGGCGCATTCTGCTAGGCCTCGTTCAAAGCGTTGTAGGAAGATTCTTTCATCATCGGCCAAGGCCCGAGTGCCTGTTGCAACACACAAGCTTTTCTGTACAGCCGTCATTGCCTGGACGATATCATGGTCAACTAATGCGTAAAAGTCTAGAATCTCATCTCCATCGACATCCAGTGGCTGCCGCTGTCCTTCTGTTGCGTGAGAAATAATCTTGCTCAGTAGAGGAAGACTTTGGAAGCAAAGCCCCGACCCTAGCATGCAGCGAACAAGTCCCTGGACGGCCCGAAGACTGTTGAGATCGGTCAGTGGTTGATCTAGCTTCAATTGTGCGGCCGCGCTTTGCTGGGCAAAGCTTTTGGTTTCTCGTTCCAAGGTGCCGGTGGCTTCGGGGTGGCAGGCGAGAATGCTTCGAAGTACAATACGTAGGCCATCGGGTGGAAGGTTGGCTATTATTGTATCCGTCATCATGTTGACGTGCGATGCAGTAGCCCTGCCATTACGAGAGACGGCCATTTTCAGAAAGTAGAACTAGAAGTGGAAGTATTTCGATACTCGGTATGTTGTTTTCAGTGTATATAAGAGTTGTTCTTAGCTCTTAATTCTGAGCCTGGATAGCGACGGCATGCTTTTGAAGCGGCCGCATGACGTCGCCTAACTCACTATATGTTCTCCCATGGAGATGCCAAGGTCGCCGGCGACCTAATAAGTGAGGACCGGTGTCTCAAGAGCATGCATAAGACGCCGGTCTCCACTCTTGGCAACGCTCTATCTCAAGGATAGTGTGTTCTTGGTGGTCTGGACTATGGCTACTAGACGAATGGGCACTAACAAGCGTGAGGGGACTCTGTCCTTGGCTTGACCTTCCCTCGTCCGGCTAGCAAATGTCCCTGTCCTTATCTCCTTGACCCCGCAACCCCAGATAGCCCCTAGACTTGCTTATCTGACCCTTGGACGAGGTGATTCGACGATGACGACGGCGCCTGAACCACCGAAATGTTTCAATCTGACTGCATCTCAAGTTCTATCCTCTCTACTGTCGACCTCCTGTAATACTCCTATTCAACTACGAACGCGTTCATGATGAATGCCTGTCTCGCGTGCCGTAAGGTCAAGATGAAGTGTCGCGCCGGCCTGGCAGGAGCTGATTCGAGATGTGAGCGGTGTGCCAAAAAGTCGATTGACTGCGTGTTCCAAGAGCATCGGCGCGGTCGTAAGCCAGGCACAAGGTATGCGATGCTCCCGGGCATCAAGACCCCATTATAACTGACGTTTTGCGTCATAGGATAACTCGAGCACGGCACGCATCGCCCACGAGGGCCTCGCAACAAGCATCTCAATATGGGGCTCTGACCGGCTCCTCCTATCATGCGTCTCTTACTCCGGTTAGCCAAGTCCACGAAGATGTCTCCTCTACCGAGCCAAGCGACTTGCAACCGTCGGGGCTGTTGAATCTCGAAGCCGGCAAGTTTTCACTTCAATATATCCTTGGTAGTGGTAATGGAGACAATGCGAATTCTTCGTCCGTCCCGTGCTCCTTGTCCAACGATGACCCCATTCACCTTGGCCTGATTAATCTACAATTGGCTGGATGTCTTTTCCAGAGGTATGATATTTCACTAAATGCGACAACCTGATTACCGTACCGGCTAACGTTAGCAACCAGTTTTATGGATGTGTTAAACCCATACATATGCCAACTTGACCCAGCCTTGCATTCTCTAAGCTATGTCCGAGAGAAGTCACCGTTCTTATTTACCGCAGTTCTCGCAATGGCGGCCAAGGCCTTCGACACGACCATGTACCGGCCTTTATACGACCACGCCAATCAGCTAATGGGCGTCAGCTTTTGCCAGGGCATCAAGTCCACGGAATGCGCCCAAGCGATAATGATCCTGACATACTGGAAAGAACCACAGGATACGCGGGCATGGACGTTGTTGGGCTACGTGATTCGCATGTGCATGGACCTGGGCTGGCACAAGCTGAAGCCCCCGTCGCTGCAATATCAGCAAGCCATGAGCGACGAACAAAGAAGAGAGGCTCGAAATATTGAGCGGACGTGGTATGTACTGTTCGTGTATGACAGAAGGTTTGTGCTCATTCCCGGCCAAAACTTGCATCAACAGACGATGGCTGACTTCTACATAGTATAAGTCTGCAGACAGGGAGGCCTTTTATGATCGAGCAGAATGAGTTCATCGACTCAATCGAAGAGTGGTGCAAAGACCCAATGTCTCTCGCAAACGACTACTTCCTGGGGGCTCTCGTAAAATTACGACTGGAAACCTCGGCAGCATTTAGCCTGCTCGGGTTCCGGCAACGGAGGAGTTATACGGCAAGCCTCCACGAGACAGAGTCATTGCTAGCTTTGATTCATGGGCGCATTCAGGACTGGGAAAACCGCTGGATCGACCTCACAAAGGCGGTGGAGCCAGCCGAGGACATCAGCTGCCACCACTTTCTTATCCTTTTCTATGGCACACATCTCCGGTTGCAGCTATTTTTATTACCGCTTCAGAATGCACTCGCGTCACACGAGGCAGAATCATATTCGGGCCTGGAGGTGCTCTGGATTGCGTATTCCAGTGCCATCGACCTGCTTCAAGTGGTATCTCAACGTTCCTCCCAGCTATATATTGCTCAAGATTCTGTTCACATTATGATTGCCTATGCAGCCGCATTTCTCGTAAAGGTTAGTCTATCGTTCGAGGTGGCAAAAATGCGCTAATTAGGACCCAAAGCTGCTTCTACTGGCGCCAAAAGCGATGGTTGCCAAGATAGAGACCAGTGTTATCAATGCCATGCGTAACGCAGCACTTGCGCTTTCTCAACAATCTCCTCCCAGTGGATCGAGCTGTGCGCTTCAAGCCGCCTTTCTTGATAAGATCACGTCGAACCTGACCGCGAAATCGAAGAGTGATACTCGCCCTATAAGTTCCAGTTTGACCCCTTTACCAACAGAAGCAGACGATGTCACCAGTAAAGATTCAGGTTTATTCAGTATTGAAGGCACAGACAATATCTTTGGATCCACCAATCTGGACCTCCAGCTCACCGACGACGAGGGATGGGTGAGCATCTTTGCCCAATCTGGGTTTGATTTAGAGGAGGGCGTTTTTCTGAATTGAAATACTTTGAAATGCGAATACCCATTAGGTCAATTGGAAGACTTTATGAACATAATGGACCTAGAGAGCCGACTCGTATACATAATTGTGGCTTTCGCCGAATTCCCTTCTTGACTCGACCCCTTATATTTGTTATTTATGTGTTGAGAGGAATCACCGTGGTCTCTGCATGGGAGAATTCTCGTATCCCTTGTCGCACTATCTTCAACTGAGAGGGGCAATTGGGATCGGGGCAGGCGATCAATGCGTCGGTCGTCATCCAGTCGTTGTCGGCCGTCTTACGCTGCTTTGCAGCAAGCAACGGTAGCACAGATGCTGCCTAGGATTAGTTCCCCCAATATTGGACTAACTCAAGGCCGTATTACTCACCTAAACTGTAGATACTAATTCCTTGGCCTGGAGGTAAAAATAGCATCTCTCCTTGAAGAGTGAAGTGATCTCCTTCATTTGCGCCGCATAGGATCCTTTTTCCAGGGGGGCAAACAACTTCGACCTTCAGGTCGTAGAGAGTGAACGAATCGTCATTTGCGGACTTCGACGACATGTTAATAGCCAGTGTATGGATGTGCAGTATTTGGCTTTGCAACTTGAAGAGCGCTTGGTTCAGCACTGTGGCACAGCCTACAGAGTTAGATGTTAAATAAACCCAAAGGGATAGAAGTGTTCCCACTGCGGATGAGTTCACCGGCATTTTTGCCACCTTCGCTATCTGGAGTTGACCTTTCCCGATACCGGCGTTCAAGTGCTGCGGCGTCTAAAGTCTTCAGTGCACCCACCGGCGTCTCAAGGTTTCTTATCGCCGGCACCCAAGCCTTTTGGTCAGCGGCCTCCAAGGCTTCCTTTCCTGACTGACGTCGCATCAGAGCCAACGCGCACATCCTCATAACTCCTAGGGTACGGGGAAAGCTACGGAGAAGCCCCTGAAGGAGCCCAGGCCCTAGCGCCAGGGATTCGCGATTATATATTCGACTTGGTATACGCCTATTTAGGACCAGGACCGACTCCTAAGATTGTAACCTCATTTTTCTCTCTTTACCCTACGCTCTCTGCCTTTCTTTTCCTTCAAAATGGCCCAACAACCGCACGACGACATGGAGAAAGATACCGTGGGATATGCCGAGCCACTGGAGGCCGAGCATCAGGACAAGATGGAGGGGAACTCCGCTCCGACTCAAGGACTAAAGCGGGATCTCCATGCCCGTCACATTAACATGATCGCCCTCGCAGGCATGATTGTAAGTCGCCAAAGATGTCAGTCAGTTAGACTTAGGGGAAGCCAACTAACCCCCGCCTAGGGAACGGGTCTCTTCCTCGGCTCTGGCAAAGTCATCGCAACCGCTGGGCCTGCTGGGGCCCTGCTGGCCTACACCCTCATGGGTTGTGTCACCGCCGGCGTTGCATACACGACTGGCGAAATAACAGCGTTTTTGCCTCACACCGGAGGTTTCGTTCGACACGCGACCAAAGTTGTCGAGCCAGCTCTCGGAGCGGCGACCGGCTGGAATTTCTGTTTGTTCCGCATTGCAAATTCTCTGAAATGGCTTACAAGCTGACCGCGAAAGGGTATACCATGTCCATCTCGGTTCCGGCTGAGATTAGCGCTGCTGCCACTGTAATCCAGTTCTGGAGAACGGACATCAACCCGGGTGTCTGGATCACGATTTTCCTCATTGTTATCATTGTCTTGAACCTGTGTGGCGTCAGGTTGTATGGCGAGGTGCGTCAGATATTCACTTATCCCGCTAACAGTCTTTAGAATTGACCAGCTGACCACTTTCGTATAGTCTGAAGTTGTGTTCGCATCATTGAAGATCATGCTAATCATAGGCCTCATTATCGGTGGGATTGTCATTAACGCCGGTGGAGGCCCAAACAAGGAATATTTGGGTTTCCGATACTGGGAAGGTCCCGGCGCCTTCAACACTTTCATTGAGACTGGAGCAGCCGGTGGTTTCCTTGCATTTTGGAAGGTGATGCTCCCGGCTGCCTTCAGCTACGGTAATATCCAAGTCGTGGCCATCTCTGGTTCCGAGACTCATAACCCCAGGAAGACAGTGCCAGCAGCTACTAAGAAGACATTCTATCGAGTTTTGTTGTTCTACATTCTTAGCATCTTCATCGTGGGAATTATTGTGTAAGTGATCACTTTTGCACTGCAGGTACTACTCAGCTATCTGACCTTCTTGCGACCAGACCATACAATGATCCCTCCTTGGCTCTCTCGACCGGAACTGCCCAACAATCTCCTTTTGTGATCGCGTTCAGCCGTGCCGGTGTTTCTGTCGTTCCTTCAATCATCAACGGAGTTGTCTGCACCTCGGCTATCAGCAGTGCTTCAGCATGCATCTTCATTGCCTCCAGGACGATGTATGGATTAAGTGTTGATGGCCACGCCCCCAAAGTCTTGCAACGCTGCAACCGGTTCGGCAGCCCGCATTACGCTATCGGGCTGACCTGCGTTCTCTTTCCACTTGTTTATCTCAACGTCGCCAACAACACTTCAGTTGTGTTCGGCTGGTTCGTGAACATCACGACAGTCGCTGGTCTCATCGGATGGGTCGTAATCGAGGTCACTTACTTAAGGTTCTATGCTGGCTTTAAAGCACAAGGGTACTCCCGGAATGGTAAGCACAAATACAAGCTTCAATCTTTGAACCCAGAAGGACTGAATTGACCGACAATATAGATATTCCGTATAGGAGTCCTTTCCAGCCCTACACGGCTTGGGCTACGCTGATTCTCGTGCTATGTGTCATTATATTTTCCGGTGAGCGGCTGAAAGAATTATCCGTAATGTGACGAGATCTGACAGTGGCAGGATTCGATGTGTTTGTCAAGGGTCACTTCACAATCGATGGGTTTCTCACTTGCTACCTCAATATTGCCATCTTCACTGGTATGTGATTCATTATGTTGATCACATGGCGCCCTCGCTAATCAGATCAATAGTGCTCTATCTTTTCTTTAAGTTCTTTCTGAAGTCAAAGGTGGTCCCACTTCAGGAGATTGACTTTGAGAGCGAGTTCCAAGCAATGCGCCAGGAAGCTGAGCGATTAGAGGCCGAGCATTTCGAGGAAAAGAAGAAGCCCTTATGGCGCCGTATCCTCAATAGCTTCTAAGTATCACAGGGCCTGCCAAGCCTAGATTCTTTATCTTTCAAATTTCAGAATGGGACTATTGGGAAGCTACCACGGGCTGCGTATACCGCACCCTTGCTGATCGTGCCCTCGACTGCGTTAACGAGTGCCTAAATTTCATCCCGTGAAAGATTATAGACTTCGTAACACACGTAGGTACTGAATATTAACATCAGACTCGGGCTTTTGCGTCCTTCAAGAAGCTTCCAAGGACCCTGGAGGGCGCTGGATGGCGCTGGATGAGCATATTAGAGATGTTTGCGTTAGGCTGTGACATCGTACCCCCACCCTTTTCGCTATATGTAAGGCTCAAAGAGGTGAGTACCGTCCATTCCATGTAGGTCGTAAATAGAATACCAAAACGCCCACAGCCACCCACTAGTGTCACCTAACTTCTGATATGAGGCACTACAAAATATCTATCGTCATGGCGGCACCGGAGAGCGTGGAGCTGCCTGACATAAAGGTTCAATTTAGAATGGAGATGACCTCGTCTGCATAAAGTAGTTTATTCTCAGTATGAAATATGAGAAAAATCGCGGGCATCATGTAGGCTTGTCTGAACTGTCATCGTGCTGAGATTAATTTATATACAACAGATAGAACTCCTGTAGAACCATGAAGAGCTGGTGGCAGTAAAAAAGAGCTGCATACTGGCCTATTACTATACTCTGTTAACGCTGAGATGGAAACTCTAGCTGTATGTGACCTAGTACAACCGTTCAAGTAACATAGGACGCCGACCACAGATGAATCACACGCTCCGAAATTAGCTCCCAGGCTCCTCTCTCTAAGAGTCTGCATATACTTTCGTTTAGCTCAAATGGCTTAGAGAGAATATAATAACATCCCTGTCACTCAAATGCTACGGAATAAGTTCACCACAGAGTGGGCGTAGCATACATCGAAACGATCGCTCATCGTCGTAGCTGTATTATGTGTGGTCATGGTGCCTGGGTCACCAAACTTCCATGTTAGTACCTGGATCTTTAGGGAAACTTGCCGGGAATTTTCGGATGCTATTTCCTCAAGCACACGATCAAATGTCTGAGACTATCTCTAATATGATACTTATGAACCAGTGCGAAAGTTCTACACAGCCCGTCCTGTAAACCCGTAACCATCATAGTGGGGCTGGGGAATCACAACCGGGATAAACGTGGTCCCAGGTAGCGTCAGATAGAAACAGGAACGCTATAGTGGGCACAGCCTTTTCCTCTCTCTTGAGCATACATTTTTTTTTAGAAATGATGCAAAGATTCCTGCGGTGTGATTCATTTGGGCGTCAGAACCGCTGCCTTTGGGCTAGGTCCGAGGTAACATCCGGACCTTTCAGAGAACATGATGTATAATAAGTGACAACTCTCAGTAGAATGGCAGAAAAAGTCGATATTGATATCCACCATATTCATCCAATTTATCTCCCGAACAACCATATGCATTGACCTCTTCCAGCTCACCTGTCATTCACGTTCTTCTGTTCCAACTTGCCATCAGTTATCATGCTCATCAATACCATAGCATTCTACGCCCTCGTCCTGACAAGTATTGCGCTCGCCAGTCCTGGTTCTCATCATAGAATGAAAGATTTTACTTTGCCGCCTCCTCAAGTGCGCTCTGGCCTGGTACATCATCCTAACCCTTCATATAATACTAGGTATCCGTTACTCTGATGATATGTGTACTGAGTTGACCATTCATAACTTCAGCAATACATCTGTAGAGCTGGTGACTACAACAACGGCACTATCTACGGAACGGTAAGCCAGGATCGTGCTATTGGCTACATCCGCAAGGCCAAGACCAACAAAGGCCAGAGTGGCTACCCCAAGAAGCTTAGCAACAAGGGAAACGTCAGGAAGTTCCAAAGGATGCTCTAGAGATATCTGGGAGCTGTCACTGCTTTGCCAGCGGCAAGCCATATGATTTCAAAAGCAAGAAGCGCTATAAACAACCAAAGTATATCCGCGTATACTACACGAAGAATCTCAAGTTTTGTGGCGTCGGCGCTAAGAGAATTCCCAGCGACAAGGTGAGAAACAACTTCCCCCACAATTGCCGCGTGAAATAGAGGGGCATGGTTTGTGGGTTGTATTTGGATAAGCTACTGAAATGGCGGTGGTACCGGTTAGATTGTTTTTTCCTAAGGCTGGGCATTGTTGTCTTGTTGTTTGGTCCGGATGTTTTTGGGGAATGGAGCTCTGGAATTAAGTTACGACCCTAGTCAACCGCCCACCCCCCTCAACCGCCCACCTTATCTGTCCCAACCTCCCTCTTTTCCTTATATATCACTCCGTAATTACTTATATAATTTTTATTTCTTTTAATTAAAAATAATATTATTTAAATTACTAATATCTGAATATTCTGAAAATAATCTCTAGCTAGCTATTCGTAATATAGAAGCAGGTATCTTATAGTAAAAAGCTACTGAGCGGTAGAGAATTCCTTAGATAACTCTTTATAATTATCTATCAGGTATTAAAATATAAGTAATATAAGTAGAGATCTAGTAGTAGCTCTTAAGGGCCCAGAAAGCTTATTTAATAAAATAGATACTTATTTAAGACTTAATTAGTTTTCCTCCTAATTATATAAGAATTAAAGAGATTATATAGTTCCTCTTATATAAAGAGAGTAATTTTAAATCTATTAGTAGATATTAAATAAAGGGATTTTTATATTATAATCTGGAGATTAGAATTCTTTAAGGTAAGAGAATTAACTTTCTTTATATTAAGAGTACTATAGCTAATAAAGTAAAAGAGTTTTTTATACTAATATATATATCTAATATTTATAAGATTTCTTCTTATAATTATTAGAATATAGATAAAATTAGTATTATAGAAGGAATTAGAGATAATAATCTAATTCTTAGATTATCTTATAAGAACTAGATTATCTAGATATAGTCTAGATCTTACTATTAGATTTTAATAATTAAGTATATTAGTATAACAGATTAGTATCTTTTTTAAAAGATCAAAGCCTTTAGTATAGGGTAGACTAGCTATAGGGTAAGCTGAGTCTAGGGTAGGTACAGCCTATAGGGTAGGCTAAGGAATACTGAAGGGATCGTTTCGAAAGGCGTAGTGGAAGAAGCAGCCTACTTAGTAAGAAAGAGAGGCTTTATCAGCTACAGGGTAGCTAAGAAGATAGACTGTAGGGTAGATAAAAGAGTGAATTGGTGGCTTGAAGAACCTCTATCTAGCAGGGAGGAAGCCCTGTACTTATAGGTGTTTCAGGGCTCTAAGAGCCCTGAAGATAATACGTTGCCTTCTGTAATACGGGCTCGTAACCGCTGTAAGGTTCTCGTACAGCGGACACGAGGTCCGCTAATGCAAGCGCTACAGCGGATACGAGGTCCGCTAATGCAGCTGCTACAGTGGTTACGAGGCTCACTAACTAAGTGCTAAGGTTCTCGTACAGCGGATACGAGGTCCGCTAATGCAAGCGCTACAGCGGACACGAGGACCGCTAATGCAGCCGCTACAGCGCAATACGAGATCGCTAATACGGTCGCTACAGCAGCCGTTACAGCGGTTGTAACCGCTAACGCAATTGCCCTAACGGGCAGCTACAGCGGGTTGGGCCGGTGGCTCCAGAGAGCTTCCAGCTTTGGAAAGCCCTAAGTTAGTTATTTTATTCCTCCTTACCCTATACTAATCTGAGATTATTTGATTAACTGATATAGGGTAATCTGATCTACCCTATAGCCTATAGAGTAAATCTTAATAATCTTAAGCCTCTTATTATTTATAAAGGAAAAGACATTTAATAATAATAGTTTCCTAATAAATTAGATTATCTTAATAAGTAGTAATTTATAGTTTCTCCTAAGAGATAAACTTCTAATTTAATTATATTAGAGTAGTTATAAGATATATTTATTCTATTAACTAAATCTATAATACTAGATTAGTATTTACTTATTATTAATAGCTATAAGAGTTATAAAATAATTAAATTTATATAGAAATACTTTAAGAATAAGATCTAGTTTTTATTCCTTCTATTATATTTATTATATATTTTATAGCTACTTAACTTATCTATCTTTTCTATTCTTAAAAGAGCTTATTATCTTTATCTCTTATAATAATAAATATAGATAGATTTATTACTAATTAGAAAGATAATATTTCTAAAGTATTATTATCTAGCTAGATAAGTAGTTTTAATAGTTTCTAATATTCTAACTAGCTAGAAAATATCTGGATTATAATTAGTTAATATTATAATCCCTCTAATAAATCTATATATAGTTTCTCTAAAATTTATCTTTTAAACTTAATCCTTAATATCTCTAACTATACTAATAGCTAGAATAAAGAGGAAAGAGATTATAATAATTACCCTAAAAGAAAGTTATAAGCTTTATAGCTTAATATAGAACTTTATATATAAGAAAGAGATTAATCTAATTATCTAACTTCTATTCTATAAGATCTATAAGGATCTGAATAAATAGTAAATATAGTTATTTATCTTAAATACTGAAAATATATAACTAAAGGAGTTAAATAAGCTACTATAGCTAAAGAAAAGATATATTATTTATCCGGATCTAAATAAATACTTTATTAAGATATCTAATATTATTAATATAAGAGATTACTATAAGGGTTAATTAGATATAGAGATCTGTTGAAATTACAGTGGGATTACAGGGCATTTGCCCTTATAAGCCTCTATAACGCAGCAGGGAAGTTCGCTATAACTTATAGTTCTCAACTGCTAACTCCGCTATAACTCAACGAGTTTTAGTACTAGAGGGACCAAATATAGTGCAAAATATAGTGCAAAAGAATCTTCTTTTTATGAGAGAGACCAGGAAATTCTATCTAATTTCTCTTATAGGTCTACCAACTAAAGACTACTCTAAAACCTGCTAAAGCTGCTTCCCGGGCTACTTTTGATTTTCCGTAAAATTCATTAGTATAGGAAATCTAAAAAATCAACTTATAACTACCAAACTATCAGACCGATATATATAGCTTTTATAAGACCCACTTTTATCTGAAGGAGGCTCTTAAGCTGATTAATTGAGTATAGATATTAGATATCTTATCTTTTAAGCTGAAGGAATTATCCAAGATCTAAGACCTAGTCTAGGGTAGGCTGGCTATAGGGTAACCTGGGTATAGGTTAGGCTATCTAGTTTATCCTAGGATTTTTCCCGGATTTATTAGACCCTTATTTGGACTAGATAAGCCTGATAACCTAATAATAGGTCTGCTGGTGGCCCGGACCCCTGAGGGTTCCTGGGGCC